GATGTGAATTGGGGCAATTCCGCTGTGGAACAGGTCGATGTATCCCAGGTAGCTGGCACTGTGACGGTACTTCCGATTGTGTAGATGACTCTGACGAACGCGACTGCCGTGAGTTTTTTACCTGCCTGTCAACATATTTAATGGAAATCTGAAGTTTTTAGTAACTTAGAGTTTTCATGAAAGAAATAACAAAAAATGATAAACACTGTAGTGTAAACTCAAAAAGTCCAAAACCGTGCAAAACTTTTTCTAAAAATCATCCAAAACCTGATTTCTACTGGTGCATTCAGTATGGCATGTTAATAATGACATGTGTATGTGTTCTGACAGCTCAGGTAACATGTGATGACAGTCATTTCCAGTGTCTGAGTGATGGGGAGTGCATTCCAGATGTATGGGTGTGTGATAATGAAGAAGACTGCGAGGACGGCTCAGATGAGAGGCAGCACTGCCGTGAGTAAAACTGAACAGAAACTGTATAATTCAAGTTATGTCTCATTAAATATTTCTCCTTAGTTCAATTACAAATGTTAGATTTCGTAAAGTTCCTAATGGTAGACTTGGAGAAGGCGTTCAACAGCATCCCTCGGGGGCCCTGTGGGGGCTACTCTGGGAGTATGGAGGTTCCTGTTGGGTCCCTGTATGACCGGTGCCAGAGCTTGGTCTGCATTACGTCTGACTCGTTTCCGCCAAGGCTGTCCTTTGTCACCGATTCTTTTCATAACTTTTATGGACAGGATTTCTAGGTGCAGCCAAGGTGTGGAGGGGATCCGTTTTGGTGGCCTGAGGATTGGGTCTGTGTTTTTTTGCAGATGATGTGGTCCTGTTGGCTTTATCAAAATATGATCTCCACATTTCAGTTCACAGCCGAGAGTGAAGCAGCTGGGATGAGAACAGCTCTACTAAATCCGAGACCATGGTCCTGAATCAGAAAATGGTAGAATGCCTTCTCCAGGTCAGGGATGAGATCCTGCCTCAAGTGGAAGAGTTTAGTTATCTCATGGTTCTGTTCACGAGTGAGGGAAAGATGGAGCGCAAGATAAGTGTAGTGGTGCTGCGTCTTCAGGGATGCGGGCGTTGTACCGGCCTGTCGTGGTGAAGAGAGAGCTGAGCCAGAAGGCAAAGCTCTCGATTTACCGGCCAATCTACGCTCCTACCCTCATCTATGGTCACGAGCTTTGGGTAGTGACCAAAAGGATGAGATCGCAAATAAAAGCAGCCAAAATGAGTTTTCTCTGCAGAGTGTCTGGGCTCTCCTGTAGAGATATGTTGAGAAGCTCTGTGATCTGGGAGGGGCTTGGCGTAGATCTGCTGCTCCTCCACATCAAGAGGAGCCTGCTGAGGTGGCTCAGGCATCGAGTTAGTATGCCCCCTGGACGTCTCTCTGGTGAGGTTGTCTGGACATGTCCAACTGGAAGGAGGCCTAAAGGAAGACCCAGGACATGCTGGAGAGACTATGAGACTGGCCAGGGAACGCTAGGAGGAGCTGGCCCATGTGGCTGGGGGAAGGGAGGTCTGGGTGTCTCTGCTTAAGCTTGGTTTATGCTTGACGCATTCACTTTCCGCTTGGTGATGCGGCTCGCGGCTGGAACGCACGCGCTTCACAACTTGCAGCGTTTATTGTTCATGCGGCTTGTCTCTGCGGTGAGCCAATGTTCTCCCAAACTGTAGGGGGCAGCATGGAGCTCTACAGCATGCATCCAACACTACACCGTAGTAGAAGTAGAAATTACTGTTGTTTACAACACGGCATTCCAGCATTTTTTACAGCGTCCTCGTCTTTTCCGACAGTGCGAGCTATTTCTCTCCAAGAATTATTAATAACATGTTGATCACGGTGATCTTTGAGAGCTGAATCATACAAATGTCTGTATTTACGAACCTCTGCCATACTAGTTCTTACCGGTCCGCCATGTTTTTCCACGTCCGACCGTCCGCGTGGTTAGAAAATTTCCTAGGTGCGCGTTGCGGAAATTTTGGGCCGTGCGGAGGCGCGGTGGAGGGGCGTGGTTATTAAGATGACGCAAAATGACGCAACTTTTCCGCGCGGAGCCGTGCGGACCTTGCGGACGCGTCAAGCATAACCAACCTTTAGGCTGCAGCCCTCGCGACCCGTACGCAGATCAGTGGATATAAATGCATGGAAGGATGGAATTCCTGAAATATATATATTTCACCCACAATCTGTGAGGCTGAGGATGTTTAGAAATACACTAAAGACTATAGTATATCAAATAATATAACTAAAACCTGCTATGTGGCACAAAATTGGTTTTCCATCTGATCTCAGCTGGCAGAACGTGCACCAGTGGTCAATTCAGCTGCAGTAACGGGGCGTGCATCCCTGACGAATACCAATGTGACCACCTGGCAGACTGCTTAGACGGATCCGATGAGAGAAACTGCAGTAAGTCTTCTTCAAGATGGCTCCTCCTCTTTTTTTTTATCTCAGGCTCCTGAGGCATTTTAATCAATTTGTTAAGATTAAGAGGCTTGATGACTGACAGAACGGGCCACAATATGCTTCTTGTTGTCAGAGGTTGATTGCAGATTCTTTGGTGGATTAGTCAAGCTGAAGTTCAGCTGGTACACCATTATTGTGTTGATATGGTAGTCCCTCGCAGCACGGTGCACAGTGGTAATCTCACTATTGCAGAAAAAATGCTGTGGCAACCGCTGCTGTAGTGGTAGTGCTGTTGATTATTTTTTCTCTTGTCCCTCCCATTCACATGGATTTTCACGTGTTAAAAGATGTAAAAAGCACAGGTGTGGAGATCATTTCTGTGTGTAACTGTGGCCTGGTGATGATTTAATCTTACAGATTATCCTCAGTGTACAGAGATGAGGTGTGCTAATGGGGCCTGCTACAACCGGACGCAGCGGTGCGATCATATCCTAGACTGCCGCGATGGCTCCGATGAGGCAAACTGCAGTAAGCAGGGGCTACATTTACAAATAAAAGTGTTATTTTATCACCAAAGAAAGCATTTTCATTCTCTTTGTGTTCTGCTTCCTTTAGCTCAGCACTGCAATGCAGGGCTGTTTCAATGTCGCAATGGATTGTGCGTTCCTCAACGCTACGTCTGCGACCACGATGACGACTGTGGAGACCGAAGTGATGAGCTAAACTGCAGTGAGTAGTGGCTGTTGGTCTTGATTTGTTTGATCAGTCTTAGCTTTTGTTGTTGTCCGGATAATTAAAATCATCGGGCTTTCACCTGCAGCGTATCCCACATGTAGAGGGAACTACTTCACCTGCCCCAGTGGACGCTGCATCCATCAAGTCTGGCTTTGTGATGGAGAGGATGATTGTGAGGACAATGCAGATGAAAAAGGCTGTGGTATGCATTCAGTGTACATCATGCATTTGGAGGCAGGATGCTTATCTGGGTATATGGTTCCTACAGTGGATCAGAGACGGAGCCGTGGAAACCTGATTCATTCTTCGGTCTTTATGGTTGATTTGCTTGCTCTCCTTTAAGTGTGCTATTCAAATGCCTCTTTGTGTCATAAGATTGTGACCACCCCCAAGATTTGGAAGAGTGTGTGTTTTCAAAGTAGAGCTACAGGATCCCCCATGTACCCCTGCAGTGGCAAATGTTTTTAGAACTTGTGAAGCACTTTGTGACCTTTTTGTCGGTGAGAGCTGCTATAAAAACGCAGCTTGCTTACTTACTTACTTAGATCAGGATTCACACTTTAATTTTTGCACAAGGTTTAAAAAATGGTAACTTTATGTTGTTTTTCAGGAAATATACCGCGGGAGTGTTACCCTGGAGAGTGGCCCTGTCCTTCCTCTGGTCTATGTATTCCCATGGATAAGCTGTGTGATGGGAGGGCTGACTGTCCAGACGGGAAGGATGAAACTAACACCACTGCTGGAAGCAACTGCAGTTAGTCCCGTCCTAATTTGAGGCAAATCCTTCAAAGAACCCAAACAATCTAGAAAACCATGCTACTGTCTGGTTTCTCCATTGGTCAGGTATCTGGAGATGTTCATCCCTGAGCTGTGAGCATCACTGTCACACCTCCCCCGATGGAGGAACTTGTTCCTGTCCCTCTGGATACATCGTCAGCAGCAATGATAGTCGCTCCTGTATAGGTATTTCCCAGTTTTCTTTAAAAAAACTGACTTAGAAAGTTCCATTCTGTGGTTCTGTACTTTTAATCCTCTGTGACTTTGGTTCCATCATGCTGAAGATTTTGACGACTGCTCCATGTGGGGCGTGTGCGATCAGCTGTGCGAGGACCGGGTCGGCTCCCACCGCTGCAGCTGTCGAGAGGGCTACATTCTAGAGCAGCATAGATACTGCAGAGCTGACACCTTGAGTGAGTGACACTTCTATAGCTTTGTCTTACATACAAAATGGTCAGCTTGTGAGTGTGTGAGTGATCTAAATGAAGTGCATTTAGCAGCATAGACCCCACTCTACTTATTTTTGGCAACCTCTGAATGGCGTGTCTGCAGTTCTTTCGGGTGCATTGTTGCATGCAAAATGTTGTTTTAGCAAGTCTCTTGTTTTTGTCACTCATAGTGTTGACCGAGAGACTGAGCCCTTTGAGATTAGCTTTGGTTAGAGAAGCGTGCATTGATGAGTTGCAAGTGTCCACCTTCACTCATCCGAGTCAAGGATTTGAGTCAGGAGTTGCATCCTGTAAATTTCCACTGATCTTTTAGCGGTTCACGGACGTGCTTAGTGACGTTTATGTTTCTTGTTGTCTTTGCAGCTGGAGTTCCTTCCTTACTATTTTCTAACGGCAGAGATCTGGTAATAGGTGACATCCACGGGAACAGCCTGCGTACTTTGGTTAATTCACAGAACAGAGGGGTTGCTGTTGGCGTGGACTACCACTTTAATCTCCAAATGATCTTCTGGACTGATACCATCCAAAATAAGGTCTTTTTTAAAAAGCTGTTTTATATTGTTTAATAGTACTAATCTGTCAGTTGTTTGATGTCCCAAACCAGTGTTATATTTTATGGTGGGGAGTAGCAGTATTGGTTTCTGTAAAAGTTAACCGATACCAGGTACCGATACCAATGCAGTTGCCTGAAAGTGGCTTCACTTTAACTTGTCTGTTCACCTAATATTTTAGTTTAGTGATCATTTCTATAATATATTTTATTTTTTATTCACCTCACAGTCTTTTCCTGTTGAAAGCAGAGAAGAAAATAAAAACTGTATTCCAATTCATTGCATTTTTTGTGCGGTAGAAGTAATCGGTATCGGCAAGTACTCAGGTCCAACTATCGGTATTGGATCGGTTTGGAAAAATGTAGAATTGGTGCATCCCTAGTGAGTAGGCCCTTTCTTTGTGTAAATTCTTGAGTTATATAGGCTCTGATCTGGACCAGATTCATCCAGTTATCCTAAAATTTCAGCCATGTTGATAGTAAAATAATGGAATATCTTCTGGCCCCACAGAGGCTGGCTCATAATGAAAGGAAATAGCTATGTAACAGAATCTGAACGTCTTAATCTTGAAACCTGTCCGATTGGCTCATATAACGCTAACATACCAAGGCACAATTTTTGTAACTCAATCTTTTCCAAACTAAGCATCCTGTATTTACTTTGAGCAGAACTGTCCACTTATGTGCATTCTTCAGCAAGCTAAAAAGTCTTTGTTCGGCCTACAGCTTGGCTTCTCATTGGCTTGAGCTGCAGTGTCTCGGCTGAAACGCTAGAACATATCTCTGACTGGGCATCTGTGCATATTAGCCACCTCATCAGCCGCATGTCAGATTAAAAGTAGGGAGAGCGCAAACAGGGCATGTGAATGCAACCGGAAAGGTTAAACTACCAGGCTATTTTCACGTCTTTAGTTTCTCTTTAAACAGGTCAGTTGAAAATCCTGCTTTTTAGATGTCTGGATTTGGTTTCAAACAAAAAAAAAAAAAAAAAAAGCTACTAAAAGTAGTATCCCTCAGCCAAATGTATGGTGCCAAGGCTTCCAGATGGTCCCATCATAGTCGTACAGTGGTGAGAATGGAACATTTAAGTGAGCAAAGAGCTTTTAGCAACAGTTTTAGTCTACGAATTTTTTAATTAACACATTTCTTCTGTTAGTAATGTTTGTGTTTTTCATACTTGTATAACATTAATGTTTTTAAGTTCAAAGTTTCTTCAGCATGTCTCAACACCAAACTCACTGACAAACAATTTTTTCTTGTTATTTTTAAAATATGATTGGTAATAAGTTTTACATGCAGAATAAATGTGAAAAAAGTCTTTTATCCCTGTTTCTTGCATTAGCTTCTGATAGAAAATGGACAGAAACTTTTTTGGTACACAGAAAATTAGCTGCATGGACTCACCCATCTTGGCTCACGTTCGTGGAAGGCTGTCGTTGATTTAGCATCCAGGAGAAAACAGAGCATGTCTTGGCTAGTAGAAGCTAACCATTAGCATTAGCAACTTCACAACACAGTAGAACTCATTCAGGCTTAAGTTATTTTGTGGAGATAAAACATCAACGTTGCAAAGCAAATGGAGTCAGTGGTAGAGTTGTGTTGTTGTTAGCCAATCCGAGGCAAGATGTCCGAATATCAGGAAATAAGACTCCAAACCTGCTCTTTGGCCAACTTTTGGCCAGCTTCTTCTTCCTGACGCAGGAGCGCCAGAGTTTTTTCTCCACAGAGAACGACCCACAAAGCATTAATTTTATTCCAGAGACTACTGAAAATATGTATATGGAAAAACTGAATTAACTTAAACACAGTGAAAAAAAATTCCACCAATGGTTTTTCAGTTAAGTCCATGAAAGCGTTCATGGCAGAAAGTAGTTGGCCGCTGCTCACTTTGAGGTGGCTCAATGGCAACTTATCGTAGCAGTAACTTCACACAAGAAACAGCAACAAAGACCATTTGCATGTGTGGAGATGCTAACAAAATATGTGTAGCATCGTTACAGGCATACCTCCGCATCCTTCCTATTTACATACAGGCTAGCATTAGTAGCACAATTAGCTAATTAGGAAGGCTAGAAAAGTAGCAGTTTAAAACTCATGAGCCATTGCTTTAAAAGTAAAAAAAACAAACTTGTGGGATTGTTATTGTGTTTTATTTAGTTTAGATATTGATGTTGCTGAGAATGTTGCTTTACTAGTAGCAGGCATTTGCTGCCATAAAACATTAAAGTGACATTCTGACAGCCAAAACTTTTCTTTTTAACCTAAACGAACAGTATAATATTCATGCTCTAGCTAGAAAGGTTTTGATCAAATGCACTTGGGAAAACTGAAATGCGTCAGGCAGCTAATAAACTTCAATTGAAGGAATTTCCCTTCATGAAAATTAAGACAATTATTTTAGAAATCAGGACTTTTTTAAGTGAGTCAAGTAAAAAATTTTGCTTTAGTTTGCAACATGAAACATGAAAATGCACAATTTCCTCGTATTGTGATACACTTTAAAAAAAAGTGACCTTTTGTTAGATTTGATTAATAGTAACCACAAAATGACCAATAACCTGACAACAATGAAATCTTTTTTGTACAGGTGTTTTCTGTGCATATGGATGGCTCCAATGTGCAGGTGGTTTTAAACGTCTCAGTTGACTACCCTGAGAATTTGGCGGTGGACTGGGTGAACAATAAACTGTATGTGGTTGAGGCCAGCGTCAACAGGATTGACATGGTGGACTTTGACGGAAGTAACCGGGTTACGCTCATCACTGAAAACCTGGGTAACCCTAGAGGACTGGCTGTGGACCCCACTGTCGGGTGAGCATGTTTCCCTTTTCATTTGTCCGGTCATTCCCAATCACTGTCTGTTGTGCTCCATTGGCATGGAATGAGGGGGGTGGGAAGTTGGAGATTAACAGATGGCTCTGGGTAGATTAGTGAGGCGCAATGTAAGTGATGACCCTCACTGTAATCCAATAGTATAGTTCAAGGCAGAGGGACAGCCAGGTGGCTACAGAGAAAACGCTTATCTCAAATTAATAAACAGCTCTTTGGTGAGATCCACTGCCACCCACTTGGAAACAGTTTCTTTCTCTGGAGGCCGTACGTAATTAAATAAAGTCACGGAATGTTTTCGCTGAAGGCTTGGGAGTTTAATCAGTTTTCCTTACTTCATAGGTATTTGTTCTTCTCAGACTGGGAGGCAGCAAATGGACAGCCAGGACTTGAGCGGGCCTTCATGGATGGAACCAATCGCTATGGGATCATTAGCAGTAAACTAGGCTGGCCTGCCGGTATCACCCTTGACATCGAGGCCAAGCGCGTCTATTGGGTTGACAGCCGCTATGACTACATTGAAACTGCAACATATGATGGCCTGCATAGGTGCATTTCATGTTTGATCGGAAGATATGTGCATGTTTCTTCCTAATAAACAACTGTTGTTAACATTTTTCTACTAGAAAAACTGTGGTTCATGGAGGTTCTGCGGTCCCTCACCCATTCGGCATCAGTTTGTTTGAGCACAATGTCTATTTCACTGACTGGACCAAGATGGCGGTTATGAAGGCGAATAAGTTCACTGACAACCAACCTGAAGAGGTTTATAGAACCTCTCAGACTCCGCACGGGGTAGCAGTGATACATCAGCTGAAACAACCTCCAGGTACGACCGTCAGCTACTCTAATGTTTAACCTGTGGAACGTTCTTCATTCAACCCACAACATGTTTTCTAGTAACTCCTGATGTATTTTTTTGTATTTCCAGTGCCAAACCCTTGCAGTGTAGATAGAGGTGGGTGTGAACAAATCTGTGTTCTGAGTCACAGGAGTGACAACGGAGGACTAGGTTATCGCTGCAAATGTCGTATCGGCTATGATTTACACGCTGATGGAAAAAGATGCATGGGTAAAGAAACATTTTAACCTTCTTATTATGTTACGGGTCAATTTGACCCGTTCCAGTTTTTGTGTTGACCATAACGCTGATCATCTTCTATTTTTCTTAATGAAACTTTATGACTTTTTCTTATCTGGGGTCATGAACTGGTATGAGAAATATGGACACTTTGATGTGTCCTGGGAAGTCTTAGCAGTTTTTGTATACAAAAATGATGTTGCGGGTCATTTTGACCCACACACTTTAATGTGAGTAAAAAGCTGTTCAGAACAAAAATAAACATGACTCTTTGATGTGCTATGTTGTGATTGCTTCTGAATATACATTCACACCCAGAGGCCCAGGTGTGTGCGCGAGAAACTTTTTCTGCCCTGTTCTTGTAACTGATGTCATGTGATTTCAACACACCAAAAATGAGCTCTAGAAGGTTGACAGCTGAAGAAGCTTTATCTCAGCTTTTAACTGGGATAGCAATGACGAAGAAGATGTTTCAGAGACAGAGGATTTTTCAGAGGCTGAGGACAATGTTACTGATGATCCAGACTACCAATTTTCTGATGAGGATTCTAAAGAGGAGTCTTCTGTCATCGCTTCATCAAGTGAAAACCAAGGAATGCAGCAATCATCATCTACAGAGGGGGCATGGACATCTAAAGATGGTAAAATAAAATGGTCAACATCACCACACCGAAGTCGAGGCAGACTGTCATCTGCTAATGTCATCAAAATGACACCTGGTCCTACAAGATTTGCAGTCACACGAGTTGATAATATCCATTCAGCATTTCATCTCTTCATACCCTCTCCAATAGAAAAGATTATACTGGACATGACTAACTTGGAGGGGAGGCGTGTATTTCAACAGAAATGGAAGCCCATGGATCTGACTGACTTGCATGCTTATATTGGAATCCTGGTATTAGCTGGAGTATACAGGTCAAAGGGAGAAGCAAATGCAAGTCTATGGAATGAAGAGAATGGAAGGCCGATCTTTCGTGCAACAATGTCTCTTGAGACATTTCACAAGATATCTCGTGTGATCCGATTTGACAACCGTGAAACCAGAGCCAGTCGCTGTGAAAGAGACAAACTTGCTGCAATCAGAGATGTATGGGATAAATGGGTGGAGATTCTACCTTTGTTGTACAACCCTGGTCCCCATGTGACTGTAGATGAGCGCCTTGTTCCATTCAGGGGCCGCTGTCCTTTCCGACAGTATATGCCCAACAAGCCGGCAGAGTATGGCATCAAAATATGGGCAGCTTGTGATGCTAAATCTAGCTATGCATGGAATATGCAGGTGTACACCGGAAAGCTACCTGGAGAGGCATCTGAGAAGAATCAGGGGATGCGTGTGGTGCTGCAGATGAGTGAAGGGCTGCAAGGGCATAACATCACCTGTGACAACTTCTTTACATCCTACTGGCTTGGAGATGAACTTCAGAAAAGAAAGCTCACTATGTTGGGAACAATCAGGAAAAATAAACCAGAACTTCCCAGTGAAATTCTGAAGATGCAGGGAAGACCTCCACATTCCTCAAAATTTGTTTTCACCGAGAAAGCAACAGTTGTTTCATACTGCCCAAAGAAAAACAAAAATGTTCTTGTCATGAGCACAATACACACAGATGCATCTCTGAGCACAAGAGAAGACAAAAAACCACAAATGATCCTGGACTACAACTCCACCAAAGGAGGAGTAGACAATCTTGACAAAGTCACAGCAACATACAGCTGCCAGCGCAAAACAGCTCGTTGGCCCTTGGTGATTTTCTACAACATTGTGGATGTGTCAGCTTACAGTGCCTTTGTCCTGTGGACTGAAATCAACCAACATTGGAATGTCGGCAAACTGTACCGACGTCGGCTTTTCCTGGAAGAACTGGGAAAAAGTCTTGTCACCCCCGAGATCCAGAGTCGAGCCAGACCAGCTCGATCCCCAGCAGCAGCAGCTCTCATTGAAAACGTCAGGTCTGCATCATCTGACATATGTACAATGAATCCAGTGGATACAGGTGCAAAGAAACGAAAAAGATGCCAGGTCTGTCCCTCACGATAAGACATTAAAACAAGCACCGTTTGTGAGAAGTGCAAGAAGTGCATTTGCAGAAAGCACACAGTTACACTCTGTCCATCATGTGGACAACACTGAAAATGTTGAACATTGAAAATCTGAGAAAAATAAAAGTGTTTGTAAAGAAGGAAAACTTTTACTAACTAGTTCTTACAAATAGTTATGGATATTCAAACTTTATTGTGTGTCTGTGTTTTAAATGTTTTTTCTAATGGAAAATAAAGTTCCTGTTTTATTGCAGTTTTTTTTACAGTTCTAAGTGAATTTAGACAGGGTGGGTCAAAATGACCCGCAACATAACCAATGTGATTTTTTTTCAACATAATACAAGGGTTAAAGTCATTTCTGCATGTTCCCTGGTCCTACGTTTAAAATATAGTGCCTCTTCAAACCATACCTGTACATAAAAGTGGTTCAGTTTCTTCTGCATACATCTGTTTTGGTTCATCTGCATTTTCTAAAATTTGTTTCTGCAGCCGTGAGGCAGTTTCTGCTCTTCTCCAGCCAGCTGGCTGTGAGAGGAATCCCCTTTAACCTCTCCACTCAGGAGGACATCATCCTGCCTGTCACTGGCTCACCCTCCTACTTTGTCGGAGTGGATTTTAGTGCTGAGGACGACACTATTTTCTTCTCAGACACAGCGAAAGACATCATCTATAAACAGAAAGTGGACGGAACAGGTGATTGTCTTCCCAACTGTTTGAAACGCTGCTTGTAAAGCTTAAACATTGCATTAGTATTGTGTATCAGCATACAGGATGTAGAATCAGAGAGAAGAAAAGAAACACAACAACTCTGATCAGATATGTTGTTTTTGGAGTTAATGCAGTCACAGTCTATTTATTGAAATGCATGCCACTTTCCTGTTTGATCTTCTCTTCTCTGACTTCTTTGATCCACACAGGCAGGGAGATTCTGGCAGCCAACAGAGTGGATGGAGTGGAGGACCTGGCTTTTGACTGGATTTCTAAAAACCTGTACTGGACCGATCCTCGATACCGGAGTATATCTGTCATGAGGGTTGCTGATAAGTCCAGGAGGGCCATTATTCAAAACCTGAACAACCCAAGGGCCATTGTAGTGCATCCTCTCATTGGGTAAATCATTGTTAACACAAGCCTTTGCTAGGACTGTAATGAAGTGTTATTGAAAGCGGTGGTTCACTGAGAAAGGTATACAGTAGTCCCTCGTTTATTGTGGGGTTTACGTTCTAAAAATACCCCACAAACGGCGAAATCCGCGAAGTAGCCAGCATTATTTTTTACAATTATCGTAAATGTTGCTGTACAGTCCCTAACTTTACACTTTTCTCAGACGGGCATTAACATTTTCACACTTTTCTCTCTTCTTTAAACACTCTCAATGCCCTAATCATGACGCAGAACACAAGCGCTATATTAAAAAAAAGCTAGCAAAATTCCACTAAAGGTATTGTTTTCAAGTGTATTTATTAGTTTTGCCTTAACTAATACCAAAGTGAGCCGCCTGAATGCATTTATGTACTGCCTGAGTGTTTTTTGTTCATAAAAACACCGTTAGAACACCAAACGCTGATTACGGCTATAGCAGCACCACGAAAACAACCAGCTGCACCACTCCTTGCGTTCAGTTCGGGTCAAACATTCCACTCCTCTCCTGCCCCTGCTTGCTGCTACCACCGTAACTTTTAAAACCAGGAGAAACCCCGGATGTGTACTCACCAAGCTAAGATTTTCAGATGGTCACATCTAATGCTTTTTCTCCCAGCCATGGACATTTTCTCATTTTAGAGATTAATTGTTTAACGGTTGCCAGCATATATGGTTATTGCTAGCTTGTTCAAAAAGGGGCCGGCTCAAGGGTGTTTCTCAGTGCCAAGGAACCTCACCTTGATGTCTTGGTATCGCCCCGGTTGCCTATGGAGATAGGTCATCAGGAACCGCCAAGGCGTGTTCCAACGTTCATGTTCTATGGAGGCTGTTCTCCGTTTGTTAGCCATTTAGCTAGCTGAGCAAGGATACACGGGAGGTGTCTTGTAGCCTAGCTTTGATCAAAAATTTCCCAGAATGCTGCGCAGTATTTTCAAAAAGATGGCTCAGAAGCCGGCAGCTACTTCGGGGACAAATTTCAAGTTTAAATAGTCAACTAATTGTAGCTATCAGGGTGATATCTGAAATATTTGTTTTATATCCAAAGTAGTTAGCTATGGTTGGTTAGTTGCTTAGTAGTAGCAGCTTCGGTGGCTAGCAGGTAGTAACTCGTTTATATAATTATTTTAACAAATATATACACAGTTTTAAAAGTAAAAGGCTTGTTATATATTTATAATGAAACTAATATGTATAAAATATATCGTTACCTCAAGTTTCACATGACGTTATGTGGCCGTCGCAGAAGCTGCGGTCACGTGATGCAAGTCTGTTTCATTTGATCATTTTCTTTGACTAAGGGAGGACAGTGTCCTCGTAAGCAAGGCACCTGGCCTCGCAAGACATTGCCTTGTGAGGCCAGGCGCCTTGACATTGAGAAACACCCTCTGATTGGTTCTTTTCTCGTCTAGTCCCGGCTATCGCAACTGCTGATTGGTTCTTATTTTCTGCTCACTTTTTTTTTCTATTTTCTGATTGGATTTTTGTTACTGTCAATTTTTGTTGCTTTTATTTATCTCCAGAAAAACATTTGTGAAACAGCGAGGCTGCGAAAAGTGAACCATGTTATAGCCAGGGACTACTGTAATACTTGTTCTTTTTTAGATGGAATCTTCAGGCTGAGTTGCACATGAGTGTAGAACTTTCAAATATTCTTCTTCCTCTTTTTCCGGCATTAGCTGCCAAAAGAGAATAGACGGGAAAATGCTTGTTAAGGAAAAGCCTCACAGATCTATGTCACAATGTAATATTAACATGGACTCATCCATCTTGGCTTGGGACTGCTGAAGGCTGTTGTTTTCAGTGCTGTAAGGAGAGAGCAGAGCACATATCGGTAGTTGAAGCTAATTGTTAGCATTAGCAACTCCACAACATGGCAGGACAAAACATCATTGTTGCAAGTTTTACCCAAAAGAAAATATTGAATGGAGCCGGTGGAAGAGTCGTGTTGCTATCAGCCAATCAGATGCAAAATGCTTGCTTACTTGCATGCTTATCACGAATATTGATGAGTAAGACTAAATCCTGCCGTCCGCTGCCTCATGCTCCTCCAACTAAATTCTCCTTCCTGAAAACAGAAGTTAAAGAGCTTTTTTTTTTCTACCACAGAAAAATTATTTAGAGCAAGCTGTTATTTCCTATAGTCTCAAAGTTATAAGTCTCTTTGTCCGGCAGCTGAGATTAGCTGAGTATGAAGGCCAGTATTGTGGTTTGCATTTAGAACTTTGCTTCAACGGAAATGCTCCACATTGCAGGTGCATCCAAAGTAAACTCTATTCTATAAAAAAACACAGGAGGAGGCTTGATAGCGCTTAGGAATGTGTTTGAATGAAATCTAACTTTGGGTCCTCTTGCATTTTACTTCCTCAGGTATATTTTTTGGACTGACTGGTACCGCCCTGCGAAGATTATGAGGGCTTGGGGTGACGGGTCACATGCTGTGTCTATTGTAAACACTACTCTTGGCTGGCCAAATGGCTTAGCCATTGACTGGAGGTGGGCCAACTATCTCACACTGAACAGTCCCACAGTCTACTTTTACGTTTTCTGCCATTTTCATAGGATTTACTCAGTTTTACCCCTAAATTTTTATAACAATAATCTTTTGTTTGACCTGTCTTGTTGCTGTATTTAGTGTAACTCTTGTTTCACTGCTTTCTCTTTTACTCAGCTCAATGCGTCTCTACTGGGTGGATGCTTTCTTTGACAAAATCGAGCACAGTAATTTTCATGGTCAGAACAGACTTTCTTTAAATCGCATCGCTCAGATTTCCCATCCATTTGGCCTCACCATTTTTGAAGGTATTGTAACCTGAAGATAAATTACGTTTAAGTAGTATTAACTACAGTTTATTGCTTGAATTATAAGTTTGCCAGAAGAGTTATTGCTGTTTCGAGAAAGTGATGGAAGATAAAAATGTATTACTTCTCTGACATGAAGGCTATGCATATTTCACTGACTGGCGTCTCGGTGGCATTGTGCGTGTGCGCAAGACTGATGGTGGGGAGATGGTCATTATCCGAAGAGGAATCAGCCACATCATGCACGTCAAGTCTTTCAACTCCAACTCTCAGATTGGTTAGTGGCTCCTGACTTTACCCCTCCTGCGCATAGGTGCTGCTCACTCTCCACAGCCGTGTTTTTGGTAATTACCCTCTCACTCTCCTACTCAGGTTCCAACCTCTGCAACAGGCCAACAAATCCTAACGGCGACTGCAGCCACTTCTGCTTCCCAGCCCCGGACTCACAGCGAGTGTGTGGGTGCCCGTACGGCATGAAGCTGTCGCCAAACCAGCAGACATGCGTTGAGGACCCGTCCAACGAGCCCCCCACGCTGCAGTGTGGCGCCAACTCCTTCTCCTGTGGCAATGGCAAATGCGTCCCAAACAGCTACAGATGCGATGGTGTTGACGACTGCCATGACAACACTGATGAAGTCAATTGTGGAATTAACAGTAATCTGTTTCAAGGTCTATTTGATTTTCCTTGTTGTGAGTGTTAGTAGTTAGTATTTAATTGGATCATTGTTTTGTTTCCTAGACTCTACTTGTTCCCCCTCTGCCTTCACCTGTACCAATCGGCGCTGCGTGCCAGCAGGATGGCGCTGTGATGGGCATAACGACTGTTTTGATAACAGCGATGAGATCAACTGCCCCACACAGGTGCCGGGAACGTGCCCTGCCAATCAGTTCACCTGCGCCAACCACAGATGCATCCCACACACATGGCGTTGTGATACAGATAATGACTGCGGGGATGGGTCAGATGAAGCTGACTGCTGTAAGTTTCCTTATAGTCCTTAACACCTAAGAAGATCTGTTTTGTTGATATGAGAACATGAGGAAAATTGGTCTACATTTGCAGATTATAAGGAAAATATTAGATTGATAGATTAAATACATGTATAATAGTTACAATAATGCAGCTCAAGACCAAGAAAGAACGTACAAAGACTCCAACGGGGTTCAAATGAAGGCAGCTGGACTTCTTTGGTTTTTTGTAGACGTTTTGCTTCTCATTCGAGGAGCTGTGTTAATTCTTACTGGAACACGGGAGGGCCAAGCCTATAAACTGTAGCTCTCTGTTGTTGCTCACTGAGCAGAAATTACCTATGAGAATACCCTTCCTCTCTACCCTCTAACATTCTAAGACAAAGTTCATAGTCATGTTTGACCATTTGTGTTGACAGATCTGGGAGGTACATGCCATCCAGGACAGTTTCAGTGTCCGGACCACCGCTGCATTGACCCAAACTATGTTTGTGACGGGGACAGAGACTGTGTGGATGGAGCAGATGAACAGGGATGCAGTAAGTGACTTTGTGCATAACACATTTTGTCTTTCCATTCTCAGCATAAATGTTTTGGAGCAAGCTGGATTTTGACTAAATGGATCAAAATCCATCAAATGATAACTAATCATAATGAAACCAGAAACATGTTTTAACCAGTCCTGGAAAAGTTTATAAAGATCTATTGGGTCCTCTGTTTAACTCAACCAGCATGTTGCTAAGCCTCCTAGTGATTGCTCTCATTAGCTGTGTCATTCAACATCTGAGTTTAAAACAACCGCAAGAAATGTTTCATATTAGCGTTAACCTACTTTTCTGGACTTTTTAGTTTACAACTGCACTGTGAGTGAGTTCAAATGCACCCGTGGTCACCAGTGTGTTAACTCCTTCTACCGCTGTGACGGGGTCTTTGACTGTAGTGATCGCTCTGATGAGAGGAACTGTCGTGAGTATAATATCCATAGAAACAAGTTATTCTAGTGATTTCACAGTTTTGTAAAATTCACAATATTGATGTGTTTTAACTAAAATACTCCACAGCGACCAGACCCCCAGGGATGTGCCACCATGAGAGGGAATTTCAGTGCCAGTCAGATGGGAGCTGCATCCCTTCCACATGGGAGTGTGACGGTCATCCAGACTGCCAGGATGGCAGCGATGAGCACCACGTCTGCCCGCCTCGCACGTGCCCTTCCACGCTCTTCCGCTGTGATAACGGAAACTGTGTTTTACGCAGCTGGCTTTGTGATGGAGACAATGACTGCAGGGACATGAGCGACGAGAGAGATTGTCCCATACCGCCTTTTCGGTGTCCGAGTTGGCAGTGGCAATGCCCAGGTCAAAGCATTTGCATCAATCTCACCACAGTGTGTGACAACACACCTGACTGCCCCAACGGTGCAGATGAGTCTCCTCTCTGCAGTAAGTTGCATCCTCTCATCTTAACATTATGCACTAAAACCAACTATGGCACTTGTTTGATTGACTTAAAAAAATAAATTCCTCTAAGTATTTTGTGTTTAATGCATGTTTTATTAGTGATTACGGTATATGTAAATCAATAAAAAAATTAAACAAATTTTCACTCAATTGTAAAAGTTACTCTAAGCACCTGATCAATAGATTTGATAAACTTAACTTATTTGAGTTAACAAAATCAGTTTATTAGGTGAATGAGCCAAAACATTACTGAAAATGTGCTGACAGAACATAAAATTCCTAATCTTCATCATTAAAATACAGCATCTAATTATGTGGAATTGATCTGATTATAGAATGTTTTTGTTTTCAGTAAAATTCATGAATTTGATTACAAATTATATGATTATTTGAAAAGTCATCGTCGTCTTCCTCCGCTTATGCGGGTCCGGGTCGCGGGGGCAGCATCCCAACTAGGGAGCTCCAGACTGTCCTCTCCCCGGCCTTCTCCAGCAGCTCCTCCGGCAGGACCCCAAGGCGTTCCTGGACCAAATTGGAGATGTAACCTCTCCAACGTGTCCTGGGCCGACCCGGGGGCCTCCTGCCGGCAGGACATGCCCGAAACACCTCCCCGGGGAGGCATCCAGGAGGCATCCTGACCAGATCCCCAAACCACCTCATCTGACTCCTTTCGATCCGGAGGAGCAGCGGTTCTACTCCGAGTCCCTCCCGAATATCCGAGCTCCTCACCCTATCTCTAAGGCTGAGCCCGGCCACCATATGGAGGAAACTCATTCCGGCCGCTTGTATCCGCGGTCTCGTTCTTTCGGTCATTACCCAAAGCTCATGACCATAGGTGAGGATTGGGACGTAGATCGACCGGTAAATCGAGAGCCTGGCTTTCTGGCTCAGCTCCCTCTTCACCACGACAGATCGGCTCAGCGTCCGCATCACTGCAGACGCTGAACCAATCCACCTGTCGATCTCCCGATCCTTCCTACCCTCACTCGTGAACAAGACCCCGAGATACTTAAACTCCTCCACTTGAGGTAGGACCTCTCCCCCGACCCGCAGTTGGCAAGCCACCCTTTTCTGGTCGAGAACCATGGTCTCAGATTTGGAGGTGCTGATCCTCATCCCAGCCGCTTCACACTTGGCCGCGAAACTTCCCAGCAAGAGCTGAAGGTCAGAGCTGGATGAAGCTAGGAGGACCACATCATCCGCAAAAAGCAGAGACGAGATTTTCCTGCCACCAAACTCGACACACTCCACACCACGGCTGCGCCTAGAAATTCTGTCCATAAAGGTAATGAACAGAACCGGTGACAAAGGGCAGCCCTGGCGGAGTCCAACCCTCACCGGGAACAGGTCCGATTTACTACCGGCTATGCGGACCAAACTCACGCTCCTCTGGTAAAGAGACTGAATGGCCCTTAACAGAAAGCCACCCACCCCATACTCCTGGAGCGTCCCCCACAGGGTGCCCCTGGGGACACGGTCATACGCCTTCTCCAAATCCACAAAACACATGTGGATTGGTTGGACAAACTCCCATGCCCCCTCCATCACCCTTGCAAGGGTATAGAGCTGGTCCACAGTTCCACGGCCAGGACGAAAACCACATTGCTCCTCCTCAATCTGAGATTCAACTTTCGATCGGACCCTCCTCTCCAGTACCTTGGAGTAGACCTTTCCAGGGAGGCTGAGGAGTGTGATCCCCCTATGGTTGGAACACACCCTCAGGTCACCCTTCTTAAAGATGGGGACCACCACCCCGGTCTGCCACTCCACAGGAACTGCCCCCGATGACCACGCAATGTTGAAGAGACGGTCAAAGCTCTGCCGGAGGTGGGAGTTGAAGACCGTCTTAACAGGTTCTTCTGCCAGGTGTTCCCAGCAGACCCTCACTATGTGTTTGGGTCTGCCAGGTCTACGCGGCATCTTCCCCTGCCATCTGATCCAACTCACCACCAGGTGGTGATCAGTTGACAGCTCTGCTCCTCTCTTCACTCGGGTGTCCAAAACATACGGCCGCAGGTCAGATGATACGACTACAAAGTCTATCATCGACCTGCGACCTAGGCTGCCCTGGTACCAAGTGTAGCAATGTACCTTATGTTTGAACATGGTGTTCGTTATGGCCAAACTGCGGCTTGCACAGAAGTCCAATAACGAAACACCACTCGAGTTCAGATCAGGCGGGCCGTTCCTGCCAAGCACACCCCTCCAAGTCATGCTGTCATTGCCCACGTGAGCATTGAAGTCCCCCAGCAGGACAATGGAGTACCCTGATGAGCATTATCTAGCACTCGTCCCAGGGACTCCAAAAAGGGTGGGTACTCTGAACTGATATTTGGCCCATAAGCACAAACAACAGTCAGGACCCGTTCCCCGACCCGAAGGCGGAGGGAAGCTACCCTCTCATCCCCCGGGGTAAACCCCAACACACAGGCAGAGAGTCTTGGGGCTAACAAAAAGCCAACCCCAGCCCTCCACCTCTCACCCGGAGCAACTCCAGCAAAGGAGAGTGTCCAACCCCTCGCAAGGACTTGGGTTCCAGAGCCAGTGCTATGTGTCGAAGTGAGTCCGACTATATCTAGCCGGTACCGCTCAACCTCTGCCACAAGCTCCTGCTCCTTCCCAGCCAGCGAGGTGACGTTCCATGTCCCAAAAACCAGTTTTCTTGTCCGGGGATTGGACCGCCAAGGCTCCCGCCTTGGTCTGCCACCCGATCCACATTGCACCGGACCCTTCATGTTCCTCCTGCGGGTGGTGGGTCCACAGTTGGATGAGCCCATGTATCCGGTTCGGGCTGGGCCCGGCCAGGCCCCATGGGCGAAAGCCCTGCCACCAGGTGCTCACTCACGGGCCCCAACCCCAGGCCTGGCTCCAGGGTGGGACCCCGGTAACCCTCCGGGCCGGGTACTCCGACTCTTTGAATTTACATCCATGAAAGATCCTGTGAACCGTTCTTTGCCTCACCCTTCACCTAAGACCAATTTGTCATGGGAGACCCTACCAGGGGCACAAAGTGCCCCCGACAACATAGCTCCTAGGATCATTAGGGCACTCAAACTCCTCCACCACGATCAGGTGACGGTTCAAGGAGGAGGATTATTTGAAAAGATTGCATTGAATTACCCTTGTTGAAATATATTAAAAGTAGTCACTCAGTTTCACAGAAATTATGTGCTGAACATCACCTACTTGACTTGTGCTCAAATCAAGCATGTGTGTGTGATCAGTCCTGTTATTAACCTGAAAATGATCTGTGATTCCCCCCTCCCCTCTTGCCTTTCTCACAACTTTCAGACGAGCCTTTGCCAGGTAGGAACAAACTCTAAATCATTGTTAGAAATGCTGCAAGTAGTTTTGATTCATTTTTCAGAAGATGCAATGTCTTTGTTTTAAGGACAGTAAATAGAAGTAGTCTCAACGTTTTGAAGCATTTCAGATTTTAGATCTAAACTGTCATCTTTTCCTCCTTTTCAACCCAGATCAGGAGAGCTGCTCTGATAACAATGCCGGCTGCACACATGGTTGCATTCAAGGACCTTTTGGGGCCCAGTGCACATGCCCTGTGGGTTATCAGCTCAGCAATGACTCTAAAACCTGTGAGGACATAGATGAGTGTATTCCCCTAGGACTTTGCAGTCAGCACTGCTTTAATGAGAGAGGGTCTTTCCGCTGCCACTGCCAGGACGGCTACACTCTTGAAGCAGACCAGCGTTCCTGCAAGGCATCAGGTGGGAGGAGATACGTCTCAGGTCCTCTGTGACTGGAATGTACACAGCCTATGATTTTATAATGAAGTCAGATGTTTTCATTATTGGCCCTGCAGTGGTTTGAGCTTCAACATATTTTGCCTTTGAAACACATATCTCTGTCGCTTCCACTCCGCCCAGCTATTGGGAAGGAGCCACAATAAAGGGGGTTCTTGGCCCCCAGACGGCCAGACAGTCCTTCTTCTCTTGTGTCTTTCTTTGCTGCTCAGATTTCTAAAGATAAGACAAATAACATAAATGTCAGTCACTGGCCATCAGCGCTGTAATTAGAACATAATCACAAACAAAGGGCTGTTTATGGGGAAGCGTGCCTGACATGAGCTTCTCTTCCCCCACAGATAACCGGCTGAAAGCCTTTGCAATACAATAGGACTTTATTTGAACTAAAGTGCATTCCCAAAGGACTGCTACATGATAGGGTTTATTTAACAGTCTAGTTGTACGGCTGTGGTCCACACACAAAAACTGATAAGTGCCCTTATTAGCATGAAAATGGTGATTGAGAACATAACGGAGGTTTAATTTCTGTTTTTCTTCTAGATTCACGGCAGGCATTCCTGCTTGTAGCAAGTCGAAATCAGATCGTTCAGGATGACATAACAGCTCAACCCAATGTCATTCGGTCGCTGGTTCGAGACGGACGCAACATTGTGGCCCTTGACTTTGACTCTGCCTCTGACCGCGTGTACTGGTCAGATACAAGCCAAGACAGAATCTGGAGCTGTCACAAAAATGGCAGCGATAGAACTGTGGTAAGGCATAGCCAAGCTAAAATGTTATTTCTTAGCTTCACGTTTATGTTGAAGTAACAATATGTGTGCTGTGGATAGATATTTGACAGTGGAGTGACTGTAACAGAGAGCCTTGCAGTAGACTGGGTGGGCAGGAACTTGTACTGGACCGACTACGTCCTGGAAACAATTGAAGTCTCCAAACTGGATGGCACCCATCGGACTGTGTTAGTCAGTGAAAATGTCACCAACCCTCGAGGTCTTGTGCTGGACCCTAGAGATAGGTCAGGAAGTCATTTAATGTGATGTATTTTCCACTCACTGTGGGCTGGTTAAATGAAACAAAACATCTGTTTTTCAGTGCTCACCTGATGTTTTGGACCGACTGGGGTAGAAACCCTCGAATTGAGAAGGCAAGCATGGATGGGAAACTGAGAACAGTAATTATAAGCAGCAAACTGTACTGGCCCAATGGCCTCACCATTGACTATCCCAACAATTTGCTGTACTTTGCTGACGCTTACTTGGATTTCATTGACTACTGCGATTACAATGGCAACAACAGGAAACAAGTTCTGGCCAGTGACTTGGTGAGTGAAGAGATTAATCTCTACACATGTTCAATATTTTTTTGAATAGCATGTATAAGACATGCCTGTTTTCTTTTGCTACTTTCTATGAAAAGGTACTGCAACACCCCCACGCAATTACCATTTTTGAGGATTTTGTCTATTGGACCGACAGATACATCAACCGAGTGATGCGAGCTCATAAGTGGCACGGGGAGAACCAGACAGTGATGCTGTTCAACCTCCCTCAACCCATGGGTCTAGTGGCAGCACACCCAGCCAGGCAGCCAGCAGGTACACTATATACTAAACATGATCCAGTCTGGATGTTGTTGTGATGATTGCTCACCTACTCTTTTATTTGACAATTAATAGGCCAGAATCACTGTTTGAGAAGCCCTTGCACTCATATCTGCCTTCTTTCTGCCGTGGGACCAAGATATTATTCATGTGCCTGCCCCTCAGGCTGGACTTTGGCAGATGACCAGTTCACCTGCACCAGAGGTATACATGCTGCCAAAAGGAGGGAAACTTTCATCGCTTAGAATGATAAAAAAAAAAGGAAGTCAGTTCCGAAGAAGCCGATGTAGTCATCAATTATTCATCTCAGCAGAGATTATTGTCATGAAAGAGCGAAACTCTTTCTGCGGAAATGACAGTTTTGCATACTTTCTGGTCAGACAGGTATCTTCATGTTGGTTTAAGGGGAAATCTTTGAAAACAGGATATTTGCGTTATCAATTGATCCGGGCACTTGTCAACAGCCTTCCATTTAAATTCTCTTGTAAACTGCTGCTCCAGTCATAAATATTGAGTCATATAAGCGTGTCTTTCACTCTTGAGAAGACAAGAGACCTTTAATTCAACGTCTGAGGACTCTGCCGTAGGTCAGCAGCTTAACTCATCTCAGGTTTCAGCCCCTTCAAACCAAGCAGAATGCAATCCAGCCCAGAAGCCAATGATTATCCAAGAATGAAAATGCCCTACAACCATTCATTTACTCTAATCTCTGATGACAGAGCAAATCAGAATGTGGAACCAGCTTTCACCAGTCAATCCTCTTTATAGAAAAATACCTTTTAGCTTGAGACGCCTAATTTACCACAAATATCTTACACAGAAAGCATCAGTTGCATTAATTACCATATTCTACGTCCCTGAAGCAAATTTTCTGGTTCTGTTTTAGGATTTTATTTATATTTTTTCAATTGTCTTATTTAATTTAACTATAAGAACAGGTTACAGTACTTTTTTTTTAATTCCTGTAGAATGAAGATGTTGGCTTTTCTTTTTCATTGTTTGTTTTTCTTTTAGTTGATGATCCCTTCTTGGTGGTTGTGAGAGACAGTATCATCTATGGCATTCCATTGAACCCAGAGGACAAGAGCAATGATGCCATGGTTCCTGTTGCTGGTCTTCATAATGGCTATGATGTTGACTTTGATGACAGTGAACAGATCATCTACTGGGTGGAACACCCAGTAAGTTTTTCTATAAATACCATGGAAAAGGAAAAACTCAGTTATGATGCAGAGAAGCAGATGAGGGTTGATACAAAACATGTTGAATTCACTGAAAGCATCGGTGTTAGGTACTTGGTGTGATTAATACGTGTGGAATTTTCCACCAGGGTGAAATCCATAGAGTCAAGTCAGATGGTACTAACAGGACTGAGTTTGCCCCTGCCGCCATCCTTGGCTCCCCTGTTGGTCTGGCCTTGGACTGGATAACAGAGAACTTGTACTACACCAATCCAGCTACACAGTCTATTGAGGTGAGATGAATGGCAAAAAATATGGTAAACAAGACAGTGTCACACCAAACATACATACCTAGTTACCAACCAACCAACTAAACAACTAACCAACTGACCAACCGACTGACTAACCAACCAACTGACCGACCAACTAACCAACCAACCTACCAACCAAACAACTGACCAACCAACCAACCAACCAACCGACCAACCAACCAACCAGTGAAATCAACTTCTAACCAATCAATTGACCAATAAAACCAAACTAGTCAACCAATTTCACACTTACCCTCCTATTTGCTTCCTTTCGTACTCGCTTACTCACATATTTTTTGACTTGCTTACATTCATCCAGGTCTTAAGACTGAGAGGGGAGGTGCAGTACCGGAAAACTCTGATCACTAATAACGGTTCTCCAACCGGAGCTGGCAGTCCTGTTGGAATTGCAGTGGATCCAGCACGTGGGTAAGCCCTATTTAGAGTAACACCGTCCTGGCTCGAGCACTTAAATCCACAGCTACTGAACTCTGTCAGGCTCAACACAACCATCTGTCCTGCCTCTAGAGATCACAAAAGGGGGTGCTGAATAACAAACCACAATCTAAAACCACAGCATACAGTTGAGGAACAAAGAAACACATCACTGAATCATTCTCAATAAATGTCAAACCAATTTGCAAAGAATGAATTGGATAAAGAATCTAACTACAGTATGTTTGACCGGATTGCTTTGAAGAAAAAAATACTGAACAGAACTGTTTATTTTCACTAGTAAACTGTACTGGACAGACCAGGGGACTGAGAGTGGTATTCCTGCTAAGATGGCCTCAGCAGACATGGATGGCATGAACCCAGTCAACCTGTTCACCAATAATCTGGATCATATTGAGTTTCTCACTGTGGACATCAAAGAGAACAAGCTTTACTGGGCTGTAACAAGCACGGGAAAAGTGAGTCTTTACCATCTTACTAATTAAAAAAACCTGTTCACCAGAATACGTCATACCCTAATTCTGATGTAAGTGATTGATCTTTTGTGCAATAACTGCCACAGATTGAGCGTGGAGATCCAGATGGAAGTAATCGTATCACCATAGTGACAGGCCTGTCTCACCCCTGGGGTGTGGCTGTTTATCAGAACTACCTGTACTTCACTGACCGTGACTTTGAGGTCATAGAACGAGTGGACAAGTCAACTGGAGCCAACAGGGTTGTGTTGCGAGACAATGTGTCTGGACTAAGGGTCCTAAAAGTTCACTTTCGAGAAAGTGAGTAACAGTCATTAAACATTTGCTAATTTTCACAGTTTTGATGCATTGTTGAATTCTTGTTGTTTTGTGTTTTGTATCTGTGACACTGTGATTTCTCTACACAGCCTCTGTGGGTACGTCTAACGGCTGTGCTGACAATGTGGGAATGTGTGATCAGCTCTGTCTGCCTCGACCACAGGGCCTTTTTACCTGTGCATGTGCAACAGGTTTTAAACTTAACTCTGACAACAGGACCTGCTCTCCTTACCAGTCCTATGTTGTCATCTCCACGCTCTCTGCTATTAAAGGCTTTAGTCTGGAAGGATCGGATCACTCTGAGGCCATGGTCCCTGTGGCTGGGAGGGGTGAGTGACTCTCGTGAACTGGGATATGCACAAACGCTTGAAAAAATAGGCCACGGTAAGAAACATTAATCAACTTACAAAGAAACTAATTATCACCTTACAGGCCGTAACGCTCTCCACATCGATGTGCACATGGCTTCTGGCTTTATTTACTGGTGTGACTTCAGCAGCACTGTCGCAATACAAAATGGGGTCAGACGGATAAAGCCTGATGGTTCAGGACTACATAGCGTAGTTACATCTGGAATAGGACGCAACGGGATACGAGGCATTGCTGTGGACTGGGCTACAGGTAAGTAGAGTGGCATGTTAACGTATGGGCATGGACACACTTACTTCAATTTTCTGTTCTTGTGAATGGTTAGAATGGTTGTGCTTTAAGCCAAGCAGCTTTTTAGATGTTTTTAAAGCTTAGCTTCATGAGATAAGACTCAGTGAATTTGACAGTTTACTGTTTTACTTCACATCTAAATCTTTTTCATTTTTTTTTGTCCTCAGGTAATTTGTACTTTACCAACGCCTTCCTTACTGAGACCTACATTGAAGTTCTTCGCCTCAACACCACTTTTCGCCGGGTGTTGGTGAAGACTCAGGTGGATATGCCTCGCCACCTTGTTGTCGATCCCAAAAACAGATATCTATATTGGGCTGATTATGGTCAGAGCCCAAAAATTGAACGAGCACTCCTGGATGGAACCAATCGTACTATTTTGGTGTCTTCTGGAATCATCACCCCGCGAGGCCTTGCTTTAGACTGGCAGACTGGCTATGTGTACTGGGTGGATGATTCTCTGGATATGATTGCTCGAATCAACCCTAATGGAGGAGAGACAGAGATTGTGCGGTATGGCAGCCGCTACCCAACTCCTTATGGAATTACAGTTTTTGAGAATAGTATAATTTGGGTAGACCGAAATCTCAAGAAGGTTTTCCAAGCAAGCAAGGAGCCAGGCAACACCGAGCCTCCTGCTGTCATTAGAGACAACATCAACATGTTGAGAGACGTAACTATCTTTGACCGGCATTCTCAGCCCACCAGTGTCCAAGAGCTGAACCACAATCCCTGCGTGGAGGCCAATGGAGGCTGTGCCCACTTCTGCTTTGCCCTTCCAGGCTCTAGCTTGGGCGTGCAAAGTAAAAAGTGCAGCTGTGCTTTTGGGGATCTTGCAGCAGATAAAGAGAACTGTGAGATGTCAAAGGATGATTACCTCATTTATACCACTGAGAGCACAGTGCGGAGCCTGCGCCTTGATCCTGAAGACCATTCAGTGCCCTTCCCTGTTGTCAATGTGCCCCGTACTTCAGTTGCTCTGGATTATGATCTATTAGACAATAGGGTCTATTTTACTCAAAGCTCAGGAGCAGGAGTGAGTAAGATCAGCTACATCAGCCTGTCCTCTCCTGCTTCAGTTCCTATTGTTGTAGCCTCTGGTAAGTTTTGCTTTCCCGCTGTTGGAATTTATTTTGATAATTGTAATGATTACGTTGTGGTTTCTGAAAATTGACAGATCTTGGGGCTCCTGATGGCATTGCTTATGACTGGATAAACAAAAGAATCTACTACAGTGACTACGTAAACCAGAGCATCAGTTCTATGTCTGTGGATGGTGCTCAAAGAACTGTAGTCGCTCATGTTTCCAGACCTAGGGCCATCATGTTGGATCCCTGCAGGGGGTAAAAGCTGCATGGTATTTTTGATTTATATAATTAAATTGGGCACTTTAAAATAAAATGTTTTACCTGTCGCACAGATACATGTATTGGACCGACTGGGGGACCCATGCAAAAATTGAGCGATCCACTCTGGGTGGGAACTTCAGAACAGAGATTGTGAACAGCAGTCTGGTGTGGCCAAATGGTCTGACTCTGGACTATGAAGAGGAGAGGATTTACTGGGCAGATGCTAGCTTGTAAGATCACACAATTCCATTTGTTAACTACGACTTATTTGTATCTGTTGTGTTATCTTGTTACTCTTAAGTATTTGCCATTATTATAATTTTCTCTGCCATCAGACAGAAGATTGAGCGATCTTCTCTTACGGGGTCCAACCGTGAGGTGATTGTCAGCACAGCCATCTACCCGTTTGCTCTGACCATGTTTGGTCAGTTCATCTACTGGACCGACTGGAACACTCGCAGCATCTATCAAGCCAACAAGCATGATGGTTCTGACCAGAGAGTTATGATCCAGAACCTTCCATCCCGGCCGATGGACGTCCATGTTTTAGCCAGCAGGAAGCAGCAGCAGTGTGATAGTCCCTGCCAGCAGTTCAATGGTGGATGCAGCCACATCTGCACACCAGGTACCAGCCATAAGTAAAATAACACAAATCGCAATCTGGAAGCTTCATGAACTTATTTGGATGATTTGGTCCTGCTAGGGCCTAATGGAGCTGAGTGTCAGTGTCCATCAGAGGGCCGTTGGTACTTGGCTGACAATAAGTACTGCATCCCGGATAACGGGACTCGCTGCCAACCTGGCCAGTTCACCTGTATGAATGGCCGCTGTATTCGAGCCCAATGGAAATGTGACAATGACAACGACTGTGGAGATGGCAGTGACGAGTTGGAAAGAGTTTGCGGTAGGCAGCTCTTCACAGAGCTTAAATGGCATGAGGGATTTTCACTCAAACCTTTTCTTCTCTTTCCACATGTCTTAATCAAAAATGATCAGTTGTGTATTTTTATACCCTCACCACTAACATGCATTTTGTTTTGCTTGAACAAATCGACTTTATAGGATCTAAACCAATCGTCAGCAATGCTGGTGTGTATTCCTGCTCAGCGTTTGAATTTCCACTAACCCCCCCCTCCAAAGTAACTAATCCAAAGCTAACATGAATCAATGCCCTTGTCTTTGCATGCAGTCCCACAGCTGCTGTCATCTTTTATTGCCTTGTCAGGTAAAATGAACCTATGCTGGATGTTTGCAGCCTTGCCTCTAAAGGCCCACATTCTATTGGTCAGATTTTTTATTTGTGCTATTTGTTGATTCGCAGCTTTCCACACGTGTGAGCCCACTGTGTTCACTTGTGGCAATGGGCGATGTGTTCCCTACCACTACCGCTGTGACCATTATGATGACTGTGGAGACAACAGTGATGAAGTGGGCTGCCTGTTCAGACCCTGTGACCCCAGTACAGAGTTCACCTGCAACAATGGGCGATGCATCGCAAAGGACTATGTCTGCAATGGCATCAACAACTGCTACGACAACAGGACCTCTGATGAGCAGAACTGTCGTGAGTATGGTCCCAAAAATGAAAGATAAATCAGTGTTAAATGTAAAAATTTAAATTTGTGGTTTTTCCAGCGGAGAGAACTTGCCAACCAGAGCAGACAAAGTGTCAATCCACAAACATCTGCATCCCACGCTCATACCTGTGTGATGGAGACAACGATTGTGGGGATATGAGCGATGAGAGTCCAACACACTGTGGTGAGTTTAAAACTCTCACTTGTTCTCTTTCATCATCTTCTATGTAGCTGTAGTCTAAATAGAAATTTTAAGCGCACGCAATCCTGTTGCAAAAAAGGACAGTTTAGCATGTCCTCTACTTTATCAAAAAATAAACTGAGCAACTCATTCGAACAATATTTTCATTAAAAGATTCATATTTTTGAGATACACTAAATTTACAAGAATTTACAAATTATTGCCAATTCATGTTTAAATTTATATTATAACTTGAACTTTCATTTCTGTTGAAGTACCACACAATGTTTCTTGAAGAAATAAAAGGTTTCCTAACAATATTCAGTACAAAATATATTTAGTTGTCTCTATATTATAGCTACTAGTATGCAGGTGAAACTCCTCAAACTGGATTATTGTCCAGAAGTTCATATAGGAGAGAGACTCATTACATTTAAAGCAGATATTTCAAGTGTTCATTTGCTATAGTTGTGATGATTATTGCTTACAGTTTATGAACGTCTGAAATTCAAAATCTCAGACAATTAGAAAATTGAGAAAGGGTTCTAGCCTGAGCCTTTAAATGGTCTCTCAGTCTAATCTAAATTACCGACATGAATACATTTTGCACCATATTCTCACTTTTCAAGTTTCAGCAGCAGGTGTCTTTATTAACTACTATATACACTTTTGAATTAGCATTAAACCCAATTAATGTTTTTCATTTTAGGAATATTTTGGAGATATTTGCTTTGTCATGCCTTCTCAAACTGTCATATTTTCTAAATTTAACTTTATGTTATTCTTGTTAAACAAATCTAAGAATCATAAAGTTAAATGTATTAAATCCCCTCCGTGACTTCAATGTTGTCCGTGTCTTCCAGCTGCATCCACTTGTTCTCAGAGTGAGTTTCGCTGCTCCAGCGGCCGCTGCATCCCCGCCCATTGGTACTGTGATGGAGGCGCCGACTGCTCCGACGGCTCTGATGAACCCCTCTCCTGCAGTGAGTGTCGCCCAACTCTCTCACACCCAGAATGAGCTCTTCAGCTTTGTGCGGCTCCCCCCCACCCTTTCATCAGCTGCTTGGCTATTGTGTGTCGGTGTCTGTCAGGCAGTCTGCATCTGTGTTGTGTGTGAGGCTCCTGTGAGTGATGTAGCAGAGCGTGTGAGTCAGTGGTGTATTTCTTTGTTGATGATGTGGTCAGCCAGGCCTCCTATTGTAGGCTGCATTCCTCTGTGGTGACGCCCCTCAATGTCCTCAGACAAACAGCACCTCCCCCTCTCTTTATCCTCCAGGGGTTACAGAGCCTAACGTTGGCTTTTGTTTAGATAGCTCACCATGCATGGGAATGTGGAGTTGCCATGACTATTTTGAAAGCTGTGCCAGCGTTGTATTGTGTCGTCTTTGAAAGCTGTGGGGGAAAGTACCTGAAACAACTGGCTATTACAAATACGACAGAAATGTCATAATAAAGTGTTATCATTTATGAGGTCACAGTCACGGCCGGTGTTGCTGATTGGTCCAAAGGTTTTCGTCTCTTTGTCTCTGCAGCCACACTTCCCAGAACCTGCAACTCAGATCAGTTCCGCTGTGACGACGGCAGGTGCATTGCCCTATCATGGATCTGTGATGGGGACAATGATTGTGGTGACATGAGTGACGAAGATCAGAGACACAACTGTGGTATGCGTGATTTTTTTTAATCCCTACTTTACTCCCTTGCTTTTGTTCTCCGCCACTTCCTGACTTTGCCACCTCCTGCTCCCCACGTGCTTTTCCTATTCAGGGTTTGGACCCACCACTAGGGGGTTGTTTTAGGGCAGCATCCCATTCTCTTGTAGAAACTTTTCCAATTCAAGGAGCTGGCATTCCTGATTTCTCTTGCCTCACTCGTTACTTTGTGTACATCTCTTTTCTCTGGCTTTTTGGCTCAAAGTGGATCAAGTTTCTTATATCTCTCCAAAATGTGCTCCAAAAATAAGATGCCTAAAGCTGAGGACTTTAGCAGTGCTTCAGCCTCAGTAGGAGACTCACATCAAACAAGGCAGCCGCTGCTGTGCCGTTTGAAATACATATTGGAATGTTTGAATTTCTGAACTATGTCACTGACATTATTTGACTATTATGTAAGTCCTTGTGTCTGATCAGTGTTTCCATTAGATAGGCACCACGCCTACAAGATCCCAAGTTTTATAGATTTTTTTTGTGCCGTTTCCCGAAGAAGCAGCGGGAACTACTCTGTTGTTGCTTGCGATCTCAGCTGGCAGGCAGCAAGGAGGAGGAGGCAGGGCACGGTGGTTACAGCTAGGGATGAGCCGGATACTCATTTCAGACTAGTATCCGGTACGGATAAAGCATATTTGACGAATACGAGCATGAAACGAGTAAACATTGTAAATATCTGTAATCGTGCTGAAGGAAAATCCTCATTGGGTAACTGACTGTCTTCATGCTCTGTGATTGGCCAGTCACATAGAGCGCCCGCCCTTCCCTACACACAAAACTGCAGCCGGGAGCCACACACAGTAACGGATCTCTCTGAGCTTGCTTCGCTGTTGCTGACATATCTTCAGCGCTCCCTAGGTTTTCTTCAGCTCGCCTCTTTTTTGCTTAAATATTTAAAGTTACTTTTTTCATAACGTACGTGGTGCATTTGACAAGACAGAGCTGAAAACGGCTTGTGCATGCGTCGGTCACTGCCTCCGCTCCGGTTGTTTTTTTTTAAAATTATTTTAACTCTCTCCCTCTCTCTCACACACACACCTCAGTCAACATTGTTTTGTTTAATTGTGTGTGGGAAAAATGCAAACAACGTTAGGAAATAATCAGTTTTATCAAATTAAAATAAAATGGTTCTAGCATTTCATATTTCCTAGTTCCTACTGCATGAGTTCAGATGCATTAATTCATGCACTTAAATATTAATGATCTGATTTTACTGAAAAACTTGTTCTGTAATAGTTCCTTTACTATTGTGATCAAAACTTTTTCATCTCAATTCTGAGGCTGCTCTGTAAATAGTTTTCAAATAAACAATACACATAGCAACTTCTGATCAATCCATATCAATTTCAGATTTAAAATAATGTATTGATGTAAACCACACCCACTAATTTCCAAATAATAAATAAGAGATGCATTCATCTTTTCACTGTAATGCATCTTGATGTTCTTAACAAATACATTAAATCAAAGATATTGGTCAATAATGCCAAATATGTAAATTTGTGTTTCAGTCATTTTTATACTGGCTTAAAAATACTTCATTAAGTCTACTAAGCAGGGGTGTAGACGGTTTTTAATAGGGCCAGCCCAGTAATGACCTTGGACCAAAATAAAGGGGGCAGAAAGTCAAATAAAGGGGGCAAAAGGAGATGTTTTTCCAGACGCCAAGAAAAATTAAATGCCAAATCCACCCTGCAAAGTGTGTCACTGAGAGTTTAAAACAAAAATTATTTTTGTGCAAATATTGGTGTATTCACCTTTAATACTAGTTATTAAAATACAGCAGTTGCTGGACTGGTGCTGATCAAAGTGGAGTGCATCAAATAAAACAATATTAACATAAAGGTGAGACGTGTCATCCCCCGCCCTCCCCCACCCCCCCACCCCCACACCCCCACCCCCACCACCACCACAGCTGGAAAAATTCCTAGGGGAAACACTGCTGATTATGTCACATTTCCAGCCAATCGCACGTGCTCGAGTGCAGAGTTCACTTGTGCGAACAACCGACCTCCGCAGCGGAAGTGTATTCCGCGTGACTGGGTGTGTGATGGAGACGCGGACTGTGCTGATGCATTAGATGAGCGCCAAAACTGCACGCACAGATCATGTGGCATCAATGAGTTCACCTGCAGTAACGGCCTCTGCATACGCAGCTCCTACAGGTTAGACATACAACGTTAAAACCTTTAACTGCAATTAATTACGTCTGTAAGATGAGTTTGACCGTTTGAGTTCCTCTTAGATGTGATCGTCGCAACGACTGCGGAGACAGCAGTGATGAGCAGGGCTGCACCTACCAGCCATGCCAGTCCCACCAGTTCACATGCCAGAATGGCCGCTGTGTGTCCCACGATTTTGTCTGCGACGGGGACAATGACTGTGGGGATGAGTCCGATGAGCTGGAGCACATGTGTCGCACGCCAGCACCTACATGTCCTCCTGGAGAGTTCAAATGTGAGAATGGACACTGTATTTCCCTGATGAAGGTGTGCGACAGGAATGACGACTGCTCCGACAGCAGTGATGAGAAAGGATGTGGTGAGTGTGAAAAGATTTGAATGGTGCTTGAAAACTAAAATTTCAGGATACTTTTTGCCATGCTGGAAGTGAAAAGATAAATAAAACAACAACTCCATTTTGGATATTTTGTCTCCTTTCTGTCTGCAGGTATCAATGAATGCACAGACCCATCCATCCACCACTGTGATCACAACTGCACCGACACACCCACCAGCTTCGTTTGCACCTGTCGTTCGGGCTACCGCCTCATGTCTGACAGCAAGTCGTGCGACGATGTCAACGAGTGTGCCGAGACACCGAGTGTGTGCAGCCAGGTCTGTGAGAACACCCTTGGCTCCTACGTGTGCAAATGCGCTCCGGGATTCCTCCGAGAGCCAGATGGACGCAGCTGCCGCCAGAACAGCAACATCTCACCGTACCTGATCTTCAGCAACCGCTATTACCTGAGGAACCTGTCGACGGATGGACAGGCCTACTCCCTCATTCTGCAGGGCCTGACCAGCGTGGTCGCATTGGACTTTGACCGTGTCGACAAGCGCCTCTATTGGATCGATGTGAGCCGCCGAGTGATAGAGAGGATGTTTTTTAATGGTAGTAACAAAGAGGTTGTGGTGAATGGAGTTCTGCATGGGGAGGGCCTTGCTGTAGACTGGGTAGCTAGGAAGCTCTACTGGGTGGACAGTTTCCAGGATTGTCTCAAAGTGTCTGAACTGGATGGCCGATTTGTGAGGAAGCTGGCTGAACACTGCGTAGATGTCAACAACACTTTCTGCTTTGAAAACCCGAGAGGCATTGTCCTGCATCCCAAATATGGGTGAGTGATAAGCGTGGATTCCACCAATATTCTATAAAAATATTCTCAAAGGTTATGAGTTAGATTTTTGTGTTAGTTAGTATACTTTTATGTTAATTAGCAGCATTTTATTTGAAAAGATTATTCTAAAAACCATTGATTTGTAGTTTTCCTCCATTCAGGAAAAATTGCATGATTTTTTTTAGAAATCTGTAAATGTGATAGTCTTACCGTTTACTACTGCTACTGTTATATAATGTTGGCAATACGTCAATTTATTTTTGCTACGCCCACCCCCTCCGTCGCGTAGAGGCCCGTGCAATTTGGATTGAACGATGCTCAGCATTACCCAACACCGCCAGACATCTGTTTATGTAACAAATGGCCTGTGTGCACGTTTGTGGAAGTATTTAGACTGATGCAGAGTTGGCAAAATTTCTTATTAACAAGTAAGTCTTAAAAAATGAAAATATATATCTATTTATATGATGAAAGAGCATAATATCAGAATAATAATTTCAAAACAAGGTGTTTTAACTCTTGGCTGACTGGAAGTGTGCGTTCGCAAACAAGAAGAAGGGAGAGGGGCTTAAACTTGTAATACATTCTTCCACCTCTAGGTGGTGCCCTCTGAGAAAAGAAACTCCAGATTTCGGCTTCTTTAAAGCCATTTTGTTCAAAAATGATGTAAAATGCTTAGAATTTTGTAACATTCATTTCTGATCCTGTTGATGGATCTTAACAAATCCAATCTTTTGATATGTGATTACTCTTTCGAATCAATACAATCCAAGATGGCGGCCACATCTAATTGACATTAGCAAACACACAGATGACTCATACCCAGGCAATTTTAGACATGTTGATTTGAAAATCTATTTGGTTGTTGCTAAAAGCTATTCCCAACACCTTTTCTGTGCGCTACTGGATTCCATGAGATCTCAAGCAAGTCCAATTTAAATTTAAAAAGTGGTAGAAAAACATTGATTCTGACCTGATTTTCCTGTACTCCCTGTTAGGTATGTTTACTGGACAGACTGGGGAAACCAAGCCTTTATAGGTCGTGTTGGAACAGACGGAACCAACAAAACAGCAATAATCACCACAAAGGTGGAATGGCCGAATGGTATCACAATCGACTACACCAACGACCATCTCTACTGGTCAGACGCTCATCTGAATTACATCGAGTAAGCTCATCGGGACGGGAACACATTTCTTTCACTCGCAGTGTAAAAAAAAAAAAGAATCCCTGCAACGTTTTGTTTTCTTTCTCAGATACTCGGACTTGGATGGTCAGCACAGACACACGGTGTATGACGGGAGTTTACCGCACCCGTTTGCTTTGACCGTATTTGAGGACGCTGTATACTGGACTGACTGGAACACCCGCACGGTGGAGAAAGGCAACAAATACAACGGCTCTGGCCGTGAAGTTCTGGTTAACACCACACACAGACCATTTGACGTCCACGTATGCCATCCTTACAGACAGCCCATTGGTGAGTTGAAACCCTTGACAAAAGGTGCGATGGGGTTTGTTTATCCAGCTGTGTTGAACTGGTTTTGTTTATGTGTGGCTCTTCCTCCTCAAAGTAAACAATCCCTGTGCTGTGAACAATGGGGGCTGCTCTCACCTGTGCCTAATCCGTCATGGGGGACAAGAACACACCTGTGAGTGCCCGGACCATTTCCTGGCCGTACAGATAGGAGGTGTGACCCGATGCCTCCCCATGTGCTCCAGCACCCAGTACAGATGTGCAAACAATGAACGGTTTGTCAATTTTGTTTAATCTACGATGAGGCTTTTAGTGTTTTTGTCCCCCGTGGCCTGTGGTTCTTTCATTGCGTTTGTTTAGTCACATTCCAGCTGATGGTACCCCGAAGCATTTATCGTTCTGCTTCTGCATCAACAGCTGCATTCCCATCTGGTGGAAATGCGATGGCCAGCGGGACTGCAGAGACGGCTCTGACGAGCCCTCCACTTGCCCGGTTCGCCACTGTAATCTCGGCCAGTTTCAGTGCAGCGATGGGAACTGCACCAGCTCGCACTTCCTCTGCAACAGCCACCGGGACTGCCCTGACGGCTCGGATGAAGATGCGGTGCTGTGTGGTGGGTAGAGTTTTTAGTTTGTGAGTTCTGTCTTCCAGTAATCTTGTAATAATCTTTCTGCCAGCTGAATCGGTTGTTTTCTATGCAGCTACACACCAGTGTGAAAGCCACCAGTGGCAGTGTGCGAATAAGAGGTGCATCCCTGATTCGTGGCAGTGCGACGGTGAGGACGACTGCGGAGATCAGTCTGACGAAGACTCTGCTCACTGCTCGAGTCGCACCTGTCAGCCCGGACAGTTTAAGTGCCGGAATGGGCGCTGCATCCCGCAGAGCTGGAAATGTGACGTCGATGATGATTGTGGTGACAATTCGGACGAACCACTGGAGGAATGCAGTAAGTAATGTCTCTTAGCTGTACTGACAGGTCTTCCTTCACAGATATTTCATCATTTATGTTGAGTCGTTTTTGCTATTTAGTTAATTTGTCATTTTCATAGTGGGACCAGCATACCGATGTGACAACCACACAGAGTTTGACTGCAGGACCAACTATCGCTGCGTGCCGCTGTGGTCCGTTTGCAACGGCCACAACGACTGCAGAGACAACAGTGATGAGCAGAGCTGCGGTGAGTCTTTCTGACCAACAGAACCGTTGGTTTTATTAGTGTTTGGTGATCTTTCCATTGACGGGCAATTAGCCAACATTTCAGCCTCCTGTGCAACTGTGGTTCTGGGAGGTGCCGATGGAGCGCGTCTTACCAGTCACCCTCCCCCAAGATTTACCTCTCCTTGGGAGCACCACAGATTTATGAGCTGTCTGTTGGTATGACTCAGCATAGATGTGTGTATGTGTGTTGTTGCTCTGTCCTTGCGTGGGGGCAGGGTTCATATAGGCCTCTTTGTACTTTGCTAAGATCCGAACATGCTCGGTCGTGGCCCTCCCCTCTCTTATCACAGGAACTGGCTCCATTAGTGCCATGCCTGCGCAGGAGGAGAGATCTGTGCTAATCTTCCTGTAAGAATGCAGAAGATGGGCCAGGTGGAGGTCTAGGAGGGCCGGACTAGTGAACACGGTGCTATCTTTGACCCCCCCCCCCCCCCCCCCCCCCTCCCGGCACCGTGTGGTAGAGATGGCTCAGACCAGCTCGGCTGCACTCCTCTGCCTTTCTGTGGTTCTCGTCTCCTCCACTCTTATCCTCCTCAGACGTACCGGCATGACGAGCTCACACATCTGTCTGAGGCATTCTGCTCTCCTCCCCTGATGACCTTTGCTTTTTAATTAAAAGGCACCAATTATTTTATTTCAAACTGACATTTTTTATTCATGAAACGTACTCTGGAGATTGTATTGCCTCTGTTTGTTGTAATTAAATAATACGTTTTCATGGTGTCATTTAAAAGAGAAGGGGTGTTTGCAGGACTGTGTGATCTTTGTAGAACTTGGAATAGTGATAAAATGAGAAGATATCAGTGCCAGAAACGTTTTCATTTTCCACCATGATGCTCATAGTGTGTGTTTTGAGATTTCAACCTTCCAAGCTTTCCGGGCTTAGACCCACAAAATTCAAATAAAAAGTTACTTGTGAGCTCAAATATAATTTTTCAAACCGTAAAAAAACATTTAAAAAGTCTAATATAAAAAGTAAACTGCTTCTGTTCATAATCTACCACTTTTTACATGTACGACTATGATTGTTTCAAAGGCAAACTAATGTGAATGGATGAATTTAAAAGAATTTCAGCATAACTTCACAAAGAGCACGGGTAGAACGCAGTTTTAGTTTCTCTGTTCTGTATTTTCTGTATTTACCCCATTCGCCCATTTATTTATCATTTTATTTGTTTGTTTCCTTCTTTATGTTTGTTTTATTAACTTTATTTTGAATATTGTGAAAAAGTGCTCTAGACACAAATCGCAGTTTTGCAGCGCCCCCTGGAGGCAATCGACAAATGTCACATCAGGCTTGAACATTTATCTCATGCTATGTGGATTAAGCGTTATTTTTTGTCTATAACTTCTTTTTTTATGAATCCAAAACCAAATTTTATGTCTATAAAGTTAGCTGTAATGAAGCTATTCAATAAAAGAAAGTATATTTCATTTATTTTGTTATTTATTGAAGTGTGATGGCCTAAAGAGCTTAAGGAGTCTTTCATTTTTCCAGATGAAGTCACCTGTCACCCCACAGGAGACTTCCGCTGTGACAACCACCGCTGCATTCCTCTGAGGTGGAGGTGTGACGGGGACGACGACTGTGGCGACAGCTCAGACGAACGCAGCTGCAGTGAGTAGCACTCAACCACTTGAATTCAGCCTTAGGTTTAAAAATGAGTTTTGCATCATTTTCTCCAACATCTGGTGATTTTCTGGAGGCTTGGCACTTCTGCTGAGCTCTTATCAGCTGTTTGAGAAACGCGCTGTCCTCGGCATGTCAGAAAGAGGGAGTGAGGGAGTTCATCGCCCTTTGACCTGGAGAATTTAAACATGGCAGCTAATAAGTTTAATGTAGCTCCTCAAAGTAGAACAGAGGGGCGTTAAAATAAAACTTCCGAGCCTGGCTGCATTTAGGAAAATCAAATCAAAATTTAAAGACTGACATCATCTTGCATCCCTATTTTCAACGTAAAATTCAGCCTTTGCTTTAATTTGCTTCCACGCTTCCTCCCAGCGCCACGCTCATGCACAGAGAGCGAGTTTCGTTGTGACAATCTGCGCTGCATTCCCAACCGTTGGGTCTGTGACCATGACAACGACTGTGAGGACAACTCGGATGAAAGGGACTGCGGTAAGTGGAGGCTCTTTGTTTTGGCTCGGGGTCTGGGGCTGTTTGTGAGTAACGAAGGGGCTGCACTAAACAAAGAAGCAATAAGTCTGAGGCGCAGACAGACGGGACCACCAACAGTTAGTTACTGAAAAGAAGATTAATCAGTCTGCTACAAAAACAAAAATACCTACTGAATAACGAGTCCAGATTGCTCATGTAGCCCCAAAAAGCTCTGAAATGGTCATTTATTAACTACATAAATTAGAGGCAAAGTTAGAGTGTTTTCTTGTTGCTGCAGAGTTGCGGACATGTCATCCTGGTTACTTCCAGTGTGGGAGTGGACACTGCATCGCTGAACGCTTTAAATGTGATGGCAACGCCGACTGTTTGGATTACACGGATGAGACTTCGTGCCGTGAGTGTCACAGTTTAAAACACCCCCCAAAAATCCACACAGACTGTAGGATGTGGCTTGACCAAACTGTTCTGACTTCCAGCGGCCCGTTTTCCCAACGGCACCTACTGCCCACCCTTCCTGTTTGAATGCAAGAATCATATCTGCGTCCAGCCTCACTGGAAATGTGACGGAGACAACGACTGTGGAGACAACTCGGACGAGGAGCTGCATCTCTGCTGTGAGAAAAAAAAAACACCCGAGCGCCGAGATCTTTTATGCGCTTCTGAGTTGAAACGCCCGTGACTGAACTGTTTATTTTTAGTGGACATCGAGTGCGAGGCTCCGTTCCGGTTCCGATGCGACAACAACCGCTGCGTCTACAGCCACGAGGTGTGCAACTCATTTGACGACTGTGGTGACGGATCAGATGAAAGACCGGAAAACTGTGAGCGCAAGTGCAAGATCTCTGCACTGTTTACGCCAATCACACTAATTCAAATGCGTGCTGCTGCCATGTCTTCTCTGTTCAGGTCAAAAGCCCACGCATGGACCTTGCACAGATGATGAGTACAAATGCACTAACGGACACTGCATCCCTCTTCAGTATGCTTGTGATGACTATGATGACTGTGGAGATGAGTCAGATGAGCTAGGTTGCCGTAAGTAGTGATAACAGAGAGCATCGTAAAAATACTGAAAACAATGCATTTGTAACAATTTACTTGTGCTGCGATGCCAAATTTCTGCTACTAAGGATGCTATCAGCTTGTTCTGGATAAAGACGCAGGACCCTTTTCTGAGTCAAAATCACTTATCTAACCAAAGACCGATCTCCAAGAAGCCCCAGGATTATTTTCAGGTTGTTTATGCAAGTTTAATCCTGGGGTTTGTGTGGTGAGTTAACAAGGGAATCTTATCTTGGACGTTGACGTTTTGCAGAGATCTTACACTTTGAGCCATGATAAAAGCTCTTGTTGTTGCAGTCCACATGTGAGACTCTGAACAACTGTTGACTGAAAATATTTTGTGCAGGAAGCACTTGATTTTTTTTCCTCTTCCCTCCCATTTCCATGTCCGGCTATGACACAAAGATGCCAAAGGCACAACGCGTAGCACGTGGCGTTCACTTTCAAATGAATGAGCGTGTTTGCGTTTGTAAGCTAATTTGAAATGCACAGGCAGGAATAATCAGTTTTGTCTTGTTTGTAGCAGATGAACCATTACTTCATTATTTGTCATTTAAGTGAATTTCCACAAGGGTTTATCTAGAATTTGCTGTGCAAATGTGGCGATATTTAAATGCTTATTAGAACTGTACCATCATTCCACCTAAACCACTTGTTTCAGACTCTGGCAGTGGACACACTTGCAGCGCAAACGTGTGCGAACACAACTGTACCGACCTGACAGACGGAGGCTTCCTCTGCTCCTGCAGGTCCGGCTACAGGCCCAAAGCCACAGAAAAACACACCTGTGAAGGTGAACTACCGACTCCTTATTTAAATGCTCACAGAATGCGTTCACATTTTCATCCCCAGTGCTTTCTCCTCTCTTTGGGGACAGATGTGAATGAGTGCGACGTGTTTGGAACATGCCCTCAGGACTGCAGGAACACAAAGGGCAGCTACGAGTGTTTCTGCGCTGAAGGGTTTCTGTCTTTTGGCGAGCCTCATGGGACTGAGTGTGCTGCTCAAGGTAAAATTTGGAGAAAAGAAACCAGTTATCATCACATGTATGTTTCCTGTTCTTACCGTACATCGATTTCTGTGTAGGAAACCCACCCGTTCTGCTTCTGCCCGACAACGTCCGTATCCGTCGCTTTAATCTGTCCATGGAACAGTATTCAGATTATGTTGACGACGCCGAGCACATTCAAGCCTTGGACTACCTTTGGGATCCAGAAGGCGAAGGCCTCAGTAAGTCTCCTCTAAGTACTCCTTTTTTAATTATAATAAACAAAAACTGTGAATATAGAACTCTTAGTGACGTCGCGGCTGTATAATATTTCCCTGGGTGTACTGCAGGTATTGTTTATTGGACGGTTCTGGGTCAGGGATCTGAGTTTGGCTCTATCAAACGTGCCTACATGACCACATTCAATGATTACGGCAACAACCCGGCAAAAGAAGTCGATCTGAACCTGCGGTACATTGCTAAACCCGAGGGCATCGCTGTAGACTGGGTCGGCAGGTGAATGAAGTCGATCGTTCTGTTGCAGATTTGCTCTGGATTTTGTTCAGATTAACTCCACGTTCTTAATCCACAGGCATATTTACTGGACCGACTCAGGGACCAACCGAATTGAAGTGGCCAAAATAGACGGTCGGTACAGGAAGTGGTTGATCCACACTGACCTCGACCAGCCTGCTGCTGTTGTTGTGAATCCATCGCTGGGGTATGGAGACTTTTAGAGAAAGGTAAACATTTTGTAGCCGAAGCTGATTTAGCTGTCTCTTGGTAGGATGATGTACTGGACTGACTGGGGAAAGAACCCCAAAATAGAGTCGGCGTGGATGGACGGCCAGCACAGAGAGGTGCTGGTGAGGGGGGAGGACTTGGGATGGCCCACAGGGCTGGCCCTGGACTACGTGAATGGAAACAGAATTTACTGGTGCGACTCTAAAGAAAACATCATTGAATCCATGAAGCCTGATGGCACGGACCGGAAGATCGTCATATCAGGAGGTCAGAGAAGACACGCAAATAAATAAGACGCTTAGGAGTGTGACTAAATCAAGGGAAACACACTGAGAGAGTTGTTCTGTTCCAGATGTTGGACATCCTTACAGTCTAGATGTCTTTGAGGGACATGTGTACTGGACAACGAAGGACAAAGGTGAAGTGTGGAAGACAAATAAATTTGGACAAGGAAATAAAGTCAAAGTTCTTACCATCAATCCGTGGCTGACGCAAGTTCGTATCTACCAGGAGCACCGACACAACCAGACAGGTCAGAACACTGGAGGGGGGAAGAATGTGATTAACTGTTATCTGATTTAAGCCTATTGAAGCATTTCATGTGGACATGTTCTCTCCTGGTTAGTGCCCAACCCTTGTAAGAACGTGTGCAGTCACCTTTGCCTCCTCCGACCTGGTGGGTACACCTGTGCCTGCCCACAAGGCTCCCCTCCACCTAATGTGGACTCGGTGGAGTGTGACGCGGGTAAGCAACAGCTGCTTTTATTTTGCATCTATTAGTCTGCATCTTGGTGTTTACTGTGATGTGGCTTTTTTTTTTTCACAAATCCGTACTCCTCATGAGCCTGGCTGCTTGTGTGTTGTTTTGTGACGTGCGCTTTTGTTTTTGCTGCATGGCTTTTGCTCCGGCAGCCATTGAGCCTCCTGTTGCGATGCCTCCTGCATGCAGATGCATGAACGGTGGAACCTGCTACACAGATGAAGGCGGTCTGCCGAAATGCAAGTGAGTTGCACTTTCATCTGTGAAACTAGTCACTGTTAGAAAAAGAGTGCAGAGAGCTTCCCCAGAGTTAAAGCTGTTTCATTTTGACTTCCTGTAGATGTCCGTACGGCTATTCGGGTAGCTATTGTGAGATGGGGAAATATAAAGGTGCTCCAGCAGGAACAGGTACAGAAATATAACTTTTATCTAACATTTTGCTCCTTATTTGTAAATCGTGCAGGGACTTTTTTTCTGTGCTTGCTACGCTGCATTACCAGAGTGTTTAGCTACAACAGCAGTTTGGAAATCTTTACCGTCAGCAGCTTCTGGGAATGTTAAGTCATCAAAATCACACATTAATAATCAGCCAGCTAAGGCAACAACAAATTTTAGTTTAACTCCCTTACGTGGCTTGTGATCGTGCACAAATCTTTACGAGTCAGCAAGACATTGAGACAGCTGGAGAGAAATGAGATTATTAAGCAGGAAAAACAATCAAGAACTGTAAGAGTAATTATATATGTGTGGAATCAAGACAGACGGTTGGTATGAAGCATAAAAACAGCTTAAAATTTGCCTTTTCCTTTAGCTGTGGCTGTTTTCCTGGCTGTTATCATCATCCTGATCACTGGAGCTTTAGCAGTTGGAGTTTTCCTCAACTACAAACGAACCGGATCGTTCATCCCCTCCATGCCTAAACTCCCTAGGTATCCTTCAGTACCATTCACTTAAAGGCCAAGTTCACCGAGAAACCATTTTTCACTTGTTATTTTTTAAATATGATCGGTCACTCTGAGTTTCACATGTAGGTTAAACGTGAAAACAGTCTTCTACCCCTATTTCCTGCTTTAGCGTCCGATAGAAAAGAGAAGGGGAAATGCTTGGATTAGAAAAGCCAGTCAAGTCAACGTCACGTTGTCGATGGAGTCGGTGGTAGAGTCGTGTTGCTGCTAGCCAATCAGGCGCGAGATATCCAAATATCAAGAAATTGGACTCCAGATCCTGTCGTCTGCTGCTCACCTTTGCCCTGGGTAGCGCTAGAGCGTTTTCCCCACAGAGATCGACTCATTCATTTACACTACAGACCACTGCAAATGTACTGACGAGTGAACTTGGTCTTTAAAGTCTTTATTTTTGTGCATGTGTCCTACAACTGTTCAGAAAAGGTTCAGATTGGAGTTGTTCATTTATTTCTTTATTTTTGTTTAGCCTCAGCAGTCTGGTGAAGTCTGCCGACACCGGGAACGGGGTCACGTTTCGGTCCGGTAATGATGTGGATCTCGGACCGTCTCACGCTGGCGTGTCTGTTATCGACACGGTCATGCAGATGGTGAGTTCAGAAGTTCAGTTAATGATTTTTCAGCATTTTTTTTCTACTAAAGTTAACTATAATGTCCTTTATGGTATTTATTGACACCGTTTAATCTGTAACATGACGCAGAACTGCTTGCATGTGTAGATTTTAGGAGACTTCAGTTAAAAACATACAGTAACTCAACCTTTCATGTCTTTATAGGATGATAACTTTGCCATTGAAGCTGGGAGACAGCCAATGACATTTGAGAACCCGCTGTATGCCACTGCGCCTGTGTCTGGTGATCCTGCTGTCATTCATGCTACTCAGGTACTCACAAAGTACATACATAGAGAGGTGGTAAACAACAGTCACACATTGTGAAATGCTATCCCTGCCATTAATAATGAAACAAAAGCTGGAAAAAACAATGCAATACAGGTTTTATTTTGAAACACGCCTCACTTGCTGTCTGGTCTTTTTGGTCTTTGCAGTAGCCGTACAGAGTCTTAAGATTTAGACTAGTTTGGTTTTTTATGCATGAAGTGCAGTACCCAAATTTGACCACAAGATGTCCCTCTTACTTCATGCACATTTAATGTCTCAGATTATAAAAATAATCTTTTATCATTGTAATTTCTTGTTAATTTAGAAAAAAGGAGTAACCCCCCACCCCCCACCCCCCCCCACCCCCAAAAAGTATTCACGTGTATACATGAGAACTTAATCAAATGCCTGACCCTCATTCCAGAGTTTTTTGTTCACTTTTGCTTTGGAACAGGTGACGGTTAACGTGAGCGCTGACCAGTCCAACAATTTTGTGAACCCGACATACCGAGGAGACCAGAGCATCATAAACACGTCTCCTGTTAGCAGCGATCCCGTTCAGGTCAGAGGAAAAAAAACTCATTTAAACCAAAATAGTTCAGATTGGTTCCCGGTTTCCGAATCCAGGTGTTTGCTTGCAGGAATCAAGATGGAGTTTATTCAAGCAGAAGTTAAAGCCGAGCACAACGTTTGAAAACCCTTCATACTCAGAGGTAGTTTAGGGTACAGAAAATGTTATTTTAGCAGGTTTAGAATAAAATCAATGAAATTAAAACCTGAATTGTTTTTTTGTTTTTGTTTCTTTTTAGATGAAGGATCAAAAGCATGTCAGAAGCAGCGGGGACTCTTCAGCCCCTGAGCCGTCTCCCTTCATCCCTGCTCCCAAACCTCCAAGGAAAGATCGTCCCAGCGCGTTCTCTCCAACCGAGGACAGTTTCAAAGACACGGCCAACCTCGTCAAAGAGGACACCGACGTATAACCCCAATCCGACGGATGGGAATCGAAGGACAAACACACTTTGCACAGAATTTATTTTTTTATGCAGCCTGTGTACAAAATTTTGTTTTAAGACAGAAACACAGTAGAATGAAGAAAGACCTATTCTGTCACTATGCCTTCTGACATTTCTCATGCCAATTTTCATGCTAATGTTTTGTTTTTCTTTACTATGATGTACGATATGTATATCTTTGCACTGAAGCTGTTGATAGAAATGTTAATATGATGTATATTTGTAAATTTCAACAGTCAGATTTTCTCAGAAATATCGTGGATTCTAAGTTGTACAACATGCTAAAAACAAATATCAAATGTGAGCTGAATGTACAGTACTTATATGATCAGAGGTGATCTCAGAAATATGTTGATATGGTTTTTTTTGCCATCAGAGAAAGCTGAAGATGTTTTTATTAAACATCATAAATACCTCATTTCAGGGCTAATTAAAGCACGATGAAAGAAATCAGATTTAAACTTTTGTTTTTGATTAGCAATCATAAAAGTAGGAGCAACAAGGTGAAAATGTGTGCAAAACAAACTTATTTGACTCACTTGTCTTTGAATCAGCATGATTTTATTCCTGCTGGAATGGATACAACAGTTTGGAAAAGTACATGCGTGTTGCAGTTGGACGAGTAACACTTTAAGGATGCAGATGTGGAGATTTATCTAAACCAAGTGAATTAATTCTTTATAGATTACATGTTTTTCCATTATGAGGACAAACCCTATCTGTGATCATGCAGAATGTCCATATGAATGAAGCTGCTGCTGCTGCTAAGACATGAATAAATAAATTTCCTATTTTGTAACACAGTCTTCAATCTTATTTTACACTTCTTTTGTGGGAAATTCAACTTTATTTTCAAAAATAATCAATACTATAAGAAAAAATAACAAGTTTGCTTATTTTCGCTGTAGAAGTTGGCTGATTTTTAGGTTTTTCATTCAACTCTAGGTGAAGGAAGGAGAGCATTTGCAACAAAGTCTGCCACAAATGAAGGGAGGTAGGACAGAGGGATCCAGAAAAGCTTGGCGTCCCAGCCTGCTCCGTAACGAGTGCGTGGATGGCGGGCCGTTAGTGCATGCTCCATGCACCTGGTCACCTTTGAGATATCTGAGCTGCACAAGAGGCCCATAGCCAAGTCCTGCATTCGCACATCTGAGAGAGAATAAAAAGTGTCAGGAGTCATTTGAATGATCTTTGATAACAAATGTGCACTTCTACTCACAGTCCTCAAAGTATGATGCTCCGTATGAGTCTTTAACATCCTGAGGGAGACGCATCCACAACCTCCTCAGGTCAGCGTCAATAAGATCCACACGGGTTACCTCTGTCTTGAAGAAACCAGGCTCGATGATGCTCACTTTAATGCCAAAGTGATGCATGTTCCTCCTGCAAAAGCAAAAAAAAAAAAAAAAAAAAAGAAAAAAATTTAAATAAATAAATTATATATATATATATATATATATATATATATATAATTTCAGATTTTTCTTTATGATTCTCTAACAGTAGTTTTGTTTTTCATTCATTCAAGTTTTACATATTTGCATTCTGTCTTTTTTACATACCTGAGGCTGTCAGAAAAGGCTTCCACCCCCCATTTGGACACGCAGTATGCCCCTCCGGTCAGAGACAGCCTCCCCAGAATGCTGGCCACGTTCACCACCCGCCCCCTGGCTTTTTTCACCAGGGGCAGAAACTGGAGGGTCACATCGATGACCCCTATCAGATTCACATCCAAAACCTTTGTGAAGTCCTCCAGCTGCATCCATTCTGTTGGCCCGATGGGTATGGACCTGCCGGCGTTGTTCACCAAACCCCACAGCCCTGAGAACAAAACTGAAGAATTACCTGAAAGAATAAGTTATGATAAATAAAAAAAGTATATATAATTGATTAGTTTGATCTAAAACTGGGGAACCTGTGACCTGCATGTGAGCAAGAGCACCATACATGCAGGTCATGCGTCCTCCTGTAGTCAGCAAGAACCCCCTTTCTTATTTTTAATTTTAAAAATACTGCTATTGCAAATATGTATTGGAGTGAATATTAACTGTTTGCAGTGAAAACATCTTGAATGAAATTTTAAAACATTTTGTTCCAACGATAAACACAAAACCTTGAGATTCGCTCTGAAGTTTGTGGTGATTAAAAGGTAGCCTGTTAGAAATTCAATCTTCTTTCAAGCACACAGTGGGAGGATGGTGACTCACTGTTATCTCTCCCAGTGCTTCACTCTGACTGGCACCATATCAGTGATGGGTTTTAACCCCCCTCCCCCCCGCCGCCGCTGTCCACGCAGCTCACCTCGCTCTCTGACCTCTCCGCTCACAAACTCCACCGCTCTCCTGATGCTGGCGCTGTCTGTAACATCCAGCTGGAGGGTCTTCAGCCTGGGGGAGGATGCTGCAGCCAGATCTGCTGCACCTTTCTCTGTGAAACATGCAGCTATGACTTTGAAGCCTTTCCCATCCAGCTGTCTGGCCAGAAGATTCCCAAATCCGCTGTCGCAGCCGGTGATGAACACATGCTTCTGACTGAAAGCATCCACCTTGCAGGAATCTCTGATGAACCAGCGGATGGCAGCGAAGGCGACAAAAGCAACGAGACAGCTTAAGGCCAAGTGTGACAGAAAGATCTAAAGTATGAGAATTACATCTTCAAATGGAGAAACTTAAACAATGCACTCATTATCTATGTGGATTGCTCAGTAAGATAAAAATAATGTATTGCAATTACGTAAAGCAATCAGCTTACCTCCACAAACATATTTTCAAGGTCATCCAGCGAAACCTGGATGTAAATTTTTAAAGAGACTTCAACAACAAAGTAAAATTTTATGGGAGGCAAAGTGCAATTTGTTGGTGCAAATGATTTAGTAGAGTTTTTGACATTGTTTAGTATGCTTTTTGTACATTTAGCTCACTTTAATCCCATAGTTAAAATTTCACATTCATTTTACCTGATGTTAAAATTAAATGTTAGATCAAAATCAAAAATATAAGTCTTAAATTTATATCCAAATATAAATGTAAATTCTAAATGTTAAATCTAAACATTAAATCAAAATCCATCCAACCAATTTTCTTCCGCTCATCCAGAGTTGGGTCATGGGGGCAGCAGCCTAAGTCTAGAGGCCCAGACTTCCCTCTCCCCAGTCACTTGGCCCAGCTTGTCCGGGGAATACAGAGACATTCCCTGGCTATCTGAGAGACACAGTACCTCCAGCGTGTCCGGTCTCCTCTTGGCTGGAAGTGCCCAGAAAACCTCACCAGTGAGGCATCCTCATCAGATGCCGGAGCCACCTCAAATGGCTCCTCTCGATGTGGAGAAGCAGCAGATCTACTCCAAGCCCCTCCCGGATGGCCGAGCTTCTCAACCCATCTCTAAGCTCGTGAACACAGATGAGGATAGGAACGTAGATTGACTGGTGTGACAGGGTGCCTTAGGGCACATGTGACTACATTGTGGCTCATCACTAGCATGTGAATGGGTGGATGACTGTGTTGTAAAGCGCCTTGAGGGTTGCAGAACCCTAAGATGATGCTATACAAAAACAGGCCATTTAATGTTAAATCTAAATCCTGATGAGGAATCTAGCTCACAAATTTAGATTTATATTGAAAATGAAATCTAGATTTTGGTTTAACATTTAAATTCATATTCAACAACAACACTTAATACTTAGATTTAACATTTGGATTAGCTAAAATAATGTGAAACAAACATGTTGGTAAATGATTTTTAGGCAATTTCCATTTTAAATGAGAACATGAGCTAAAATTAAGTATAACAAATAATGCTCCACTAAATCTTTTGCACCAATATTTAGGTTTAGATTTAACATTTAGATTAGCCAGTTGTATTAAATGTAAAGTTGTTACGATTTTTAGACAATATCCAGTTTAAATCTGATTAAATTAAGCTAAATATAAGAAAATAAAGCTGAATACAATAAAAAAAACTATGCGCAAACTCTTCTGAATGAAAAATCTCAACTTGGCATCCCATAATATGCTACAGTATATTTTTCTCACAGTATCAAGTCTTCCAATGTTTATGTTTCAACTTCGCCATAACCAAAGGACAACACCTTATTTTACTTCCAAAATCTACATTTATTCGACACCTTAGACACCATTAATAATTTTACATAGAAAATAGCCTTTTTAATTCAGCTTTTACTTGCACCAGCTTAACCATAAAAGACAAACTTTAGAAAAACTTCTTTGATAGCTTTTACCTTAATACTTTCACCAGTGTACCACAAAATACAGAAAATACAGTGAATCTCCTCAAATGACAAACTAATAATCCCACTGAAATAACAGTTTGTGCACAGTAAATATTTCATTATGCTTCCGCAGGATGAAACTAAACCCTCCGAGTGGATTATTGTATTTACACCCAACCACTAGATGGCATTAGAACACTCCACATGTGGTATTTGCGAGAAGACTAATTGTTCCATTGATCCTCCTTTAAGGCTCACAAAGTTGATCAGCTCTAACTAAAGCACTGCATTATATGTGATACTAATAATGTAAACATACCATAGCGGCAACTCCTTAGCTGCAACTGCTCCCTCGCGCTCAGCCGTACAAAATGCCAAGTCAAAGTTACAAGTGGAGTTACGTAATGTCTGCAGAGTCAAAGTTCCATAGTAGATAAGAGTTCACCACGGTGGGCTTGTGCAACAAGTTAGATGGGATTACATAATTATGAAAAATGCAGGAATTTAAATAGTCATAAAACATTTTTCCAACAGATGTAACGATGATGCATTCAAAACAACCAGCCTGTGTCTTACATATACAGGTTGTTGCTGATGTGCAACATGAGCACTAGAGAGCAGGCATGGTCTTGAAGCACTCATTTGTTTCAGAATATATAAAATAAAACAAGTGATCCTCAAATAGGTAAACATGCACTTCAAAAGCTACAGAACTGATACTTTGGGGTGCGGCGTGTATCTGAGGAAAAATCGATCCACCAGGCAGCTCGGCATGTAGGACAGGGGCAGCCAGAAGAACTTGGCGTCCCATCCTGGTGAGTATCTGTAGCGAGGGTGGAGGGCAGAGATGGCGTGCTCCATGCAGCTCACCACCTTCATAAGGTCGCCGTCGGTAAACTGCCTAGACCTCTCATCCATCTGTTCGAGCACTGAAAGAAAATCATTTATGAAATCAGTGAATCACACACAGACACAATGTAAAGAGGTTGAACACTTGTTTAATCAATACGTTTGCAGTGGTCTCGAATGGGAATTAATGCCTTGCAAGTCGTACTCAGGGGGGAAAAAGCCCAGAAACACCTGTATTAAAGTTAAAGTCCCATTAGTTGTCACACACACAGGTGTGTGTGCGAAATTTATTCTCCGCATTTGACCCATCCCCTGGGGGAGCGGTGAGCTGCAGACACAGCCGCGCTCGGGAACTATTTGGTGGTTTAACCCCCCAATCCAACCCCTTAATGCTGAGTGTCAAGCAGGGAGGCATTGGGTCCCATTTTTTTTTCAAAGTCTTTGGTATGACCCGACCAGGAGTCGAACCCCTGATCTCCCAGTCTCAGGGCGGACACTCTACCACTAGGCCACTGAGAAAGGTAACAAGAAGAACTCGGCCAGAGGAGAAAGTAGCTTCAGATAACAAGTTTTGGACTCGTACTTCCCGATGTTTGAACATCTCGCCTCAGATTGGAAAACAGCAACGCAGCTCTATCACCGACTCAGGTTGCTCTGCAACTTTGAAGTTTTCTCTCCACTTATTAACCAGGAGGAGTTCTGCTGTGTGGTGGAGTTGCTAATGCTATCGGTTAGTTTTTACTAGCTAAGACTTTCTCTGCCGTTTCCTGGGTGCTCAAACCACCTCCCCGTTGCGAGTTAAGATAGAGTCTATGAACCTTAAGGCATCGTGTAACAGATCCGTCAGGCTTTTCTAATCCTAGAGTTTCACCTATCAGATGCTAATGCAGGAGATCGGCTCAGGAGACCATCATGTTTAGTCTGTACAAAAAACTCAAGAGTAACGGATTAGTCAGAAAGGTGTTCCACACATTTGATGTTTTGCTTTTTGCAGGAGTCCTCAGGCCAAACAACGCTGCGATTTTTGGACAGACTCATGATGAAGGTTCATGCACCAAATAAGTCAGGCTTTCAGAAATCTATAGTTTTGCTTTAGTGAAACCTATCTTTGTGCAAAAATGTGATTTATGGATTCTTAAAACCACTTTTACTAAAATCTAACATGATAGCTGTATCTAATGAGTTTCCAACAGAAGCTGCCATGCCTCATTTTAGGGACTTTGAGCGTTTAGACAGAACAAGACGTATTTCATTTAGACTTAGACTCACCCTGACAAGCAAACACTTCTTAAAACCCATCAACTTTAGAATTAGAAGATTTCTCTGAGAAAGAGATTTTAGCAACACAAATCCAAGGCATCAGAAAGATGGCACTGGAAGTTTTCTTCTCTAAAATGAAGCAGCAAAGCTGAGAGGAGTACCAAAATTGTAAAAACGAAAGGATTTTAAAAGGTAAAGTAAAACTTGATGGACTTACTTATGTCCAGGAAAGCAGGACCATAGTCGTCTTTCGTCTCCTGAGGTAATCGGTCCCAGAGCTTCTTCATGTTACTCTTCAACACGGCCGTATCGGACATGCTCGTTTTGAAGAAACCTGGCTCGATGCACAAAACCTTCACTCCAAACGGAGCCACGTTCAGACTGAAACACAGCAAGCTGCTTGTAAGCCAACAGAACGCGCGTGTGTGTGTGCACGCATCATAAAAACGTTAGACCTCATCTCACCGCAGGCTGTCATTGAAGGCCTCCACTCCGTATTTGGACACACAGTAAGGTCCACCGAACGGGCTGATGCGCCCAAACACGCTAGCCACGTTTACCACTCTGCCTTTAGCCTTCTTGATGAGCTGAAGGACGCTCAGCGTCACGTCGATCACACCGTTCAGATTGACAGCCAACATGGACTTGTAGTCTTCTACGTTGAGCCAGTCACATGGGCCGGACGGGGTGCCGACTCCAGCGTTGTTCACTACAGCCCACAGACCTGGAGCAACAAAAGAAACGGAGATGACACCGACAACATCCGAGTGGGACTCCATATCAAACAGGCTCAAAAAGCTGCTTCAGACTACGAGTTAATGAAACAAAAGTCACTAAACTGGATGTGACCAAATCAAGTCTCCTCGCGAACTTTCCAGGAGAATCTCACCCTTCTCTCCAACCAGATCCTTAATGAAAGCCGTTGCTTTCTTGATGCTCTCAGATTTGGTGACGTCCAGAGGAATGGTGGTCAGCCGCTCAGAGGAGACCTTCTTCAGCTCGATTTCACCCTTCTCCGTGTAACAGCCTGCGATGACGCGGAAGCCCAGCTTATCCAGATGTTTGGCCAGGTTATTCCCAAAGCCGGAGTCACAGCCAGTGATGAACACATATTTGTCCCCCTCGTTGGGAACTCGTTTGCTTTCTTTGTACCAGCGATAGATGAACCAGGCAGCCACCAGCCCCAGGATGTAGAGCAGCATTTTTCTGAGGGGAGGAAGAAGACGTTGAATAATCATTAAGCCTCGGTGTGCCTTGTTTTCTTTACAACTGCACACGGTTGTTTCCCAACCCTGGTCCTCAGGGCACACTGACCAGAATGTTTTCCATGCCTCTGCTTCAGCAGCACACCTAATTTACACTGCCTTCTCACGAGGACATCAGGTGCTCAAGATGCCTGTTAATCACTCAGTCATTTAAGTCAGGTGTGTGGCAGCGGGGAAACGCTGATGTTTAAAAGGGCAACATGGAAAACATGCAGGACAGTGTGCCCTGAGGACCAGGGTTGGGAAACACTGCACTAAAGCGGGACCAGGGTATTTGCAGGTTTAAGGGAACCAAATTTAAGACTTTTTAAGACCTTTTTAAGGCCACTTTGACCAAATTTAAGCTATTTTTTAAATTAATTTAAGCTATAATTTCCAGCTATTGCCTGGAACCGGTGCTAACCACGTCATGAACGTTGGATTAGCCATCCAGTTACCATTAATGTTGCACTTCCCCATGGCGCAAGCTCTCACTAGCATGCTCATCTAAAAATAGCCCCCTTTCACAACCAACCGAATGTGTACGGTTCCGCTTACGCCAATATCATACACAAAAAATGCCTAACTAACTAGAAATTCATGAAAATTTTATAGAAATAAAAGAATCTTGTTTATTGGGCCTTTGGTAATTTAAGACCTTTGGAAACTATTTAAGGATTATTAGTCATTTTTAAGGATTTTTAAGGCCTTAAATTTGGAAAAGCTAAGTTAAGACTTTTTAAGGACCTGCAGATACCCTGGGGACATAGTAAAGTGGAAAATAAGTGCTACACTTTAAACACAGAGATTTAAAAAGTTAAACAAAAACATGGATTAGGATAACAGAACCTCATTTCTATCAAATAAATGAAATTTGCATGTAGTTTGTGTTCAATAAAGCTGGAAAATGCATGAAGTCCATTCTTCTATAAAGGACTGATGAAAGAGTGAAGATGAGAACAGTGCTGGTGGCTTTGTCATTCACAAAAAAGAAACTTCTGCCCCTCCTCTTTGTGTCAAAGTGTCCTTAAGCAACACACTGAACCATCCACCACGTCTGCCTGTTGCGCCGATAGCGGTGCGGTTATGACAGAGAAACAAGATTTGCACGCAGAGGTTAAGAAATGTTGCTTTTTAGAACTTTGTCATGGTTAAAAGGCAGAATCTGACGTGCAGCTGGTTCACACCGGTTTTAAAGAAATGACGGTTGTCAGTCAGCTGACACCTTTTGAACTGGTAATCCAAAAACGACAAAGGTATTCCAAGTTCTGCACATACTTAACATCTTAGATCTGTAGCAAAACAATTACTTTAGAGAGGAAGTGGCCTGCAGCTCTGAAGTGTCAGTAACTAACAGGATTATGGAGAGAAAATGGGATAAAGGAGGCTCTAGACTAAATACTTTAGCTCCAAATAAAAACCAAATGGTCTCAAATTCATCCAGAAATTTCCAATAACTGGTGAATTTATATATTTGAAAACTTTTACAAACAAGTATCTGGAAATAATCATCATCAGAGCTTATTTTCTATTAAAATCAATACATTTTAAAATGAAACAATCTGATGGCTTGATTAAATATGAACAAATCAGGAGTAACAAATAGACACAGAAACTGTGTCTGTTTAACAGCAGCAAGGCTCAATCGGGCGTGACCAGAATAGAGACCCACGATTGTTACGTTTTAGGTGTTACTTAATTAAAAGCTATTTAAGGAGATTTAAATAAAATAATCTAATGGGAGCCAGTGCAGGGAGAGGGCCAGAGGAGTTTCCCTTTTGTGTTTTTTGTGTCTCTGCAGAGTTTTGAAAGAAGAATTGCCTGAAACCAGATTTGGTAAAATACTGGGGCAAGTACAGACCGAGTTGGGCTTTAGTTATCCAACGACAGCTGCTGGAAAACAATTACCTTATTTTTTATTTGATTTATGATAGAAAAAAGTTCTAATGCAGCAATTTTTAGCTGCAAGAGCAATTTTGTTTAAAAAAATTATTTGATAAAAAATATATTTAAGGAGATAAACTTGACCCTGTGAATAACTAGCTAGCGAGCTACCACATGCACAGATAAAAAATTACTTATTGGATTATTGAAAATAAAAACATTGTCTGGCTTGACAGGTGCTCAATGAAATTTGAGGAAAATCCCCTGCAGTTGTCAGGCAGGTGAACTGGCTGAGCAGGACGTAGACGGTGGATGAAACGAAGTGGTCAGTATGAGACGGAGCAGGTGCAACGTGTCCCATCAGGTTTGAGGGGTGGATTAGCTTGATGCAGTGAGGTTTGGCTGTTCGCACACACTGGATTAATCTGAAACAGGAGCTGGCAAAACTGGTTGTGTGGGTTAAGGTCTCCTAATGATGGGTGAGGGGTGAGTTACAGTAAAACAGGTCTATCATTAGTTGCATTACTTCTCTCTCTCTCTCTCTCTCTCTCTCTCTCTCTCTCTCTCTCTCTCTCTCTCTCTCTCTCTCTCTCTCTCTCTCTCTCTCTCTCTCTCTCTCTCTCTCTCTCTCTCTCTCTCTCTCTCTCTCTCTCTCTCTAACTGCATTTGTTAAAAGTACAAAACAACGTGATCAACACACTTTTCATTAGTTTAATTAATTTCCTTTGAAATTAAGAAAAAAAGTCCTATTATTTGACAAACAATGTTATCTTTAAATAATATTCAAATCTGACTACACACTTAGACTCACACCAGCTATAAAAAAGTAAAAACAAAAAAAAACTATATAGTTTAAACAGTCACCTAAATGTTGCAAAACATCCACTGACTGGTTACTCATTCATAACCAAAACTGTACTTCCTCACGAATAAATACGATGCTCTAAGGACCTTTGTAAAGTTAAAGCGTTAAGAAAACTGAAAAGGATAAAACACTCACCTGAACTTGTTGCTGACAGTCCAGTGGAGCTGGAGCGAGGATCCCAGAATGTGCTGAAACTTTCCTCTTCTTTTACGTCATCTGGAGTTCTTACTCTGTAACTTCGTAACTTCCGGGAACGGCGACAGGAATGAGCGATGAGTGACACCTGCTGGTAACATTTATAATTACACCAAGCTTTCCACAGGTATGGAACCAAACTAAAATGTAAATCAGATTACTTATTTCTATAAAATGCTTATATATATATATATATATATATATATATATATATATATATATATATATATATATATGTATATACATTTTAGTTAAGTATTTGATGTCATAAAATTTATGAAAAATTATAATTGAATCAGCGTACATAAAAAGAAAAATACTTGATGAAGAAGACATTTTTGATTATTTTAACAACTTGGTTTATATACATACATACATACATACATACACACACACACACACACACACACACATATATATATATACACACACATATACCCCTGAAGGACTTAGTTGTTCGTCCTTTTATCAAAATTCATTTTGAGCTTGAGAGGGTTAAAAAGGTGCTGGTTAATAACCTGGTCAGAATGACAACTTTGCATTAAAGTTTTGAACCAAATTTTGAAAAACTAAAGTTTTACTTGGTTTCTTCAAATGTGGCGTCTCATAGTAGGTAAATGTTTTGTTTTTACCCACGTAGCTCCACACGGATCTCCATGGGATCACAAATGAAAACCTGCAACACTCCTGTTTTTGACTGAACCAGTAGGCACCTCAACATCTGATGATGTACAAAATGAAGAGGACTGGAATTTCAAATGAGGTGATGAAAAATGTATGAAGACTTTTGAAGAACATGTAAAAATGCTTTAAATATAATAATAATAATGCATTGAACTTATATAGCGCTTTTCAAGACACCCAAAGACACTTTCACACACTCTCACATTCACACACTGCTAGTGATGGTAAGCTACTTGCAGCCACAGCCGCCCTGGGGAGGTCTGACAGAGGCGAGGCTGCCATTTGGCGCCGTCGGCCCCTCTGACCACCACTAACACAGGCAAGTTGGGTGAAGTGTCTTGCCCAAGGACACAACAGCAGGATACCCCTGGCGGGAGCTGGAATCGAACCCATGACCCTCTGATCATGAGGCAACCCGCTCTACCACCTGAGCTACTGCTGCCCCAATCGTTAATTGCGGCTGATTGCAAAAAATACTAAATATTCACACAACTTATCCATGAGTGAACAGCAGCCCTGGCTGACCTGCCACTGCACCTGAAGGAGGATTTGGACGTCTGTAACACTTATAAGGTGATTTGTTGTGATTTGTTTCTTTTATTTTTATTTATGAGATTTATTTTGAAATGACAAATTGCTTAAATAAAAAAAATCTTGTATATTAAATCTGTGCATGTTCCTTTTCCCCTTACTCACATGCAAAGTTGTGGTAGTTATTTAACCTTTTAGTTTTTTTAAAAGTATGATTAGTCTTTCTTATCTAGTTTTTGAACAAATTGTTTTAATCCATTTTGTTTTATCTTAGTCACTGCATGGTTGCTGTTGTTTTACTTTTATTTCTTTGTTGTGTGTAAAGCGCTTTGGTTCAATCTCTCATTGATGGAAAGCGCTTTATAAATAAAGATGATGACGATTTTGCTGAACTCGTATTCATTTTCAGGAGGCGTTGGAGGCAGCAGTAAATGAAGTGGCTCCTGGTGGATTTCCCTTTGAGAGTCTCCATGTGTCCTTTACCCTTGAAAGGACATGTCCTTTACCCATGTGTCCTTTAACCCCCTGTCCTTGGGGACAGGGCCTTTCAGACTATTGCCCCCAGACTTTGGAACAGTCTACCTTCAGATCTCCGTCTCTCTAACACTGTAGAGGTCTTTAAAAATCATCTAAAAACTCACCTTTTCATCCAGGCGTTCCCTCCCTAAATGTTTCAAAAAGATGGCTTTGTTCGGGTTCACACCTTCACTTTGTTTATACTCATGATTTTATTTTCTACTTTATCACTGCTATTGTTTTTCTGATGTTTTTATTGGTTAGAGGTATTTGCCCTGATCTTTATCATGTTGTACAGCGCTTTGTGATTTATATCTGTGAAAGGTGCTCTAAAAATAAACTTTTACTTACTTTACTTTACTTACTTGAAGACCAGATAGCAGTGTTCCACAGATCCTGGCCAGATTCACTGGTGATTTTGATTGGACTGATACACGATCTTCATATGAACTACCATGAAAAGCTGATTTTATTCATGGTGTTGTTTTAAACCTGAATGTTGGAAGAAAACAACTTCAGCCTGAGCTGCAGGCTCTCAGAAATGAGCTGAATTAAAATATTTTCTTACTTCCTGTTCTCAGTTGTTTTTAGGGTTGTCACGGTAACCGGTATAGCGGTAAACCCCGGTAAAAAAGTTGACAATAAAAATAACCGTCCAGTTTTTAAAAAACTATATTATCTCGGTGGGTTTACCGTGGCCGCGGTTTCGGCGCGATGACCCTTACCAGCCACCGTCGCTTCAGCTGAAGTTCCCGCGGCGCGCACACGCACTTTTTAATTTGCAACGGCACCAAAACTTTGAAGCTGAAATAATGTCCGAAGGAGGAGACGGCAGCGCCCAGGACATCCATCCGCCCTCCAAGAAGACTAAATCGGAAGTATGGGCATATTTTGGATTTCTGAAAAACGCTGAGGGACAGTTAATAGAAGACGGCTATCCCGTCTGCAGAACGTGCAGGAAACAAGTGTCTGCAGAAGGCAGCAACACTTCGAATCTAATGGCACATCTGCGTGACCATCACCCACGTCTCCACAGCCAGTGCAAGGTAAGTTAACATTAGCATTTTAGCTGAAATGCATGACGTGAGGACTTTTGGTTGAGGGAGAATGCAACGAGTCACTATATACTGCAGCCGCAGCATCCTCTGCCAGCATTTAAACCGTGTCACGGACACCCTGTTGCTGGATGAAGCATCTTATTTGTTGATGATGAAGAGAAATATACAATTAGTTCCTTGTCATTGATTTGTTTACTTATTCAATGCCATTTATACTTGAACATTTGGATTTGATTACATAGTGTAGTAGTTATTTTAGTAATTTGTTTAAAGTGGCTATTTATTTTAAATACATATTTTTTAAGGTTGACTTGTACAGTGCTCAAGTCAAGTGTGGACTGGAGTTTTAGATTTTCATTTTGATAATGAAGAAAACAAGTATATGAGAAAACAAGTGGTGTTTCTTTGATTTGTTTACATATTGTTTATGTTTTGAATGTTTGGATTTGTATCATTTAAACCTGCACTGACTACTGTAACACGTTCCAGAAAAATAAGCTATTTGTTCCTTTACTTGTGAAAAGTTGCACTTTTGCTAAGGCTTTGTGTTATTTTAGGTTTAATAAACACTGTTAAACCTTTTCAGAACTATTTCAGTTTGTGTAGAACAGGACTATCAATGCTTTCTGAACATATGCAACACCGTTTAAAAAATACCGCGATAATACCGAAAACCGTGATAATTTTGGTCACAATAACCGTGAGGTTAAATTTTCATACCGTGACAACCCTAGTTGTTTTACTTGCATGCACAAACAACTTCAATAGAAAAAAACCCTTTTCTTTAGTGTATGTTTTGTTAATTATATGTTTAAGTTTAAGTTTGAAACTCGCCTGCCCAGTAACATGAAACTATGCTGTCTGGTCCTTACCTCACGTGACTGTGACGTTAATATTGTATTTAGACAAAAAAAAAAAAGCAATACTTTCAATTTATCTTTGGTATGTTCTTGCTGTGTTTAGTTTCTAACTGCGTTTTTGGTTCTTTTTGTAAAACACAAAAAAAGGTTTCTTTTTCACCTTGCGGACTGTTTCATTCACCGGCCGTAAACTTCCTCAGAGCTGATGGTGGCGTCACTTCAGAGGAAGTTTACAGCCGGTAAACTGTCAGCAAGGTAACACAGAAACCTTTTTTGTGTTTTACAAAAGACCCAAAATGCACTTTTTATTTTCTATATGTATGTTATCAGTTTGAGTGACAAGGTTTTAATTGTACGTTTATGGAGAAGTTTTTGTTTAGGTATGGTAACAATGAATGAATGAATAATTTTTTTATGATCACACAGCCATTTGGAAAAAATTATATTTAAAAAAAGAGTTGAAGTTAAAATAACTTAATTAAAACATTGTACAATAACATTTTAGATAAAATTTTAACAACACTTCATATGAGTGGAGAAAAAGAATGGTTTATGGATATATTTAATTAGCGTTAACTCAAACAAATTATGTTAAATTAATTTAAATGATGCAAGGCAACTGGTTTCTTCAATTCATTTGAGTTTAACTTACTCAGCAGATTTTACAATGTACTACTACTATAACTACTACTACCACTACTACTACTACTACTACTACTATTACTACTACTACTACTATTGCCACTACTACCACTACTACTACTACTACTACTACTACTTTATTACTATTACTACTAGTAATACTACTATTACTACTACTACTACTACTAGTAGTAGTAGTACTACCACTACTACTTTTACTACTACTACCACTACTACTACTACTACTACTACTACTACTACAGCTGCTACTACTACTACTACTACTACTATTACCATAACTACTACTACTACTATAACTACTACTACTACTACTGCTGCTGCTACTATGACTACTACTACTACTATTACTACTACTACTACTACTACTACTACTACTACTACTACTACTACTACTACTACTACTACCACTACTACTACTAGAATTACTTCTACAACAACAATAACAATAACAATAGATAAATACATTAAAAGTTTATTATATAGCATGCCTTCATTTTATTTAACCACCAAACCTATTAAAGAGCCACTTATTTGTTGTTTATTTTCTGTCCTTGAATTATATCTTGTTTGAACATTTTTTGGTCAAAGTTTCTGATTACATGCAATCTGTTTTATGTGTGTCATTAATAGAACTTTGTGAAAAAAATCCGATAATGTCATCAGCTTTTAAATGAAAGTCTTTGTCCACAACCCCCTCCTGACTGTTCCATTATCAGTCACCTTTACTGTCAATAATAACTGGTTGTAAAAAAGGGAGTAAACTGCAAAAGTAGAAAGTACTTTTTGTACTGGCAGGTACTAACCTCCAGTGCTTAGCTCAATGAAACAACTGAAATCGTTTATTCTTTATGCACATTACCTATGAGATCCTGGTGTACATGTGCAACACTAAATCTATGAGTGAAGAATCACTATCAGTGATGAGTCCTAAAGAGAGACAGAGAGACATTCCTGACCAAACTGAATTGATGTTGCGTTATCTGATTTAATTATTTCGTTTTCAGCCTTGACAAACTGTGGCATCTCAGTTTTCTCCAGATCAGTTGTTGTGTGTGCTTTTTCTTCTGCCCTTGGTCACATTTGTTTAAAACAACTGCTGATTGATAAAAGTTAAGATGTTTTATTGACAGGAAGGCACCAAAACATCCCCTTCAGGCCATTCTGTGTTCTGAGACAACCCATGATCAAAATCAATGGCCTGGCGGTCATTGCACTCACTTTACAATCATCATTGATAAGACATGACTACATTAATTGAAATATTATTATTTTTTCTAAAGCTAAATAATGTTAGCAAAGTCCATAATCCTTCACATATTTCCCTTTCATTAAATCAGTCTGAACAAATAACAAAAAATGCAAATAAACTGAGTTTAGAGGTTGAAATTTGTTTTAAATTTGCAGGCCGGTGGGAATCACTGCTGACACAATCCTTATCAGCCTAATTAGAGTGTAGATATAGGAACACAGGGGCATAGGTCAACTTGGTAATAGGACTGAAATATCCCAGTGGAGCCTTGCTGGTGGACACAGAGACACGTTCAGGTACTATACATCTTCTCTCCTTCTGCACAGGCTTGAATTATTTTTAAATTCCTCAGGATCAAACGTTAACGGAACGTTTTTCTCAAGTTATGTCTGATTTTTTTTAAAGCTGTTCACACTGAAGTTAATTCAGCTGCTTGTTTTTGGTCCGAAAGCCAATGAATATCCATTTGAATCATTATTTATAGTTGATTTAAAATGTTTCTTTATCCACAGCTGCCTTTGATAAACTCCTGCGGAAAACATGAAAAAATCCTTCAAACTTACAACACCAATCTCAGATAAAAAAGGTGTGTGAGCAGCTATAAACATGCTAACTCTGCAAATATTACTTCCTTTTCACTCACTTCATTAAAAAAGTTAAATTAAACCAGTTAATTCTAAATATGTTCTTTCATTTATGTTTCAGCAGACATTGAAACTGGGTGTTTACGGTGAGTTTTGACAATTTTGGATCAACGTTGTAGTTTTTTTAAATTTTCTCTTTAATTTGTTTCATTTAGAAATGAAAAGAAGAAAGAAAACACACTGAGTGTTGGATACTTTCAGCTGGTAATTATTTTCTCTTATTCTTACCTCATCTTGTTGGTGGTAATAATAATGAAGTAAAAATCACATTTTCAAAAAAGTAGAGATTTCAAACCCCAGCCTAAAAGGAGAAATATGTTTTTACTTTTTGTTCTTATATGTAGACATTTAAGCAGCTGTTGAGTTGAGTTGAACATGAAAGATGAATCTGAGATAGATGGTTTGAGAGAGGAGTAAAGGAAGCCATCCAAGTCAAACGGGAAAAACCAAGGAGGAGGAGGACTCAGGTTTTACCTTCCCAACAAATATATATAGTGATGCACTCGATCTAGTCACCATACAGCTTCAGTCTAGGTCACACCCTTCTGCATCTAATCAACACATTGATTCCCACACAATAGAGGCTAATGACCCTGATGACTCATCAGGAGGTGGAGGGGAGGGGTATTCATATGTAGTTTCTGCTCATTAAGTGAGCTGTAATGTATAAGCTTGACCCTCTCATATTCCAGTCAGAATTGACAAAGCTCGTCAGACGAGAAGCGAAATGTCTTCAAGAGTCCAGTTGCCTTCTTTCGCCTCTTTGGATTAGGAAGAATTGCAGAAGAAGCCATTGTGTCATAGTGATCAGTACAACCCCACAGACTCAGAAGTACTTTAGTAAAGTACTGTTGCTCAAACAAAAGAATGCTGCTACTAGAAATGTACCTTAAGGCTGTGTAAGAAAGGAAGAAGAATGCAACAAAGAAGTTTGGAGGCAAATTTGACCTTTTTTTTGACCAGCTTATTAGAGTCTTTCCCCAAAGTCCCTGTGCTTTATTTAGCTGGATAATGTAAGATGTGTGAATTATGCACCTGGCTGATGTCAATTATATAAAGATTAATAATATTAATTAATTAATAATTAATGTAATGAATCTAAAATTTAGATAGATTTTTAAACATGTTGCTTGTTACAGATACATCTTCGTAATCATTGTTAGATTGTAAAGATGTCACAAATTCCCTTTCCAAGTTTCGGTTTGCCACCTGCAAAGACAAGGCGATGATGGTGGTGGGCAGCTTGTGTGCCCTCGTCCACGGTGCCGCTGCTCCTCTCATGCTGCTGGTGTACGGGATGATGACCAACACGTTTGTTGCTTACGAGCTGGAAGTCCAGGAGCTCAAAGATCCAAACAAGGTGTGCAGAAACAACACAATCTTTTGGACTAATGACTCCATATATGAAACTCCCGAAAACAGCACAGTTTTTTGCGGGTAAGTTGCGAACATAAAGGTAATTAATCATTGTTGTGCAGAGTCAAAGGAACCAGTGTGATTTTCTATGCAGGGTGAACATTGAAGCAGAGATGACCATGTTTGCATATTACTACATTGGTATTGGATTAGGTGTGCTGGTTGTAAGTTATTTTCAGGTTGGTGCGATTTATCAGTTTATATATATAAATTTTAAAGTACTGAACGATTATATGAAACTAAATTGAGGAAATCATTTTGCACCCATCATTTAGATCGTCTTCTGGGTGTCAGCAGCTGCAAGACAAACTCAACGAATCCGAAAGACTTATTTTCGAAAAGTTATGCAAATGGAGATCGGATGGTTTGACTGCAATTCTGTGGGTGAACTGAATACAAGGATTTCTGAGTGAGTTTCCATCTCCAGGTTATTCCCAGCGTGAAGAAAATGGTTTAACTTGCTTCTTCTGGTCCTTTTTCAGTGATATCAACAAGATCAACAACGCCATTGCTGATCAGGTGTCCATTTTCATTGAGAGGGTCTCTACGTTTGTGTTTGGTTTCATGGTTGGGTTCATCGGTGGCTGGAAGCTGACTTTGGTGGTCATAGCAGTGAGCCCTCTGATCGGTATAGCTGCTGGATTAATGGCCATGGTGAGAAAATAGTTTAGTATCAATTCATCCATTCATCTTCCTCCACTTATGTGGGGTCGGGTCGCGGGGGCAGAGAGGCCCAGGCTTCCCTCTCCCCAGCCCCAGCTTCTCTGGGGGAATTCCCAAGGCATTCCCAGGCTAGATGAGAAACATACTTCCTGCACCATGTCCTGGGTCTTCGTGTCCCCTGAGTGGGACATGCCTGGAAAACCTCACCAGGAAGGCAGGAGGCATCCTTACTAGATGCCAGAGCCACCTCAACTGGCTCTTCTCAATATGGTGGAGCAGTGGATCTACTCCGAGCCCCTCCCAGATGACCGAGCTTCTCATCCTTTCTCTAAGGGAGAGCCCAGCCACCCTGCGGAGAAAACAATTTTCCTCCACTTCCATCCGCGATCTCGTTCTTTTGGTCACTGGCCAAAGCTCGTGAACATAGATGAGGGTAGAAATGTAGATTGACTGGTAAATCGAGAGCTTCGTCTATAAACTCAGCTCTCTCTTCACCATGACAGACCGGTACAATGCCCACATCACTGCAGACGCAGCACCAATCCACCTATCGATCTTCTGTTCTACCTTTCCCTCACTAGTGAACAAGACCCTGAGATACTTAAGCCCCTCCACCTGGGGCGGGATATCGTCCCTGACCTTGAAAAGGCATTTGATCCTTTTCTGACTCAAGACCGTGGTCTCTTTTTATAATGCATCTGAGTAATTTGTCTTTGATCCTGAAGGCAGTGGCCACACTAACAGGACGAGAGCTGAAGGCCTACGCAAAGGCAGGAGCTGTAGCCGATGAGGTGCTGTCATCCATCAGAACAGTCGCTGCTTTTGGAGGGGAAGAAAAGGAATCCGAACGGTAATTCCTCTAAAAATAACCACACCATCACAGTCACATCTATGAATGGAGACTGACGTGTTAACTCTGGGTTAGGTATGACAGAAACCTCATCGAAGCTCAGAACTGGGGAGTGAAAAAGGGCTCAATCATCGGCGTATTTCAGGGATACCTGTGGTGCATCATCTTTCTGTGCTACGCTTTGGCCTTTTGGTACGGATCTAAACTCGTCATTGACACGAAGGAGCTGACTCCTGGAAGTCTTATTCAGGTGTGTGAAAAAATAAGAAGCAAACTTCTGAATATTTATAACAAATAGAATTTATCTTTTTTCATTTCTGGTGTCTTTTTAATGGCTTTTCTCCAGGTTTTCTTTGGAGTCCTCATGGCGGCTATGAACCTCGGTCAGGCCTCGCCGTGCCTGGAGGCTTTTGCCTCCGGCCGCGCAGCAGCAAAAACTATTTTCGAAACAATTGACCGGGTAATGAAACATAACTAGAAAAAACAGATGTTATTTGAATAAATGACTTAAAAAAAGTATTTTGTTGCTAAATTTGCAGGAGCCAGAAATTAATTGTTTTTCAGAGGATGGCTGTAAATTAGACAAGGTCAAAGGTGACATTGCGTTCCATGATGTCACCTTCTTTTACCCATCTCGACCTGAAGTTAAGGTAACTTTTTTACCAGACATTTATTTTGTTCCAGTTCTCGAAATTAAGCTGTTAAAGGAGAATGTGTGTTCAGATTTTAGATAATCTGAGTGTGAAGATCAAAGCGGGAGAAACCACTGCCTTTGTTGGACCGAGCGGATCTGGGAAAAGCACCACAATCCAGCTCATTCAGAGATTTTATGACCCAAAGGAAGGAACGGTAACAAATCTATCCTCACACAAATCACTGCACACACAGCGAGATGCATAACTGCTTAATTGTGATGATTTTTATTAACGAAATGAACATTTTCAGGTGACTCTGGATGGCCATGACATCCGAACCTTAAACATTCAGTGGCTCCGTTCTCTCATCGGTATTGTGGAGCAAGAGCCAATCCTGTTCTCCACAACCATCGCTGAGAACATCCGATACGGTCGACATGGAGTGAGCATGGAGGACATCATCCATGCAGCAAAGGAAGCCAACGCTTATAATTTCATTATGGATCTTCCACAGGTACAATTCACTCAAAATGATGCAACAAAACCATCAACGTTGACTCAAGACTTAAAATGCTTTCTGTCAATCCCTTCAGAAATTTGACACACTGGTGGGTGAAGGTGGAGGTCAGATGAGTGGAGGACAGAAGCAGAGGATCGCCATTGCTCGCGCTCTCATCCGAAACCCCAAGATCCTGCTGCTGGACATGGCCACATCTGCACTGGATAATCAGAGTGAAGCTGTCGTCCAGGAAGCTCTGGAAAAGGTCCGTCACTGTCTGCCTTTCACTTTCAAAACACTGCACGTGGACTTAATTTGAGGAATTGTGCACTCGTAACTCTGCAGGTTCGAGCAGGCAGGACAACAATCTCTATAGCACACCGTCTTTCCACGATCAGAAATGCAGATGTGATTGTTGGTTTTGAGCATGGGCAGGCTGTAGAGAGAGGGAAACACAAGGAGCTTCTGGAGAAACAAGGTGTCTACTTCACCCTCGTCACGCTGCAGAACCAAAGCTCTTCCAGCACAACTACAAGTAAGATGTGGAGCTCAAACAAATGATCCGTTTGATCTGGAGTGGCAAAACTTTTGCGTGTCACCCGATTTGATTAGCAAGCTAGGGTGACTTTACAACTTTTACTTTTCTTCTTTAGTCAGAGCTGATAAACATGGGTTTATTCAGGTGTTAGGTTTTGGTGAGTTCATTTGTGAAGCAACTACTGAGTAACTGTTGCACAAATATGTTTTAAAGCATGTCTTCTGTTTTCGGTTTTAGGAAAAGAAAATATATAGAAATCACAATCAACAAGAATTTAATTTTCTTCCAGATGCGATCAATGAAAAACCTGATGATGATTTTGATTTCAAAGTGGAGAGTTTCAGGCGTGGCAGCGGCAGATCCAGCAAAAGGTACAGAAACACAATCAAGCAGGCAACAATATATGTAATCAATAAAATTGGGTTGATTTTTCAACTGTCTTCCTGCAGGAGCTCAATTCGACTGCGATCTCAGAGCAAACTGTCCAATGATTTGGTCCCAGACGCTTTATCAGGCAGCCTCAGGATCAGTGCGGATGTGGGGATCCCATCAGCAGATGTACTGGGAGTCTGATTCACGTGCAATGTTCAAAATCCCGTCTAGACTCGCTTTAACACTCGTGTTCCAACAGGCATTGGAGGATGATGCAGATGGAAATGAAGAACGTGCCCCAGTGGTACGCATCCTGAAGTACAACCAGCCAGAATGGCCCTACATGCTGCTGGGTTCACTGGGAGCTGCAGTCAATGGCTCTGTTAACCCCATCTACGCAATCCTGTTCAGCCAGATTCTTGGGGTAAGAGCTCCTCCCGTGAGAGCTGTGCAGTGTTACAAGTTGAGCTAGTTTGTTTAGTCGTTCCAACCAGTTTGTTTAATTAAAGCATTGTTTTATTTGAATGATTTCCCAACTCTGTGTTTTCAGACGTTTGCAATCCGTGATTTGGACAAACAGCGGAGGCAGATCGACGGCATCTGTGTGCTGTTTTGCATCGTGGCCATAATTAGTTTCTTTTCACAGTTCCTGCAGGTTTTTATTTACTTCCTTTTCTTTCATCGTTATCCAAAAATCTCATGACGTGGGGAATCATTTTCCATGGCAGCAAATCTCAACTCCAAGTTATTATCATGGGGAAAAAAATGATGATTGTAGGACTTTCAAAATCTATAGTTTTATGCTGGCGTTCCTCTTTATTCAAATAAAGAAGGGAGTCAAAGAACAGAGTGAGAGATAAATAAAGCTACATCTTGAAATATTTTGATCATATTTGCTCCATTTAAGGTAAACTTTATATTACTTCAGGTATCAAATACTCCACTGTTTATTTAAAACTTTCTATTACATCACGGGTTTTCTTAGTCATGCAAACCGGTTGACAGCTGGAGCTTCAGGCAGACCTTTTAGTTTGTTTTGGAGCAGTTTGCGGAAGAAAATTTTCCATTGAGAAGATGAGAATGAATCACCACATCTTTGTCGTGTTTTTGGAAGAGAGTGTGTGGTGTTCTCCTGCCTCCATCTGTGGATGGAGTTTGCTTCAGTTATTTTATTATTTTTATAGGGGTATGCTTTTGCCAAATCTGGAGAACTGCTGACTCGCCGTCTGAGGAAAGTGGGCTTCCAGGCCATGTTGAGACAGGAAGTAGGTTGGTTCGATGACCCCAAAAACAGCCCTGGGGCTTTGACCACCAGACTGGCCACAGATGCATCCATGGTGCAGGGGGTGAGTTGTAGATCCACATTTCTTACATCGTAGTTTTGGTCCGTACAATATTTTGCTCATCTTTTCTGCAGGCAACGGGTTCTCAGATTGGCATGATAGTGAACTCATTGACCAGCATAGGAGCCTCATTCATCATCGCCTTCTACTTCAGCTGGAAGCTAACCTTGGTAATCTTGTGCTTCCTGCCTCTCATTGGGCTGTCGGGTGTGTTCCAAGCCAAAATGCTGACAGGTTTTGCAAACGAAGATAAAAAGGCCATGGAAGCAGCTGGCCGGGTAAGTTCACCCACCAGCTGGAGGTTGTGGCTCCAAAGATGTCCAATTTAACACATAGAACTACTTTTTCTTCTACAGGTGTCAAGTGAGGCTCTTGCCAACATCAGGACCATTGCAGGATTGGCCAAAGAGAACTCGTTTGTGGAATCGTACGAGCAAAAACTTGAGCTTCCATATAAATCAGCGAAAAAGAGAGCCAACATCTACGGGGTCTGCTTTGGTTTTGCTCAGTGTGTCATCTTCATGGCGTATGCCGCTTCCTTTAGATATGGCGGGTACCTGGTCAGAGCGGAGGGGTTACAGTACATGCTGGTGTTCAGGTTGGTGAAACGTCAAACTGTGTGTTTTTATTTTAGTGATTCTTCAACCTCAGCACCACTTGTTGTCTCTCCAGAGTGATTTCAGCCATCGTGATCAGCGGGACAGCACTAGGCAGAGCCTCGTCCTTCACTCCGGATTACGCCAAAGCCAAAATCGCCGCTGCTCAGTTTTTCAAACTGCTGGACAGAGTACCACAAATCAGCACAGATCGATCATGCGGACAAAAATGGGTTGGTATATTTGAAGTTCTGCTGTGAATGTTTAGTTTTGCCACGGTATTGATGGTGAGCATGTCTTCCATCTTTAGGAGAACTTCAAAGGAGAAATCGAGTTCCTTAACTGCAAGTTTACCTACCCAACACGTCCAGATGTTCAGGTACTGAACGGCCTGGTTGTTTCTGTGAAGCCTGGTCAGACTTTAGCATTTGTTGGGAGCAGCGGCTGTGGGAAAAGCACCAGTGTCCAGTTGCTGGAAAGGTTCTACGATCCAGATCACGGGAAAGTGGTGAGTGACGAATGACTCAGACATAAGTTTAATAAATCTCTTCGTAGCAGATAGTCACAGTTGTTTTTTCTTCTTTCAGTTGATCGATGGCTACCCTTCTCATGATGTCAATGTCCCCTTCCTGAGATCTCAGATCGGTATTGTGTCTCAGGAGCCAGTCTTATTCGACTGCAGCATAGCGGAGAACATTCAGTATGGAGATAACACACGCAGCATCACCATGGAGGAGGTGGTTGAGGCTGCCAAGAAAGCTCACCTCCATGAATTTGTGATGACTCTTCCAGACGTGAGTAGAAATGTTTATTTTAGAAGTTTCTCTTTACACGTCCAGGAAAACGAGTCCTCGTGTCATAAAAGACACAGAACAGAACTGTAGTCTGTTGTTTCCGACCTGCCCATGTTTTATTTTTTCCCCATCATAATCAGATGGCAGACAATTACAAAACAGAAGTATAAAATTAATACTTGGCCAACAGTTCTGTTACATATGCAGATTTGTACACGTTTCAGGAGTGTCCACGTGTTCTTTGGCGCCCCCTACTGGTGTGTGTCTATTAATGGGAAGTTAGAATGAACAACTTTGCCATAAGAAAAACTGAAATAAGCAGAGGTGCTCAGACCCACTGTGGGACGTGCTGTAGATGTTTCCCAGCTTCAAAACACATTTTTAACACTCTGCAGTAGTTTAGCCCTTCAAATAATTTGTTTTAGATCAAAGTAGCATCTCAAACATGCAGTCAAGTGAGCTTTGAGGATGAGGATTCAAATAATTTAATTAAGCATGGCTGCTTGACCCATGACCTCTTCTTTTTATTCACTGCTTTTAAACTGATTAGAAATACAAGACTCAGGTTGGCTCCCAGGGCTCCCAGCTCTCAAGAGGACAGAAACAACGCATTGCCATAGCCAGAGCCATCGTCAGGAACCCCAAGATCCTGCTGTTAGATGAGGCTACCTCTGCTCTAGACACAGAGAGTGAGCAGGTATGAAAACCTTCCTGGCATTTTAGGCTTTTGTTTAATTTTTCAGATCATCCCCACCTTCTTATCTGACACATATAAAACACACAATCTTGATAGATCTCTGTTTTTTTTTATTCTGCAGACTGTTCAGTCTGCTCTGGATGAGGCGAGAAAAGGACGAACCTGCATCGTCATCGCTCACCGGCTGTCAACCATCCAGACCGCTGACATCATCGCGGTGATGTCCCAGGGAGTGGTCATAGAGCAGGGTACACACGATAAACTCATGGCGAAGAGGGGAGCCTATTATAAACTGGTCACATCTGGAGCTCCAATTAGCTGAATGTACAACTTCAATAATTCAAAACCTAATCTTCAATTCTGAGTAAATTTTGGAAAGCCAACTTGTAAAATAATGAAAATATCGTGGCGCAGAATTTAAAATTTTTTTTATTTCAGCAGCAAAAGCAACATGCATCTCTGCATTGTACGCACAAGATCAGCAGTTTATTTATGTAGATATTGTTTTGAAGAATTAGTTTCATAGTCACATGCTGTTTAAGCTATTTATTGCAAATGTATTTATTTCTTTACAGCCCAAAATAAAATTTTTACTCACATCTGATTGACTTGTTATTAAAAAAGTCATTTATTTTAAATTATAAATCAATTTCAAGTTGTTTTCTGTTCAACTTGTTTGTTTGTGTTTTTGGTGGTGTGCTGTATAAAGGAGATGAGATGTGTTTTGCTAATATATATATATATATATATATATATATATGTATGTGCATATATATATATAACATTTCATTAAGCCTGTAAAGGATCCTTCTCCACACCAGCTCAATAAAAGGATTAAAAAATATGAAAAAGTTTCATGTTAATCTCTGGAAATATCCACAGAAATGTTGCTGAAAATGAATGAAATGATGCCCAGATGTTGAAAAATATTAGCGGCTTCGCAACATATTACCATACAAATCCTGTCTAATGAGAGCAGGTAGTCTCTGGACGATGCCACGTTTGCTACGGGAGCCCATGAGGGCAAATTGCATTTACTGATTTGTAAGAAACAGTTACAAAAGTTTCACCATTTTATAAACTTTGTTGTTTTACACATTTACCTCTTCACTTGTTGCCACTGATGAAAGGGAGTCTGAGGTGTTTGTCATTGCTGGAGGCTGCGCTCCCAGAGATGTTTGACCCTAATGGCCATCCGTTGGTAAGGTCTCACTCAAACACAAAAATAAAGGCAAGTTTTTTTTAGGTATGTACTGCCCCTGTCGCCAGGGAGAATCGTCACTTTAAATAAGTCCAAGTTGCATGTTTGAAGATTTTTCTATCAAACAGCAACAAAATCAGAAGTGAGCAGGAGAAAAAAAGCTTCATCTTTTGTGGTATAAAAATAAAAATCAGCAATTTTGTAAGTTTTTATCTAATGAAATAAAAGTATGTAAGTTTTTTTTTCTGAAAACATAAACTGCTCGCTGTGGAACAGCTCTACTCTCAGCACCAAGTAGTAATAAGGTACCCAGACAAATGGACGTTTCTTCAAGCCTGGTTTGGCTCGGAGCCTACGCGCGTTGAACGGTTACATCATTCAGTAAGAGGCCTCAGGTGCATCTGATGCTAAGCAACTGGAGCCTGTGAGAAAATGAGTAGCGCTCAGGAGTTGAATTAATCTACCTAATCGTGTTACATCAAAGACTGTTCTACCTCATTACATTTTGGCTGATTAATAACAAAATGTTTCCAGGAGAGCCAGCTAAGAGACTCATAAGAGGTTATGTAACACACTCAGAGCAGGATGTATGTTCAAACCATGGTTCAAACGTAGGAAAAACAGGAAGAAATCCATTAGTCCTGGAAAACCCGGGAGTGTGTTTGTTTATTCAGTATCGTGTTCAGCTGCTGTTATGCTGCCAACACCTGCCACCAAACGTTTGTTTCTCACACGACATATTTAAAAGTTTCATTTTTAAATCAGAATAAACCCTCTGATAGGCAATAATCTGTATCTGGTGGTTTGCAATGAACAAAAGTCTGACCTTCTATTCAGGATAAAAATGAGTTGTTTTGAAAAGTTGTGTTTCAGCTTTTATTGGGTAATGAGCTGAGTTCATGCAATATTATAAAGCTGTTCATCTCTCTTTTTCTTGCCTTATTTCCTTTCCCTGTTTACCTTTTAATAACTGTTAGGTGTGTTACTGCTGCTAGATGTGTGAATGCTGCTACTGCTGGAAAGCACAACTTTTCCAGAGGGATCAATAAACTTAATCTGAGTTTGAGTCCACCAACGGCCTAAAACAACCTTCTTTCATCGTCAGTAATCAGCAAATGAACGCAGGAACTACAGCAACCACACAAACAGGTACTGCAGCGCTTTTACAAAATGACAGCATGTAAAATGGAGCTTCACCGTGCGTGGGCATTTTAATTAAGTCATACAGCTGCAGAAATGTGAGACTTGCTGTCATGCACATGAGTTTATATATAGTTTGGGAGCCATTTTCCCCCTTACGGATCGGAACTAACTTCCCAGAGCTCACAGCCAGGCCGAGACCAAACAAGGCTCCCACGTTTCTCCAAAGACCAGCAAAAGGTGTGGTGTCCAGATGAATCCAGTCAGGGTTGGCACCCCATCTTTTAGCTTTAGCGACTGACCACAAAGGGTCAAAGTCCAGAAGCTTTAGGAGCACATAAAAGCAAACGGTAAATGAGAGAAGAAGTATGTTGGTCTGGAGGTACAATTTCAAACTCGCATTGTAGATCAAAGGAATGTGATCAAACACCTCTGCAACAAGCATACCTACACAAGGCAGAGAAAAGGAAAACTGATTATTAAACAATACAACAGAAATGACAGAAAATATGCAGCAGGAGAGTGGGAAAATACCAGCGGCAAGACCAAGGAGAACCTGGTGGGGCAAATGTGTTGCAATGAAAACTCTGGAAATGCAAACAGTCATCTCAACCACCCAAAACGCCATCCACAAAAAGGATCTCAGTAAGTGAAACCTGAAGATGAATGCCTTTGTTTAGGTCTGTTGAGAGATTTTTTTTTCTTGATTTTTGTAAGTGCAGAAAATAAACCTTTACCTTTGCAAGCTTCGAACAGATGAGACACTAGAGGGCCTGGCAAAGTTCAGAGCAGAGGCGATCATCACATACCACACACACAACGAGCCCATGGCTTGACCAGAGGGACTACCTGCAAAATAACTATTGAGGAATTAATGTTTTCTGTAGTTGCATTAGCCCAGATTTATTGCATGCAGACTTACCTGGACCCGTTTCACAAGTTATGTGAAATTGATCCAAATGTGGTTGTGATTCCCTCCAAGCAACACAGACGCAAGTGATTTCTTTTACGGGTTTATTGGACGTCTTTTCATTGTGGACCTCTTCTGTCCTCCTTTCTTTAGACCTCTCTTAAACCGTGAAACTAAATACAGGATAGTACAATTAAAACATATACAATAATGTGCAATAAAATAAAGACAAATAAATACCTCGTTGGCTGTTTGCTTAAAACACAAAGGGAATCCATCTTCCTTTAAGTCCTTTTACTAGTTTCCTTTAAGTCCATTTACTAGTTAGTTCTTTAGCAGTCCATTAGCTGTCTGTTTGTTAGCACTTCATCCAGGTTCTGTGTTCCTCACACCTGGCTTGTATCCATCAAATCAAGGGTGTGGCTGGCAGAGCAGCTCATGTCGCTTTTCAAAATAAAATTACAGGAAACACAACTAACCCAGTGTCTTACAAATGGGAAAATAAATAAATGAAGAAATAAACAGCAACTGCAGTTACAGTGGTATTGAATTGTTTTGGTACAAGTGAGTTTCTTGCACCCACCAGTAAGGTCGCTGACCTGAAAGGATCCTAGGTAAGAGAGAATTTGGGTCACATCTAGAAAAGATAGAGGTTACATGTAGCCAAAATAAGGTTGAACCAGTCACCAAAAACAGCCACCCAAATCATCTTGGTGCCAGCATCCTGACAGAGATGGAACCAAAGTGGGAAATAGATAGGGAATAGGGAATGGAAAATATTACGAGGGTCACCCACTGTTGACATGAAACTAAGAAAGTTGTAATATTCTCCATTGTTGTTTTGCAGATGCTGAATAATTAGCACACCAAATCTGTGCACAAAATCCATCTGCTCTCCTGTCTGTGTGCTGCAGCTTTCTCCTAAGCATCAGTCACAGCAGCACCGTGATGCTGATGCTTACCACACATCTCCTTATATTGTAGCCTGGCATCATAAATCATCCATTAAAGTCATGGTAACAACTGAGTTGTTTGAACGCAAATGGAATAAAATAGTGTGTCCCTAAACTCCTGAGAAGTCAGCATTTTAAGCCAACTTAAAAAGATTGTTTGCAACCCGACTGTGTAGCCATTAGATAGTTCACAGAACATTGGTTGTACATCTGTTAAATATTAGCCACTGTAAACACACAAAAGAGAGTTCCCCGAGTCACCCCATGGATCCTTTCAACTGGAAAATTCAGGCGTTCTTAATGGTTACAGCAGAAAAAATGGGATTCCCTTGAAAAAGACAGCATGGATTACATTCTCACATCGATTTATTTGGTGCATTTATCATTCCATGTTTAAAAACATTAGTAAATAACTTGCATTATATTAATATGTTACAATGTTTTTGCATGTTTTTAGAGAACTTCCACATTTTCACCACTAAGTGGGGTATGAGAACGTTCTTCCTGCTCGATTAAATAAAGATAAGCTGGAAGAAATATAAAAATAGAAAAGAAATCGTAAATTGAATACTTATAACTGAAACACGTTCTACTTTATATAAATAGCTTTTTTAATCAATCTTTTTTGTAAACGGAAGTAAGCAATAAACGTAATTTCCGGTAGTTAGAATCCGTCCTTCTCTGTGTACAAACCGCGGATTTTTGAAAATAACGTCTGCTGTCATTGAGAAAAATCAAAGGAAGCGTTACTTTCACCTTCTATTACAACACGTGAGTACAACACATAAATAATAAACTGGTTGTTAAAGTTTTAGTAGTTCAGTTTTTGTTATAGGTAAGGTAGGGGAGTGTCTAGTTTACGGCTAACGTACAACTATTTCCTAGTTAGCAACATGTTAGCACCGACGCTAACTTGTCTCGTAGGTTATTTGTCTGTTCAAATAGAGAAAGCTTTCTCCAAATCAGGTAATACTGGCTCAAACCCAGCGTATCTTAACATGATTTGCTTAATATGTATGAGCAAATTAAGATTACAGGAATCTAAGTTTAGCTTTTAGCATCGTAACCAGTGTTTACCTGCCATCATCATCGGATCGGAGGGTGCTAATCAATTGATTTTATTTACACAAGAGATGTCGATCAAAACAGAGTAATACAGATGGTCATGTTGATGTGTATAATTGAATTATTATAAACATAGATATCATAGAGAGGACAACACATAAAAAAAGCGTAAAACACGTTTCCATTGTGGCCATAGAGGACATAAATTCAGAAATCACGTCAGAACAGTTTATATCCAAAAATTTAGAGATCACCAATTTCCAATCATTTTCATTACTCTCTGGCTTTTAAATGCATTTCTTTACAGTTGCATCCCTAGAGACTAACTAAATAAACCCTTATTCTACACAGATCATCCCCTAACCCAAACGCATATTCTGCACTCCTACAATTGGATTGCCGCACAGTCCATAATGTTTTAGTTGTTTCTCTGCTCCAACACACCTGATTTTCATCAGCAGGAATTAACAGACTTCTGCGGAGCTTGATGGCCTGCTGAGCTGATTCAACCATTGAATCAAGTTATCACAGTATAGCATGCATGTTTGCTCACCTGAGTTTGCATTCTGAATGATGTGCTACTTTTTTCTATTCTTAATTCACAGCCAACTGTAAGGTCATGGAGTCCATCAAAGACACAAACATGATTGCCAGGTTCACCAGTGAGATGGAAGAGATCCACAAAGAGCGCCTGAAGATTTACGCTGACATAATTAACACAACTACAGAGCTGTCGCAGTCCCACAGACATTTTGTGAAGTCGGCCATAGGTGAATTGTTTAGTGTTTACGTATTTATTTACACAACAACATAATTTTGAACTGAGGCCAGTAAATGTTTTGATTGTGGATTAATTAGATGTGTATGCAAACATTTCAAGTAGTCATAGGCTTGTGCTTTTATTAAACTTGCAAAAGATTAAGAAACCCTGTTAGAGTCATACAGTTCAAATAAAACAAGTACAAGAACACATGAAATTATTAACTAAAAATATATCTGTTCATTTGTTTCTTGCAGACACGTGTTTAAAGAAATGTAAAGATGATGAGAAAATGTTTGAGACAATCCAGGAATTCAGAAAAGGTAAGTTTGTGTAGAATTTGTACTGCTGTATCACTCACATTTTGCTTTCAGTTTTTTTGCATCTGAGTTAACAGAAAAGGATTTTTTTTTTTGCTCTAACATTTTCAAGATGAGTAGAAAAACATTAGAAGGCAGCCTAGATAATTCCAGATTATGATGCATGTACCTCTAAATCAATATTATCATTATTGCAGAGCTGGAAAATAAAAACAAGACTTTGAAGGAGAAACGCTGTGCCATATCTGAGGTGATGTCTGAGGTTCAGGAGAAGGAGATGGAGAAAGAGGACATTATCCAGAAAATTCAGAAGCTTAAAGAAGAACAAACAAAGAGGAAAGAGTGTAAGGATATTATTTTTAATTCAGTGATTTATCTAACAAATTAGTTTATGATGTCAGTTTATTTTCTTTTTTGTTCCTTCTTTTAAGTAATTGAGTCCCAAAACAAAGCAAACAAAGGCAGACTTAAGAATCTGCAGAAAGCCAGGATTGTGTTCCAGGATCATTTGGGGCTGGAGATACGAACGGTCATGGACAAAACACAGTTGGTTAAAGGTAAAACTCTTGTTTTCTGGTCTGATGTTTGAGGCAGTTTAGTCAGATGACGGTATTATTTGCATCCTGATGGGATTGTAGTCGCGTCAGAGGCCACATGATTTTGTAGGCATCAAATAAAACTAACAGTTTGAGTCTCAAAGGCCTTGTGATTCAACTATAAATGCAGCTTTAGTGTAAAGTCGTTTATCTTTGAGATGGGGAATAGAGAAATTCCAGAAACAGAAATCGGTGAAACTGTCCGTTTACATTTGTCAGAGAACATAACCTGTTCTCTGACACGCTTTCTTCAACAAACCCCTTTTTCTCTTTCCCTCCTGAGTCTCAAGGAGCCGTTTGTCAAGCTGTCAGATTTCGTAGTCAAAAAGTGAGTGTTGTAATTTTTGATTGGTCCAACTTTTCAAGTGCCAGTAATGCGTTGTGTCATCCCTTATTTTATTAAAATATTGAAAGACACCTTTAAAATGTTTTCTACTCTTCTTAAATAGTTTGAAGGAATATCTTTTAAGGTCTTTTTGGACATTAGTGGCTTTTTCACTTAGCTGAAATTGTTTCTTAACTGGAAAAATTTCTTTAGTCCTTTATTTTGTCCACTCACGTCACCTTTAAAGACCAAGTTTACTCAAACAGTTTTTGTTACTTATTTTTGAAATGTGATCGGTCATTCTGAGTGCTAAACATGAAAATGGTTTTCTAACCCTATTTCCTGCATTAGCCGCTGATAGAAAATAGACGAGAAAACACTCCGATCAGAAAAGCCAGTCAGATCTATGTCACACAGAAAATTAACATTCATCGACTCACCCTTCTTGGCTCGCAGCAAGGCAGGCTGTTGAGGATTTAGCATCCAAGAGAGAACAGAGAACATCTTGGCTAGTTGAAACTTACTGTTAGCATTAGCAACTTCACAACACAGCAGAACTCCTCCAGGCTTGTGTTACTTGTGGAGGAAAACATCAACGTTGCAGTGCACGAATTGAGTCAGTCATGTTGCTGTTAACCAACCAGAGACGAGATGTCTGAAAATCAGGAAATAAGACGCCAAAACCTGTCGTGTTCTGCTCCCCTCTGCTCTGGCAAACTTCTAGTTCCTGAAACAGGAGTGCCAGAGCTTTTTTCCCACATTGATCAACTCGCAAGGCATTCATTTATACTAGAGACCACTGCAAATGTATGTGGAATAAAAAGGGAACGGTAGGAGAGGCTGCCAAGGACTGGACGGAAGAAAGAGGATGCGTGGGTTCACTATGCGGTATAAAATGTGCACATTTTACTCAACTGGATTCAAATAGAGGCTGACTTCTGCATTTACATGTTGCCATGGTGAAGTACAGAATTAGATCCATTGATAATTACGTCTCTCTTCTTTTGACTCACAATGGGATGCTCCCAGCTGATCATGGTGGGTTTGGATGACCTTTCTTTCTGGAACAGGTTTCTTTTTCTACATTCAACTGAAGTAAATCAAAAATAGGACCTAAAGAACCTGTTTGTTGTTTTTGTCAAAGGCGAAAAGTTGCAGTTTGTTTTCCGAAACATCAACCCTTCAGATCAGGACAGCGCTTATGTGATCACAATGGGGATTAAAGAAAACGGATCATACCAGAGTAAGTTATCCACATGTGCATTAAAATACAAAGGGCTAGAAAGCTTAAAGCAACTTGGGGGGGGGGGGAAACAAAGTAGTTACAAGATCCAGATTACGTGTTGTTTATTGTATTAGTTGATTTCAATACAGAAATTCAAACAACCTGTGTAAATGGGTTCTATATTCACCAAGTGTTGTTCTTACAGTTGTGTCCAGTGACCCGGTGCTCGACTGTTTGCCTGTTTTGGAACTCCGGCTTCAGGAGACCAATAATCTACCAGCATTCCTGGCAAATGTCAGGAAGGAGTTTATCTCCAAGGCACGGTCCTGAGACAGGACGCTGGGAAGTTTTCACTATTTTATGGACTGTGGGCAAAGAATATTACATGAATTGCAGGAATTTGCCTTCTTTAAGGTCATCATTTTGAATTCTTGTCTTTGCATGTATTTTGTTTTTGTCAGTGTTCGTTTTTTAAATAAAGAACATTTTCAGCCTTTTGCCATTATTGATGTCATAAACTGTTAAATGTTGTCTGCATCTGATCTTCTCTGTAAATGTTGATGTTTTGTTTTTCCTCTTCATCCTTTCAGGCATCAGATGATTTGATGCAGCTTAGCACTGGCAGGTCTTCAACATACGTTGATGGGAAATGACCTTTTTGTCCATTAAGAACGCCAAACCACCAACCAGTCTCTCCTTTGGTATAAACATCCACAAGATCACCTGTGAAACAAGGCTTAAGTTATATAATCAGCCTTTATTCAGATCGGCTGCTTTAGATTCCCCACTTACCTTCTTTTAAAGCCAGTTCACCATTGTGTTCGGCTGTGAAGTTGTACAAGGCCTTGCATTTTCCTACGCAGCAAGGCTCTGCTGCAGTCTGATCTGCTAAACATTTTCCAAGTGGTAAATATGTTGCACACCCAGATAGAAACAGGTTTAGATCCTAAATGATTCACCTGTGTGAGACTGCGCTCCAGTATCGCTGCTGCCAATTTCTACTTTTTCCTCAGATGCAGTAGAGGGAGTGATGAGATCTGCAGCTGCCGGTGTGGGCTCCATGGCTGGTTGTGTTAGAATCTGAACTGGTCCTTTATAAATGATGGATGCTCTCAGTGACTGTCGGGATCTGAATGGTGTCCTCCGGAGTTTGACTGGACGGGTTACCTGGACAACGCTGTGTTCACAGTCCTAAGGGGGAAAAGCAGTTTGGTCTGCATCGTTATGAGTTAAAAATGAACATTCAGTATCGAAATGTATTTGATTATACCAGATAATATGGAGAAATAAAATGATCAAAACCATTATAATAAATCTTACATTTGAATGCCTTATTCCTAAAAACAAGCTTATAACCTTTTTCAGGAGGTATAGTTCTGTGGTCGATACAAAACATGGTTGAACTTTGCACAATGTTTTTCTCAAAGAGATTTCAGCAGTTTTACTGACATTTTCAGTACCGAATGAGCCAGACCACACCCACCCGTCTTCTGCTGAGGCTGCTATAAGCTGAGAAGCTCCTAAATCTGGGAGGGGCTTGGAGTAGAGCTACTGCTTCTCTAGCATAGACGGTGAGATGAGGTTCAATGCTAATTTTCCCATTTGTGACATCACAAATGGGGACTTTCTGGAAATAATAATAATGATGCATTGAACTTATATAGCGCTTTTCAAGACACCCAAAGACGCTTTCACACACTCACATTCACACACTGCTGGTGATGGTAAGCTACTTGTAGCCACAGCCGCCCTGGGGAGGTCTGACAGAGGCGAGGCTGCCATTTGGCGCCGTTGGCCCCTCTAACCACCACTAACACAGGCAAGTTGGGTGAAGTGTCTTGCCCAAGGACACAACAGCAGGATACCCCTGGTGGGATCTGGAATCGAACCCATGACCCTCCGATCATGAGTCAACCCGCTCTACCACCTGAGCTACTGCTGTCCCAAATGGCTTGTTTTAGTTACGTATTGCCCTAAACCAAACACTGACAGAAAATTGATTGACCTTTTGATTTTTACATTTGGGGTGTTTATAGAAGCAGTACAGACACACATGGCAACACAAATGGTTTCAAAAAGTGACATTTGCATTAAAGCTCCCCTTTAACTAATAGAGATAAATGACTTATACAAAATATTAAATTTTTTCCTCTAAGAAAGTTTTCAAAATTTTGGTCATAATATTTAAGATTTGTCACATTTCCTCCACATGCAATCTAACTGTGAAAATTATGCATTACCTCTCCTAAATCTTACCTTATCTTTCCATTTAAAAATGTTCCGGCTGAGGCGTTGATAGGACTGCCTTTCGCATTCAGAGATCGCTGAGTACAGTTTGTAATGAGTGGCCTCCAGAAGATCCAGTTTTAGAGTACACTGAGGCAACAAATAACATCAGAGAACACTTGACAAAAATCTAATTTATAACCAATACAAAGAAAACATCTATCAGCCCACCACTTACGCACGCCGGACAATATTCACCTCATCATGCAGCTCTTCGGTTTCCTCAAGGTTCTTTTGGTTTGAAAACGATGGATTTTCAGCGTAGGTTTTCATCAGTTTTTCTATTCCTGCAACAACAGATTACAAAGTAATAATGGACAACTTAGTGCATTGTAATCAAATACATGTAACAAAGTGAAACCTATGAACATACCTTCACAGTCTTTCTTTGTTTTTGCAACATTGTCCTCTAGACGCTGGAGTTTCACCCTGATGGATTGTTGTCTTCTGTCTTTGCTCATCAGGGATTTGCTGTCTTCTTCCTGGAAACAAGTAGTGAAATTGCCATTATTGCTCTTGCACAAGATCAGCCAGTCATTATGTGTGCATTCATAATGCAACTATATCAAAGTGAGGACCTACAACCAATTTATTTACACATTGGGGGGAGGGATCCACATCGGGTAAGTGGCCCGCTGGGACAACGCCAGATATGCCAGATTGCCGAGCATTTTCTGCACATTTAATACATTTCTTTTAAACAATACTAATACTGTAAGCAATTGCTTTCAAACTGGTTTTAGTGGTTCTTGAGCAATTTCACATTGGTCAGAACTCTGTAGCTCTCTGCTGACCAAAAACTGGACATGACAACTTTTGTAGTTCAGGTAGGAACACTAGTGGGAGGTCCCTGCTCTACACAAGTAGTTGTTTACTGTTCTGGTTGCTACTATTAAGGCTAGCAGTTAGCTTTAATTCTCCGACAGTTAGTAAAAAGCACAACAAGAAGAAAATTTTGCTCTTTTAGTATCAGCTTGCTCATGTGGTGTTAGCTTGTTGTTAGTGCTAGCAACAGCAGGCTGTGGCAGTGTTGTTTACTGCAGTTTTAATTCCACTTTAAACCAGTAGAAGGGAGAAGCGGGAAACTCATTAAGTGTAGCATTAAGAATTAAAAAAAACATAAAAGGGAAGTGTATATTCATGTCAGGTCCCTTTTCGTTTACAAAATGCTGCATGGTGGCGCAGTGGTTAGCACTGTTGCCTCGCAGCACGAAGGTTGCAGGTTCGAAACTCGGCTGCGGCCTTTCTGCGTGGAGTTGCATGTTCTCCCCATGCATGCATGGGTTTCCTCCGGGTACTCCGGTTTCCCCCACAGATCACAACATGCCCTATAGGTTATAAATTGTAAGTCGCTTTGGATAAAAGCGTCTGCCAAATGAATAAACATAAAATAACTAGTCCTACAGGTTTTTGGTTTTGCAACATTCAATAAATTATGCTTCTATATTTCAGATTTTTAGAGTAAAGCCAAAACAGACTCACAAGATAATCGGTCATCAAAAACTCTACTTTATTATCATCAACTGCAGCTTTGTTTTCATCAATCAGGGTTTGCACGTCTTTTTCCATGTCCACCCTCTGGACCGCCTGCTCGATCTGTTTTTGTCCCTGAAAGTAGCAGAAGTATTCATGTTTTCTTGCACATACGAGGATTTCTGTCTCAGTGAAGAAGGTGGAAGACCAGATTTCTTACGTGTTTAAGAGTTTGGCCAAAGCTGGACATGTGGAGTTTGTATCTGCTCAAAAGGTTGCACAAAACTTCAAGTCGTTGTTTCTCCAGCTCCTGTGTGATCTGGAAATACAGAATTTAAAAGCCCAATCAGCCCCTGTTCAAAGAGAATTGCAAAGCTAAATAAAATCAAAAATAAAGCCTTTTCTCCACCTGATAGCAGCTTTTCAGTGTGTTTTCCCACTTGAGTCTCATCTGGTGACCCTCCATGTTGATGTTGAAGTACTCCTCATCCACCCGCGCCTGCTGCTCTGCAGACTTAGTCAACCTGTGTAACATCTGGAAGTGAGGAAATATAAAGTTTCAAAATCTGACTTAGAATTATATGTAGCACCTCTAAATTAGGATAATCTCATAGTGAAAATACCTTTTGTTTTTCTTTTTCAGTGCTGATGTGCTTGTTGTTTTCCACGTAGTTGAACAATGCTTCGTGTTCTCTTGTGAGCCCAGACAACTTCTTTTTCAGCTGTTTTGTTATAGAGAAAACAGAAAATCACATAAACACAACATTATGATGAGAAAGCCCAAGTCACTGTTTAAAAAGACAAGGCAACTTTATTTATATTCGATGTGCTTTTCAGGTGCAAGAGAACATTATTTTTATTTTGAGGTCATACGGATGCTGATTCCATCGTGGTGCAGCATAGTAGTGTCACCCTGTTTGGTTCTGACTCGGGGTTATACCAGCTGAACACTTTAAAACAAATATTTTTTTCTGATTATAATCGGCCACTCTAAGTTTGTCAGGCAGGCTGAACATGAAAATAGTCTCCTACACTTATCTCCTGCATTAGCTTGATAGAAAAGAAACAGTGAAACTCTAAGATTTAAAAAGCCTGACAGATTTATGTCCCACTGTCACTTAACATTCATGGACTCAGCCATCATGATTCATGACAGAGATGGCTGTTGTTGGTTTATCATCCAGGAAACAGCAGAGAACGTCTCGGCTAGTAGAAGCTAACCGTTAGCATTAGCAACTCCAACACACAGCAGAACTCCTCCAGGCTTGTGTTATTTGTGGAAATAAAACATCAATGTGGCAAAGCAAACAGAATCAGTGGTGGATTTCTGTTGCTGTTAGCCAGTCAGAGGTGAGATGTCCAAATAGCAGGAAATAACACTCCAAATCTTGCCATCTTGCTCTCTGACATGTGCACCTGAGCCCCTCCCCCCACTATTAGAGACCGCTGCAAATGTATTGATTAAACCAGTGTCTGTTTATAATTCATTAAATATTCCAGGAAGTTTTACGAGTATTTGATAAATTGGTATATAATCCATCCATTATCTATAACCGTTTATCCATGCAGGGTCACTGGGGGCTGGTGCCCATCTCCAGCGTCGTCAGGCAAACAGGCGGGGTACTCCCTGGACATGTGGCCAGTCACACAGGACAAACTACCACACATACGCACACTCACACCTAAGGACAATCTGTATATTATGTGATGACAAGCCAGAATATTTGTGTCAGGTTCAGCAGCTGTGATGAGGAAAATGATGGAAAAATGTGAGTTTCCGTACCTTAAGTTGCTCGTTCCAATTAGCAGTGAAGAGTTTTCCATTTCGTTCAATGGCACTGTCCAGCTAGCAAAACACAGACAGTTAGGAAAGGGAATCCTTCTGAAATATGTGATTAAATACATGGATAAATCCCATACTGGCCTCTTCCTCCTGCTATGCTCGTCTAAGACTTGTCGGATTTCCACAATAGCCTCTTGATTAAATGTGGTTCCTAATGATCTGAAATGAGAACGTCTCACCATTTTCAGCTCCAGCATCTGTTTAACATCTGTACAGGCTCAGTTCTAAGGTGAAGCCAGGCTGAAAGCTACCTGTGGGCGTCCGCTCTTGAGTACATCTCATCCGACACATGACACCAGGCCCTGTAGGTGGAACTGAGAGGGGAGTCAGCAGGAAAAAGGTTAGAGCTGTGGGCTCATTAGCCTGACACCTGCTTGTGTTTTGATCACATCTAACTCGCTGCATGCACGCCTATTTCCCATAATACTATGGAGGGGGGGGGGGGGGTCATGTTAAACACAAAACACAGAAGAGGCAGAGCTAATTAAAAATTCAACACCGTGCCTCTTACTTTCTTGACATTCCTTGACAGGCTCTGATCAGTTTGCCCGCCAGTTTCTGCAGGCCTTTGGAGTAAGTGAGCTCCAGCTCGGCTCTGAAACCAGACAAAGAGATTTCAGCGAAAGACAATTACTCCTTAAACAAGAAAGATGTTCTGAATCAAAATTTAAACAACGCCTACCTTTGCTGGAAAACCGTTATGAGTTCTTTGAAGAAGTAATCCCCATTTTTGGAAAACTGTTTCAAATTTTGATAGAGTTGGTTGTACTGGAAAGGAAACCACAGTTGTCCAGTTAATTCTAACTTTTGAGCAAAAGTTGTGTGATCTCTCAAGTTGCAATTCAGTGGATTCTCAAGCAAAGAAATACTCACAGAGCAGGTGCCGATTGGGTCCTTCATCTTAAGACTACACCTGTTTATTGACTTTGACCCTGGGACTTTGACCATTCTGCTCCCAAAGCCTCTCGTGCGGAAATTACCTTTTGTTTTTACTTGGCGCGCGATACAAAGGAAAATTCCACACACACACACACACACAGAGAGAGAGAGAGAGAGAGAGAGAGAGACAGAGACAGAGAGAGAGAGAGAGAGAGAGAGAGAGAGAGAGACGTTCAAATGTAAACAAAGATGACAAGTCAGTTTAAAATGCAAATGGTGCGAGTGAACTAGATACTGAAATAGTTTCGTTATGCATTTATTCAGCTGAAATGCATCATCCTTTAGAGGGAATTACACTGTTACTCTTATAAATCTTTACAGACCATAATTTGCAACAGGTTGTGTTTCTTTTGTTAGAAAGGGCCCAGAAATTTGGACAAATGTTTGGTGTTTTACCTTCTGTTTCATGCTTATCACTAAAACCTTTTGTCTGTGAACAAAGACAAACAAACTCAAACTGGTTGCGTGTAATAAAATGACTCCACAAACAAGGAAATTGTCATAAAATAATTAAAATGTGCAAAGCTGGTTCAAAATTACAGTAAAATGAGAAGTAATTTCAAATTAAAGAAGAGTTCCCATGGAGAGTAATTGTCTTACATTATTTTCCGGAGCAGACATATTTGCACCAACAGTTTATATGAAATGGTTTGAAACTTTAGTAAAATTTGTATTATTTGTATTACAGAAATGCACTAGTTCTTGATCAGGGGCTACACATATTAATATTAAAAGGATAATTATATGAAACAGACTGTTTTTGGTGAGATTAAAAATTTAAAGACGTGGCTCACTCGTTTAATCAATACACTTGCAATGGTCTCTAAGAATGAGTGCTTTGCAAGACGTACTCTGATGAATAAAGCTCTGGTGCACCTGATTCAGGAACAAGAAGTGAGCCACATCAGACAACAGCTTCAGATGGCAGGATTTGGAGTCTTATTTCCTGATATTTGGACATCTTGCCTCAGATTGGCTAACAGCAACGTGGCTCTGCTACTGACTATGTTTGCTCTGCAGCGTCGATGTTTTATCTCCTCAAAAAGCACAAGCCTAGAGGAGTTCTGCCATGTGGTGGAGTTGCTAATGCTGATGGTTGGGCTCCACTAGTCGAGATGTTCTATGCGGTTTCCTGGACGCGAAACCAACAACAGCCTTCCACGTTGTGAGTCAAGGTAAGTGAGTCCATAAATGTTAAAACAGCAATAGCAAATTTGGAAAGCAAATGAGCTTAAAACATTTTTTTCATGCGTCTTAACAACATTCTAACACAGGGGTGGGCGATCCAGGTCCTCAAAGGTCATTATCCAGCAGGATTTAGTTGTTTATCTGCTTAAAAACAGCTGGGTTAAATCTGCTGGTGATTATCAGGCTGCTGCAGAGCCTGAAGAACAGGTGAACAGGTGATTTATCCAGGAATCAGGTGTGTTAGAGCTGGTAACAACTAAAACCTGCTGGATAGTGGTCCTCGAGGACCAAAATTGCCCACCCAAGTTCTAACATAAAGCTGTAGATGTATTGTAGAAATAAAAAACATAATTAAGTGGTTCCCTTAAATTTGTCCAAAACCCTCCAACAATAACACGTCTCAGACCGAAAGCATCTATTGGATCATCCAGTTGTTGGCCTCACTGAACCGCTGCACCTCCGCACTTCTCTGGGTCCTCCATTCATTGCACACTTGCATATTAGCAACAGAACACCACTGGTGTGAGAGGTTGAGGTTTGTCAGTCAATATCAGAGGACAAACGGCCGACTACTACCACATCAACTTTAGGACAAACTAGTCCCAAAAAAGAAAAACACCATTTGACGTCACGGACAACAAAAGACGTTTGGACCTAGAAAACGGTGACTGGTGTTTAGCACAATCTCTTTCTTCTGGCGATGCAGGTTTCCAGTTCAAGTGAATGCGGATCCAGGAAAAATACCTGGTGTGTGTGTGTGTGCGCGTGTGTGTGTGTGAGCATTCCTTAACCGTGTTTGTGTTCAAAACCTAGCTTGTACTGTAGATTTGCCATAGGAGCTTTAAGCAATAAATCTGTCAGGCTTTTCAAATCCTAGCATTTCACAATCTATTAGTTTTATCAGAAGCTAATGCAGGAATTAAGGGTAGAAGGAGGATTTCATAATTCACTCTGCATGAAAAACTCAGAGTAACAGATCATATTAAAAAAACAAGTTTACGTTTCTCATTGAAACTCCTCTTTATGCGTTACATTCCTCAGTCTATTTATACATGCTGATGCTAGAAAGACATTCCTCTTCATGGGCAAAGCTTTTGATAAAATGTATCATTAACTAGTGAATTTGTTGGTATAATACCCACCTGAGGTTTAATGTGACCAAGATTAAAAAGAAAGCACCTTGATTTGTTCATTATTTTTAACCAATCACTCAATAAACCACAACAGACGGAGCTGTTGATGAAGATGAAGGCTTCCTAAAAAAAAGAACCTTGATCTGAGTCACTGTAGCAGCAATCCACCCAAGCATGTTTAGAAGACTATAAAATAGAAGTTTTGAACCCATGAATCACAAAATGAAAAGATTAAAAAAAAACAACAACAGAGCAACGGTCTTTTTTCCTCTCACATGCACGACACACAAACAAAATTGCTGTCATTGTTATTTTTTTATTTGAAGTATTCAAACACCTCATAAGAGGACAAATTGCCTTTAATTTAATGAATACCAGAAATGTATCAGAATACCTGACAAAATGATTCAGTAAGGAACACAGCATCTAGCCATTTCTTATGCACACACACACACACACACACACACACACACACACACACACACACACACACACACACACACACACACACACACACACACACACACACACACACACACCCTCATACACATACTACCGGTATTGACATCCCATATACAGTTTGAGTGGAGATGGTTTGTATTAGTCACATGAATGTAAACTTCACATTAACATCCATTCGTGAGTGATAACAAACTCACTGTTTTGGCAAATCTTTGGGGGTATAGCAATAAACGTGTACCCAGGAATTTGGCATTTTTTAGATGAAAAGATAAGGATAATGTCAACACTGACAACAAAGAAGAAGAGTTGCCTGACTACAGTCTGTAAACATGTCATTAAAAAACTAAATAACATAAAAGAGACAAAAATGAAGGCGAAAACACCCCCCGCAGTATGCCAAACCGCTGTAAGTTAATGAAACATGCTGAAATTTAAATAAGTGGAATTCTGTCATTCATTGGCTAAACAGAGTGGGCTATACTGATAGGATTGCTTTTATTTTCCAGTGAGTGATGCAAATATGTATTCGTATATTTATATATGGATCAGTGAAAAAGCCGCATTCCCATAAATCAGTCAAGAACTTATAGATGAGGATGAGGAGATGTTGTTCATGGCCTAAACACAACCTTTAAATCGCACACACATACACACGCACACACAGACGTGCTCTCTCGCTCACACACAGATGAATGGATAGTGTCTGTATCATGGCTCCATTTATGCAGCTTCAGTCAGTGTTCGTCGGGATACGACGCTCCCGTCAGGTATCCATTGGTTCCGTTTTTGTTGGCCCCATTTTTGTTGGTTCCATTGGTGGAGCTGGTGTGATGCTTCTGATTGGATGGGAAGCTTTCATCCTCATCGGAGCTGGACTCGATATCACTGCGGTCATCTTTAGACACCTGCAGCAAATAAAAAATTCGTATGAAAACGTCATGTTTATGTAAAGCTTTGTTATAGATTTTATTTACGCATTGATATGACGTTCAGCCTTTAAATACACTCCAAGAAAAGAAATTACTCCACAAGGTTATGTCAACAGGTTCGACTAAACCTAGTTGCTTAAATGTTGTACATTAGTGCGTTAAAAGTAAATGTATACTCTTTATATTTCAAGTAACACCAAACCATTTTTTAAAGGTGCAGTATGTAAGAATATAGTGAGCAAATCCCAAAAGAGACTAATGTTTCTGTCATTCTGGAAGGAAGGTTATACTGAAACATATTTCATATCCAGCTGGATTATCCGTTTTTCTCATTTCAAAACAAAGGAAGGAGGGACGTAACTACTGTTTACCATCAGTGAGTGTGGGGGTGCCGTGTCTCCTGCGAGCTAATACTCCAGAGTTGTTTAAAGTGGTTGCAGTAGCCAAATTTTACCACAGGATGTCATTTTTACTTCATTTCTACATAATGCACCTTTAAGCTATTGCTTTTAAACTGGTTTCAGTGGTTCTTGAGCCTGAAAATTAAGCAACTTCACATTGGACAGCACTCTGGGCAGCATGGTGGCGCAGATTTAGCACTGTTGCCTCGCAGCACGAAGGTTGCAGGTTCGAAACTCGGCTGCGGCCTTTCTGCGTGGAGTTGCGTGTTCTCCCCATGCATGTGTGGGTTTCCTCCGGGTACTCCGGTTTCCCCCACAGATCACAACATGCCCTATTGGTTATAAATTGTAAGTCGCTTTGGATAAAAGTGTCTGCCAAATAAATAAACATAAACATAAACACTCTGTAGCCCTCGGTTGACCAAAAACTGCACTGAGCAGTTTAGTGGTTCAGGTCTCTACCTGCTGTACAGCAATAGCTGTTTACTGTGCCGGTAGCAATTATAATGGCTAGCAGTTAGCTTTTTCAGTCACTTACAAGCACAAGAAGAAGATTATGTTTGCTTGTTTGTTGGCATAATGACGGAGCCTGGAAGTAAAGGGAGTAAGGTTTTTAGAAGTGAAGCAAAGAGCTAAAACCAGAGTGAACATCGGCACGGCCTACACTAGTTTGAGGGAGCTAAAGGAGGCTACAAAGTCACTGACTGATGGTGGCCTTGCTTTGTTGCTACTACACTTGTAATTAAAATGATGTTTTTGTCTGACAACATGGATCTCTTAACTCAATGACTTTTTTACAGTAATATCATTTGGCTCATGTTAGCTTTAGCTCATTGATGGCGCTAGCTACAGCAGGCTGCGGCAGGGTTGTTTATGACAGCAGTTAGGTTTAGAGAAACTAGTTGACCTTTACTGGGTTAAGTAAAATCAGCATTTCATCTCTTAGAGTAAGTGAGGCAAGGAGCTTTAGAATTTACCTACAGACTTAACATATATAAAACTAACAATCATTTTTGTCTTGTTTGTTGATTAGACTGTAAAAAGATAGAGACAATGAGAAAACCCCCATTGCAACTGACTCCAAGTGTATTTTTTCCTCTCAATTCCCATAAATCAAAATAATAATTAGATATAGCTTTTGCAAAGGAGCACACTAATGGCCAAATCATTGATTTTAATTAATGAACCTGTGGCCTTACGGCCGGAGAGTAAACACTTTGTGGCTGATAGATCCAAACGAAAGCACATGTAAAGTTACTCACGTGTAAAGGATTCCATCTCCCCACCTTGACGGTTGCAGGTTAGCATAAAAAAAGAGAATATTTGTCATTGTGAATAAATAGAAAGCACAAAAGGTTGAAAATAATAAATTTCAGACTTTTGCTGTTTTGAAAAATGAGTAAATATAAAGAAAATGTATAAAGTTAATGTTAATAAAAAGGAAAAAGATAAATAGTTTATTTGTTCAATTCACTGCAGAAGCAGCCATCAGTGCTGACTCACCTTTCCTTTAGAGATGGCTCTGCATGCTGTCTTCACTATGAGGTAGGACCAGAACGAGTGCAGGAGTTGCAGCAGGAGTAGAAGCAGGTTGAAGACCCACCAGGACGGGTAGGGACCGACGATTTCCCAACTCTCAAACAAAGTAGTATTTAAAATCCTTTAAAAAACCACCAAAGGAGATGGAGATGATTAGGTTGACATGACTAATTACAATAATTTAAAGGTGTTTCTTTTGGGGGAAACATATTTAGCCAGTAAGCAAAAAAAGATTTTGCACTTGTAAAAACAGGAAGTGGAGTTTTATTGTCCCAATAAAATAATCAAATAAACTAAATGCAATAAATCTAAATGTAATTAAATTGTCTATTGAACATGAATGCTTCCCGTTTACATTGAGATACGGGAACATTTTAATGATCTGGGTTAAATATATCCTTCAAACAATTCTTGTAACCAGCTGTTTATAAACCAACCTCCAGATATCAAAGCCATGGCAACAACAACAAAGATAACGGCTGCTCTTGAGGACAAAAACTGGAATTATGGTTTTGAAATAACAATCAGAATGGCCAATTAGTGTTGGCCTTTTCAACTTACTGTAATTACACTTAACTGGTTCATTCAGGCTTCAATAAATGCATTAAAACCAGCCTCTGCTCTCTGATAAAGAAGTCATTATGGTTTAGCCACGAGTCAAAGTGCTGAATTTATTAAAGGTAAATGCAAACCCTCCAAAACAACATCACAACATGATAAAACATCTTTTGAATTTCAATAAACACATGAAACCTTGAGCACTGTTTCCAGCAGTAGACCGTAACCACAACGATTTGCTTTTCGTGAGCTGGATTTTTTGGCTTTCTTAGAGGTTAAAGCTGTTGTAGCCATAGTAACCATTACTAAGCAACACAATTCACAGAGATCTGTCTAAACTGCAAACTATGGTGGAAAAAGAAGATGAAAAAGAAAAGAACTGAGATCTTGAAAACTCTGACACACAGTTTCAGGCTAATTAAATCTGCAGAAAGCTCAGGAGTCTGCTGCAGTGGACTTCTAACATGGATGCAATGCAACACACCTGTGCAGAAGGTAGCCATCACAGGGAGGTCAATGAAACTTACCAGATGGGGTAAACTCCCAGCCTAAAACTTATGAAGAGAATTGCAAACATTGCAAACAGGAGGTTGCACAGCATCTGGCATTTAGCATAGTTTGCCATCTTGGCAGCCTGGGTTTTAAAGAGAAAACAGGAAAATGGACGAGTAAAGTCATTTGTGACCATTCAAGTACTAGATTCAAGCATGTCTGCAATCAAAATGAAGTTAAAAAAATATTCTTCAGACAGCTCTTCCCATATCAGTTGCAGAAGTTCCCATAAATGTGTGGCACTTGTAGGTTGCTTTGCTTTCCACACACACACACACACACACACACACACACACACACACACACACACACACACACACACACACACACACACACACACACACACACACACACACACACACACACACACACACACACACACACACACACACACATGTTTTATACATTTTTTCCTTTCCATCACTGGAAGGTTTTGTTTGCATTTTGCTTGTTAAAACTGGAACAATATAATTAAAATATATGTATTTATGAATCACAAAGTCATATTGAAAGATTTATGGATGAATAATATTGAATCAATGTCATGTTTTAAACTCTTGTTTGTCAGAAGACATTATAAGTCACTGCATGTAATAATGCCCCATTGCAGGATGAGATGAATACAGACATGCAGAGATCAGCAGACTGATGAAGACATCAGGTGACTCACCACGCTAAAGATATTGCTTTCTCTACACTGACTGACATATTCTTTCTGTAGAATGAAGCCATTGCTCCTGTACATCTCTGCATCCATCCTCTTGTCTTTTTACAGTTGAAGGTCCTCACCTCTATCAGAATGTCAGCTGCATCATGTAGACACATGACCAGAGTTCCCACTCGCGCCATGTTGTTCACGTAAGAAAACACGATGAGAGAGATAGTCGCCACATGGTGCAGGAACATGATCAGAAAATCCTGAGAAGACAGTTGACGAGGAAATATCACACAACCATGCAAAGTCTTTTTAAGTATTTCATTTAAAAAAGGTACTCAGTGTCTGGAAATTAGGGGCGGGCAATATAAACGATATAAGGTAGAAACGATATAAAATTGGGTAATGATAGAGTTTTTGGCTCTATCGTGATATCGCGGTAACACATGACGTCACTAAGATGTGCACCTGCGTCGACATTGGGACAACAGAATGGCAGTGGCTGCAAGCATGGAGAGGGCGGAGGAGGAGGAGCGTTCTACACGTTTTGGATGTCTTTATTTTTGCTGCAGTTTATTTGCCATATGAGGATTTTTAAATGCATTTCATTTTGACGTATATACACAGAGGAAAAAACATATCGCAATAAATATCGTTATCGCATATGCTTCAGATTATATCGCAATATAGATTTGAGGTCATATCGCCCAGCCCTACTGGAAATATAGACACTTTGTGTTCTTAGTTTGTTGGAATAAGGCATTCTGTGCTACTATTGTTCAAATTATAAAACCATTATCACAAAACACTTAAAGGGGACATATAACTTTTTTTCTTAAATTGTAATAGTTCTACAGTCAATACAAAACATGTTTATGAACTTCTTTGCTCCAAGTCTCTCGCATAAAGAGAGTTCAGCAGTTTTAATTTTTACATTTTCAATACCTTCCTGAATGAGCTGTTTCAGGCCACGCCCAACCCTCCCCAGCTCAGGCTGCTTTAAGCTCAGGAGCTCCGATACCCAGGAGGGCATCTTCTCTTATTCATGATAGGTGGTTTTATTCTACCGTAAATCCTCTAATATTAGCCTGTATTCAATTAACATCCGGGTATCACATTTTGGCCGGTGTCGGAGTCGGCGGAGGTGAATAATGGCGTTATTTTTATTGTGGCCGGGTGGAATGTGGTAACAAGCAAGTACAGGGGGGCGGTTGTGTCATCCGTCTCACTTTTGATTTGCCAGCGATAGACCGCGAGGGTAACTTTAACCGTGCGGAGACGAAGAGGAGGCGAAAATTTGATATCAAGTTCAAAGAGAACGTGCTGATTATGCTGCAGAACACTCTGGGGAGCAGTAGGGGTTGTATGAACTAGTCACTAGTCGACTTCACCGCTCTATAGTGACTTTTTATGCCGGTCATCGACTAGTCGCTGTCACGTGATAATGACCGGCAGGATGCAGACCACGGAAAAGACAGCAGCCTGCTGTCAGCAGGTGACAAGCTCCTGCGCGTCGGGAGGCAACGCGCTGTGCCAGAGCGTCGGTACTGACACCGACCGTAAAACGGACATTTAACCAAATTGTGACATTTTCCCTCTTGCAATTTAACATTCCCCTCACCCCCATCCTAACCTTAACCAGCTTGCGCATGCAAAGCTCTTATTGTTGATGCGCTCCAGACATCTGCGTCCTGAGCACGGCCACAGTAACATTATCAAATCAGGTGTCGCCACCTCAAAAACTAATTTAACACGCGATCGTTCATGTCGGCTCATTTCCTTTTATGTTTTCTGTCTTTTATTCTTTTATTCGTGCCTGATGCATTTCGCTGCTGTGGATCGGGGCGCATCACCTGTTTTGTCCTTGGTGACGCACTGATCACTGATGCGGCCGGCGAGTAGCGCGCACTCCGCTGTTTTTGCGGTCGGTAGATCTTTTAGAACTGCAGTTCAAAGGTAACTCATAAGGTGAATATATATGAAGCCAGGTAGCAGTTTTTCTTTAGGATTGAGAGGAGATGCAGGAAGATAATAAACAGAGACAGGACAGAAAAATAGTCAAATAAAAACAAGTTTGTTTTTGTACCTGGTGATTGCAACAAACAGACACCATTGAAGGTAATCAGAAGTGAGGAACAGAAAATGAAATAATTATTTTAACGTTTAGAGCAGGAGGATTTCCGAGAGGCTGCAGGCGCATCAGTGAGTTTGCGGCCGCTGCGCAGGGGGAGGTGGGAGAGGGCTGAAGCAGAAACTACCATTGTTAAAAGAAATGTGTTTAACTTTGAAAATGTGGGTGCAATTTTAATTGTCAAAAACTCCAGCGAACCATTAGTTCATTTTGCTCAAATAGAAATTGAGGCCTGCCTCTAATTCTGGCCCTCCTTCCAATAAAGGCCTGGAGCTTGATGAGCTTGAGTCAAATACAGGCCCGGGCCTGTGTTAGAGGATTTACAGTACTTTCCCTATTTGTGACATCACAAATTGGGACTTTTTAAAACACCTTGTTTTAGGCGCATAAACCCTAAAACTAAACACTGACAGAAAATGTATTGATGGTTTTATTTACACATTGGAGTGTTTATAAAGGCAGCAGAAACCCACATTGCAGCACAAAGGGTTGCAAAAATGAATTTAGCATAATAGATCCCCTTCAAGAAATAAATATGTTTAATTTGATTTGCTAAAATGTATTGCTAGATGTGAGCAAAAAGCAACAAATGTCAGCATACTGAAATAATCACTGCTTTGGCTAAATATAATGAGGTCTTGAATCGTTTAAAACTGAGCTCCGTAAAGGCATACATGAACACGGCAGGCGACCATTCATCTGGTGAGTCTTTAGCTTTGGAAATGTTTCTGCATGGCAGCTCAAAGCACTGAGATCTAGTCCAGCAGCGCGGATAAATGAGAGGGTGGATGAGAAGGAAGAGCAATGACACAAGATGCAGAGTGTGAAACGAAACAAGAGTGTGCAGGGTAGAACATACTGGAAGTGGCGGGGGATGCAGAGGACCTCCTCGGTGTAGTTCTGTGCATTAAAGCAACTGGAACAAACAAACAAACAAAAAATCCCAACAACAAAAACAGACACTATGCCAACAGTCAACAGAGAAATGACAGAGTGAAGGAATAAGGCGTGCATCATGCTGTGAGTGAGATGTGCATGTGTGGTGGAGAAGAGATGGAGGTGGGGATGGACCAGAGGCAGCAGTAAGACCAGGACTGCAAGCCATGCAAGATGAGACTAAACAAGGCACAAATACCCAACACATAGGTTGAAGTTTGTGAGAAAACCATGTTTTGAGTTCAAAGGACCTTCATCACTGATGCATGAATAATTTTCTTGGGTGTGTATTGGAAAAAAGATGGTGGCTCAATATATATCACATTACAGGGGAGACGATACGATATACTGAGATGTTCGGATTATTTCTTATATGTGACAGCACCATCTAGTGGCTGACAAGCGTATCACACCTTCCGTATTTACGGCCGAAAGCAACGCCTGCCATTCATTAACATGCTCCTCTAGCCAGCAAAACCATTATTATACTCATGTTATGTTGTGTTTTCAAATATTTATATTTTCGAGCTTTACTTGTCCATGAGAAAGGTTTCCAACTCTGCATCAACCAGAGGTACGTTCTTAAACTCTTGAACAGGCTTTGTGATCGACGTCTGTATGTAAGCGGTAGTCTAACGCTATTGGTTAGTGCTGACCGGAGCTCAGTTCATATTGCATGGAGCTTTACGGAAAGGGGGACGAAATGCATTCCTTCAAGGAATACACAACCTTTTATGAATAAAATGTTTTAAACCTGTATGCTTCTCCAGATGCATCCTAAGTGTTTAACCTCAATTGTTCCACGGATATTTCTGATAGTTTGAAGTAATTTTTTAAATAGCATGCTTAATGCCAAGCTAAGAAGTTGTATTTACGTCCCTGGGAGGAAATTCCACAATAATCTTGCAGGATATTATAGCTCAAGCAGCTGAACTGTGTCTGCTTTTGTTTTCAGGCTGTGGGAGGTTTAACTAAAGGAGCTTACGACACAGAGAAAAGACTGCATTATAATAGTTCAGAAATGCATCGAAGAGATGGAGCAAATGAGTGGGAAAACTTCTTATAAACTCTGAATGGAATTCAAAATGAAAAAGTCTAAATCCCCTTTTCTCTGTTTTGCTATTTCACACATCAGTGAGACAGAAAATTAACTCCAGATCAAACTCTAGTCTTGGAGGGTTTGTGGGGTACAGAAAGCCAAAAAGGTTGATAACAATGACAAAAATGTGTCTTTGTGAAGATTTTCCTAAATATTTGATTGTAATGTGTTTATTGTAGAGTTATTTAATGGAATTCTTACCTTCCTCTTGATGTCTGTGAATCGGGAAAAGAGTACTGACAGGTAGAAGGACAGCTCCAGTATGTAGTAATAGTGGATGTCCACAGTCAGTGGCTGAAAACACACACACACACACACACACACACACACACACACACACACACACACACACACACACACACACACACACACACACACACACACACACACACACACACACACACATGCGATTTTTAGTGTTGCTTCGCTAAAACATTTCTTTACAACAGTATTTAACTAATTGTTGTTTCCAGACCGCTGTGCAGACTTTACCTGATAAGGGTAGTTGTACCAGCATTCTTTAGTGTTCCACAACCACGGGGTCTGCAGACAATTTAACACTCATTTAAAACAAATATAATCTACATAGCAAATGAACAGATTCATGTTCCTGCTAGAAAAAGGGTTAAATTCTGAGTAAATATGGCCTAATCACACCATGACCCATCACTGTCTCAGAGTTTACTCTTCTAGACCCGCTCTATTAATAAATCCCTCTGAGGCTGGAGGCTGGTGCCTGCACCAGCATCTACCAGCGAGTGAACTATTTTCATAAAGTGCTTCGTCATGCAACATTCTTTCCCCCTTCAATCTTGGCTACTGCTGTGATTGCTTTTTTGTATGCACTTGTATGCATGAGTATGAAAATTGTCTTTTTCTGTAATTTCTAGTTAATTGACTCATTATTATTCATTTCTCACATGTGGCCTGATGCCGTCACTCCTCAGCAACATTTGAATCTTAAACTTTTAAAAGACAGGCATTACTGAGGATACTGGGAAGGAAGCGCTTGCGTTCGTGGATTTCAGCACACAAGGTGCAATAAAGAGCTGGTGCAGATTTAATTCAATTAAAATCAGTTTAGTATGAATAGTTTTGAGGAATGTAAACTTTACCGCTACAGTACATTCATTTCTCAAATTCTTGCAACTGGGATTTTAGATTGGCATCTAAATAGTTGATATTCTCTATTATAAGAAAGAGGTTTGTGACAAAGATGAAATACTATTCTGTTAAGGTACGGAAAACATTAATACTGAATAGTGACGAGATATTTTCGAACAAATCAAATCTTTTGAACGGCTCTTCAAAGTGAACTATGAGAGCTGAGTCACTGTCTTCAAGTAAACCCCCCCCCCCTCCCCCCATCAGTCGTCTTTTGAACAGCTCCCTTTAAAGAGGGATAAAGCCTCATCCCCAATACTGAATTCATGTTTGTTACTCTATAAAAAGTTAGAGGAAAGTGGTGTTTAAAAAACATACCTTTTTAAGAAAACGCACCCCGTAGGTAAATATGTAAAGGTAGAATGTGAGCCGCCACCTAATGAAAACAGAACAAAACACATTTAGTACATTTTTAAAATTTTTCATCTTCATAAAGGAGAGCTCCTAAATATGCAGTTAAACTTTTGTTTCAAAGAAGCTTTAATGGAGACTCATGGCTTTTTTCTGGAAATCCCTCTCACATATAGCGATTTCAGCAGTTTTAGTCTTAGTTTCAGTACCTTCCACAATGAGCCGCCACTATAAGCAAACAAGCTGGAGCTGACCACGCCCACACATCCCCTGATTTGCAGCTATAAGCTGAGAAGCTCCAAGAGCAGTTCTCTCTTGCACGTTCCAATTTCCTGTTTGTGACATCACAAACAGGGACTTATTGAAATGGCTAGTTTTAGAAACACAATTCCTAAATCCTGACAGACCATTGAAGTTTTTTTTCATGCTCCACATGGTAGCACCAAAAAATGCAGAATTTGAGTTTTGCATAATATGTCCCCATTAATGTGTCTTTCCCCCCTAAAATTTGTAAGTCACAAAGTGACATTTTGAATTACTATACAGGTAGATTCAACCTTGAACCGTCACCTTATTGTGGTGGAGGAGTTTGAGTGCCCTAATGATCCTAGGAGCTATGTTGTCTGGGGCACTTAGTGCCCCTGGTAGGGTCTCCCATGACAAATTGGTCTTAGGTGAAGGGTGAGACAAAGAACGGTTCGAAGGATCTTTCATGGCGGTTAAAACGAAGAGTCGGAGTACCCGGCCCGGAGGGTTACCGGGGTCCCACCCTGGAGCCAGGCCTGGGGTTGGGGCCCGTGAGCGAGCACCTGGTGGCAGGGCTTTCGCCCATGGGGCCTGGCCGGGCCCAGCCCGAACCGGATACATGGGCTCATCCAACTGTGGACCCACCACCCGCAGGAGGAACATGAAGGGTCCGGTGCAATGTGGATCGGGTGGCAGACCAAGGCGGGAGCCTTGGCGGTCCGATCCCCGGACAAGAAAACTGGTTTTTGGGACATGGAATGTCACCTCGCTGGCTGGGAAGGAGCAGGAGCTTGTGGCAGAGGTTGAGCGGTACCGGCTAGATATAGTCGGACTCACTTCGACACATAGCACTGGCTCTGGAACCCAAGTCCTTGCGAGGGGTTGGACACTCTCCTTTGCTGGAGTTGCTCCGGGTGAGAGGCGGAGGGCTGGGGTTGGCTTTTTGTTAGCCCCGAGACTCTCTGCCTGTGTGTTGGGGTTTACCCCGGGGGACAAGAGGGTAGCTTCCTTGCGCCTTCGGGTCGGGGAACGGGTCCTGACTGTTGTTTGTGCTTATGGGCCAAATATCAGTTCAGAGTACCCACCCTTTTTGGAGTCCCTGGGACGAGTGCTAGATAGTGCTCCATCAGGGGACTCCATTGTCCTGCTGGGGGACTTCAATGCTCACGTGGGCAATGACAGCTTGACCTGGAGGGGTGTGATTGGGAGGAACGGCCCACCTAATCTGAACTCGAGCGGTGTTTTGTTATTGGACTTCTGTGCAAGCCGCAGTTTGGCCATAACGAACACCATGTTCGAACATAAGGATGCCCACCGGTACACTTGGTACCAGGGCAGCCTAGGTCACAGGTCGATGATAGATTTTGTAGTCGTATCATCTGACCTGCGGCCGTATGTTTTGGACACCCGAGTGAAGAGAGGGGCGGAGCTGTCAACTGATCACCACCTGGTGGTGAGTTGGATCAGATGGCAAGGGAACATGCCGCGTAGACCTGGCAGACCCAAACGTATAGTGAGGGTCTGCTGGGAACGCCTGGCAGAAGAACCTGTCAAGACGGTCTTCAACTCCCACCTCCGGCAGAGCTTTGACCACGTCCCGAGAGCAGTGGGGGACATTGAGTCCGAGTGGGCCTTGTTCCACTCTGCGATTGACGAGGCGGCTGTTGCTAGCTGTGGTCGTAAGGTGGCCGGTGCCAGTCGTGGTGGCAACCCCCGTACCCGCTGGTGGACACCAGAGGTTCGGGGAGCCGTCAGGCTGAAGAAGGAGGCCTACAGGGCGTGGCTGGTCTGTGGGTCTCCGGAGGCAGCAGACAGGTACCGGATAGCCAAGCGGGGTGCAGCAGTGGCAGTTGCCGAGGCAAAATCTCGGGCGTGGGAGGAGTTTAGTGAGGCCATGGAGAAAGACCATCGATCGGCTCCAAAGAGGTTCTGGCAAACTGTCCGGCGCCTCAGGAGAGGAAGGCAGCAATTCGCTCACACTGTTTACAGTGGGGATGGGGAGCTGCTGACGTCAACTGAGGCTATAGTCGGACGGTGGAAGGAATACTTTGAGGAGCTCCTCAATCCCACCAATGCGCATTCCGAGGAGGAACCAGAGCTGGAAGGCCTGGGGATGGACTGTCCGATCTCGGGGGCAGAAGTTGCTGAGGTAGTCAAACAACTACACAGCGGCGGAGCCCCGGGGGCGAATGAGGTTCGTCCTGGGTATCTCAAGGCTATGGATGTTGTAGGGCTGTCATGGTTGACACGTCTCTACAACATTGCGTGGTCATCGGGGGCAGTTCCTAGGGAGTGGCAGACCGGGGTGGTGGTCCCCATCTTTAAGAAGGGTGACCTGAGGGTGTGTTCCAACTATAGGGGGATCACACTCCTCAGCCTCCCTGGAAAGGTCTACGCCAAGGTACTGGAGAGGAGGGTCCGATCGATAGTTGAATCTCAGATAGAGGAGGAGCAATGTGGTTTTCGTCCTGGCTGTGGAACTGTGGACCAGCTCTATACCCTTGCAAGGGTGATGGAGGGGGCATGGGAGTTTGCCCAACCAATCCACATGTGCTTTGTGGATTTGGAGAAGGCTTATGACCGTGTCCCCAGGGGCACCCTGTGGGGGACGCTCCAGGAGTATGGGGTGGGTGGCTTTCTGTTAAGGGCCATTCAGTCCCTTTACCAGAGGAGCGAGAGTTTGGTCCGCATAGCCGGTAGTAAGTCGGACCTGTTCCCAGTGAGGGCTGGACTCCGCCATGGCTGCCCTTTGTCACCGGTTCTGTTCATCACTTTTATGGACAGAATTTCTAGACGCAGCTGTGGTGTGGAGTGTGTCGAGTTTGGTGGCAGGAGAATCTCGTCTCTGCTTTTTGCGGATGATGTGGTCCTCCTAGCTTCATCCAGCTCTTGCTGGGTAGGTTCGCGGCCGAATGTGAAGCGGCTGGGATGAGGATCAGCACCTCCAAATCTGAGACCATGGTTTTCGACCGGAAAAGGGTGGCTTGCCACCTCCGGGTCGGGGGAGAGGTCCTACCTCAAGTGGAGGAGTTTAAGTATCTTTGGCATACAGCGGGGTCTTGTTCACGAGTGAGGGTAGGAGGGATTGGGAGATCGACAGGCGGATTGGTTCGGCGTCTGCAGTGATGCGGACGCTGAGCAGATCTGTCGTGGGGAAGAGGGAGCTGAGCCAGAAAGCCAGGCTCTCGATTTACCGGTCGATCTACGTCCCAATCCTCACCTATGGTCATGAGCTTTGGGTAATGACCGAAAGAACGAGATCGCGGATACAAGCGGCCGAAATGAGTTTCCTCCGTAGGGTGGCCGGGCTCAGCCTTAGAGATAGGGTGAGGAGCTCGGACATTCGGGAGGGACTCGGAGTAGAACCGCTGCTCCTCCGGATCGAAAGGAGCCAGTTGAGGTGGTTTGGGCATCTGGTCAGGATGCCTCCTGGACGCCTCCCCGGGGAGGTGTTTCGGGCATGTCCTGCCGGCAGAAGGCCCCCGGGTCGACCCAGGACACGTTGGAGAGGTTACATCTCCAATCTGGTCCGGGAACGCCTTGGGGTCCTGCCGGAGGAGCTGGTGGACAAGGCCGGGGAGAGGACGGCCTGGAGCTCCCTAATTGGGATGCTGCCCCCGCGACCCGGACCCGGATAAGCGGAGGAAGACGAAGACGAAGGTAGATTCAATTCTGAAAGGAAAAAGGAACCATGCACTTGAAAATGTCAAGATTTCAAAGAACATTTTAATATACAAAAGCTTGTGCCGCTCATGTGATTGACATCCTCTCACTTGTCCTAATCCTCCCACAGAGACCAAATCACTGAAAAATGAGACATCACTGACTTCCTTGCTCGACTCCCTCTCAGCCCTTAAAGCTTTGTGTTTTAAATAATCTTGCATATAATTTAGGGAAACTATTGTTGCGTGATCAGGGGGGTGGATGAAGACACTGCATTAGTTGACATGATCAAAGACTTGCTGATAAGATGTGCAGACTATATATAAATTCAGCTCATGACAGCGAAGACAGAAGACTGTCAAATTTCTGTGCATCATTCAAAACAAAGAACCAATAAAAAAACAAAACAAAACAAAACAAGGCCTGATTTATGTCACATGGATGAGAACGACCGCCGATAGCTTTGACAGGAACTGCATAACCTGTCATGTGAATCTAGCTTTTGCATGCTTTAAAAGGTTGGGCAGCACAGTTGTTCCAGTTGACTTGAAATCAAACACACTTTGACACCCCCCAGCCCTGAAACGCAACAAGACATGAAGTCTTGAAAAGAAAAGAAAATCAGCATCAGAATGTGGCCACTTCAAACAGTTTCATCTGGATGCTTGTTCAGGATATTCAGCTGCAAGTCTTTACCAGATCCTTGAGAAATTATTAGTACTAACATGTAGCCAGAGGGAGCCATCATTAGCTGCTTTCTGTGATTGATCAAAAGTATTATAAAAGCAAGCTGAGTGGACGAGTCTACCTGGCAAACAGTAAAGTCTGTTGCATGGCAACTGGTTGATCAAGCCTGCAAGAGACTTTTTCAAGTAGCTGAGCAGCTGCTATTTATATAAAGTCACAGGTGGACAGATTCCTTCTGTCGTTGCTGGATTCATTTTGTCTAAATATCAATGAAACTTTTCAAAAAGTTGTTGAGAGCAAAGTATATATATTTTTTATAAATGTATTAATTTAAGATGTGCTGCCAATTAGCAGCATTTTACATGTAACAGAAAATTGCAAATAAATTTAAACTCTGGCAGTTTGTTAATGAACTAGCTCTATGAACAA